TAGTTTAAATCTCCAATTTATCTCTCCTTTCTTTAATAATCCCATCTATAATAATCCTGAAAGGATAACTAAGCCCGAACGGCAAACCACAACACTTTTCTTCCATTGTCGGCGCCGTTCACCTCAAAGAACCGACTCCTCATAGAAAAATGGATTTCTATCCCTACTTCCTATCCTAAGCCTAAAATTTCTATATCGTGTACATCATTGTATCAGTTGATTTTCACATCTTACATATGTTTGTATAATTTAAACAATTCTTATAAATCCCAGGCCCTGAAGATGATCTCAATAAAGATCGAAACGTTGGCTCAATAAAGAAAATGTTTTTCTAAACCTACACCACTCCTAGACAGCATCTCACAATCTCTAAATTATCGTTAAAATATATTATTAGTCTGTTTACCACACAATACTTTCACACAAAACCAATATGACACCACAAGAATAGTACCACACTTAATGCCCTGAAGACGACCCCAGGTCGAAACGTGGGCAAAACAATGAAAAAGGAGTTTTCCTAAACTACCTCATTCTTGACCTATCCTCACGACTTCAACAAATTATGAACAACAGGTCACTAAGAAGCACACATATATTTCGAACCCCCTCGTACAATTTACTCTGGCATAAAGGACTTTCGCTCAAAAAGTGTACAAGCCACCTACACAACACTAGACCGCATATCACGCGCATTACCCTTGGGTATCTGATGGTTAGCTCCACTACTGTGCTTGACATGCGGAGTTGTAACTACAGTTTAATACTGTTGGAATGTGAGAGGCACTGTGGTCATGCCTGAGCAGTGGATTGCCAGCTTCCCAGTTCAACTCGAATTGCTTGGTGAAAGTAAAGCAACACTTTCCAGGCTACTTGATTTTTTAAGCAAGACAGATTTACTTAAGGTAGTTTAATTTCAATTTTTTTTTTTTTTATGTGTGACCTGTGGTAGGACGGTTGGCACTCGAGTGTGATACAGACGAGGTGGCCCCAGAGAGTGAATGTGAAGACAGCCTCAGTCTTGGGGGCAATATGTATATATCATCATCAAAAATTTGTTATGGACTGTGTAGTACATGAGCATTCAAAGAATTCACTTTCACTTGGTTAGAGACCATCCAGCCTTCACCTCACACTTTCCTGATTTTTAACATTTGATAAAAATTTTATTATAATATGATAATAATAACTAACCTTCATTTGTATAAATGTACTGTCCAAAATCAGTTGTCGCTGATGCTTATTGGGATGCACATTCATTTCAATTAATTTTCTTTTTGTTTCTTGTAGTCTAAGATATTACAATATTATAATCAGTAGTTATCATAACAATTTCTGTGGTACATTTTACTGACTGGATCCCACACAGTGCAATGATCGGGTTTTTCTATATTGAGACCTGTTCTTCACATCATTTTTTCCATTATCAACCATTGTACTATTTCTCATAACAGTTCCTGGATCATAAGATTGTTTCTACATTATACCTTTTTACTTTTTTTTAAATTAATCTCAATTAAAATTCCAAGGAATATGCTGGGATTCAAACCCAGAACTGCTAGTGTGGTCACATGAGAGTCGGACGCCCAAGCAAAGATGACCATAGGCCTCTTGAACCGAATGAACGACCCCTTTTTATTAACATTTCAAGGTCCTCCTCCTAAACAGTTAAACTCATCCTGGTCTGCCTATCTTGCTGTTTTGGTCTGTCAGATGCATTTTGGCATCACACCACTTCAGTGGTGGGTTTCTGCCAACACCAAGACCAACCACTGGAGTATAGCTGGAAAGCATCTTTCAAACAAATCAGCTAACTGGAAGTTTGGTCATTTCAAACTGCATACCAACGAGCATACCATAAGGAGAAAGCTCACAATAACCAAGTTGGTTGGCATTGTTTTTCTGCAGTGGTCAACTTTGTACAGGTGTTACAGATTCAAGACCATATACCTAACAACGATGATTCACCATATAACTTACTAACCTCATGCCTTTTGCTTTTCTAGTGTTAACATTTTACTTAAAAGTATTTTTAAACAGTTACAAGAATCACCTTAATATGTCCATGATAAGCAGAAGTTATGCAAAGACGAACTAACTAATGAATGAACTAACAACTTACAAAGGGAGGCTAAGGTCATGGAATCATTGATTTCTATGAAACTTTTTTCAATGACACAAGGTTGAAAAAAGGTTGAGGCAGAAGAGCTGTACTTAATCAAAATAGCTAACAAGATCATACATCCCCAGAATATGAAATTGAGAGCCCCTTGGAGATCAAGAAGTGGCCACACCCAGCAAAAATTGGTATTCCTGGAAGTGTGATAAAAGAAGAAATAAATAGGACTGAAGTCTACACAGATGGAAGTGGGACCAGAGATCTGAGTGGGTCCAGAGAAAGACTAAGAGATGGCACAGAGATCCACAATTAAATGTATAAATTAGCTAACTGGTGTAGTAACCATCAAGCAGAGATCTTAGCCATATGGAATGCTCTACCATGGAGTGAAAGCAAGTTCAACACCTCAGAGTGCAAGACCAGCGACATAGTTGCCCTTAAAACTGACATCGAAGTCAGCCTAAAGGCTACTAAGAACCATTAGATCCACAAAAAAAGAAGCTAAAAAAATAAGAAAAATTTCTCTGGGACTTAGAATGAGAATCTATGGTGCAAATAAAAATGGAATGGGTTAAAGCACGTGTTGCAGTCAGTAGAAATGAGTTGGTAGATAAATACGTTAAAAAGGTGGCCTTGGATGAGGAAATGGCTACCGCGTTCACACAGGTACCGGTGACAGCTCAATAACACGATCAGAGAAACTACTATGGCAAAATGGGAGCAGGAATGGACTTCTTCCACCATAGGACTTGCAACCAAAAAGTTTTTCCATACAGTGGCTTCAAGGATGCAATTCAGGATAACCCAACCAGGTGAGTGTTATCCTTAAATGATCCTTAAAGGTTCCACATTATTGACCACTCTGTGATTCCGGAGTTGAGCCCCAAACCTTTAACCATCTGATCTACAGATGCAAAACCAAAGGAAAGTACGCTTTTACAGAAATAAAGAGGTTTTATTTTTGAATTCCATGGACTTGGAGTTAAATTAGTGACCATTTGTGATAAAATTGTGTTAACAACAAAAGTAATGTTCTTACCTTTGTGATAATTTTCTATGAATATTAGATTTAACAAAACTTCTTCCTCTTATAAAACTTTACACTAAAGTAAAATTAAATGAATAATGTAAAAACAAAATGCAAATGAAATTCGAGGGAATGGGAATGTACATGGCAATACACGCCCTTCTTCTGACGTACGGAGGAAGGAAAAAAATGAAAAATATAAGAAATGTGTCTACGCGTTCTAAGCCAACAAGCATGGAAAAAAAGGTTTTAGCTTTTTTAATTTAATTGCCATCTGGGAAAATTAGATACATTATGTAATGAGATACAATATTATTTGTCATTTAGATATACAGGGTGTCATTTTTTGACGCACCATTGGAAAATCAACATGGGTGCGTTTAAATCTGACTCGAGGCTTATTTCCTTTGATTAATACGTTAATAAAAGAAAGTGAGTCGATTTTCGGTGCACCGTTGGAAAATCAACATGGGTGCGTTTAAATCTGACTCGAGGCTTATTTCTTTTGATTTTAACATTAAAAAAAGGAAGTGAGTCAATTTTCGGTGCACCATAGGAATATCAACGTTGGTGCGTCTAATTATGACTCGGCACATTTTATTTTGTTAGTCTCGTACCAAAAATAGGCGAGTCACTTTTTGACGCACCATTCGTTACAAATTATTTTTAATAGGTTGGAAGGAAAATAAACAAAACCAATATTATTAAAACATTATTCAAACACAATGTAAAATTTTTTAAAAAATTCTTCACAAATTAATTTGATTAAGGTTTAAGAGTATTTTTTTCTGGTAAAGTAAAAAATTAAATAAATGTAACAATCTCCTTTTTTCTGGTATAGTAAAAAAATTAAATAAATGTAACAATCTCCTTTGTTAGCAAACCAAAAATGTTCAAAATCATTATAATAATTGTTCGAACAGACCTCCATTTGCTGCAACATAGTAGTCTAGTCTATCATAAAACGATGATCGGACAAAAAAAAATACTCTTAAACCTTAATCAAATTAATTTGCGAAGAATTTTTTTTAAATTTTTACATTGTGTTTGTATAATGTTTTAATAATATTAGTTTTGTTTATTTTCCTTCCAACCTACTAAAACTAATTTGTAACGAATTTTTTGGTACGAGACTAACAAAATAAAATGTGCCGAGTCATAATTAGACACACCAACGTTGATTTTCCAATGGTGCACCGAAAACTGACTCTCTTTTATTAACGTATTAATCAAAGGAAATAAGCCTCGAGTCAGATTTAAACACACCTACGTTGATTTTCCAATAGTGCGTCAAAAAATGACTGGGAAGGGGACAATCCCTTCATTCATGCTAATAATTTATCTTATCAGCAAACTTATAATTTTTAAAATGACATTTGAGTTGTTCATAACAGTTCAACTTTCATTTCCTAGTCAAGTGCAACAATCAATATAATATTATTTATTACCTTAAATAATATTTTGTTTTACAAATCATAGGTAGTCAACTTCTTCTATACACGGCTGATTAGCCGTTGTCGCTTGATGTTAAGCAAAATATTTCTTTTTGTTTAACTGTAAATAATTTTTGTCAGCAAACATCTTTATTATTATATTTAACTTCCTTTGGTTAAAGAACACTCTTGTTTTAATTTTGGTAGTTAACGGCCTCACCAAGCAATTTTGGTTTCAAATGGACGGTTGGATGGTTTCAAACTATTTTACTTTTTTACCCAATGGTGTGCAATGTTGTTTCCAATGGACGAATTAGAGCAAAGTTTGGTTCTGGAAAAATATTTCCATTGTTGTCACACAGAGATTATAAAATTGTAAAATAATCATTCAGAGGTATAATGAAGGAATAACATAACCAACTACAAGTTGAATAATTTATTTAGTAGCCTAATTATAAAATATAAAAGAGGATGAATTAAACCTATAAATACCAGGTTCAGCAGATATTAGAAACGCAATTAAGTTTCTGAACAAAAGCACTTTGCATTTACCCCGTGTTTCAAATTCTTTACAATAATTAATAATAATAATAATAATGACTCTGTAATACTGTTTAAAAATCAGTAATCAAAATATACATAATTAATGTAAGGCGTAAGTTAAAAATACTTATTATTTAAAAATTTTCTAAGTCTTTAAGTGTTCGTAATAAAAAAACAATAAAAGAAAATAAATGTTTATATTACCAAAACTAGCATATTAACCAGAATCATCATTTATGGAATTGGAGTTTAAAAATAAATTATTTTTAAGGACAAATTTTTTTTTAATGCATTATAAGATAGTCGCCAAGATCTTCACCACATGCTGTAATCACTATCTTCTTGGTACAAGGTAACGAAAAACCCAATAATTGTGAAGTATACAACGACGTTACCGGCCAACGTGAGATAGCAAGCTCCCCATTTTATCTGTAATTAAAAATCATGTGAATATTTGTCTGTAACCATTTCTTCTATATTGTTGAGAAAGACATCACAAAAACGTACAAAAACCAACAACTGGCTTAATGATCATTTAAGGGTAGAGTGAAATAAGCTTGACTTATTAAAAGATTTGGTTAATTCAAACCCAAACGATCCTTCCATTTCAGATGCTCGTAACAAATTTAAAGACAGCTCTGAAGGAAGTCACAATCTCAAGAAATGACACCACGATTAAAAACAACAATAACCCCCAAAGAACGATATGGTCAATTACAAACGCAAAATGGAAATTTAGTAACAAGAAAATTAAGTCCAGAAATCTAACTTATGATGAATTTAATGAATACTTTACAAACTCATGTGAGTCATGCTGAAAGATTGCTTGGAAATTTCCTTAGTGAAATCAGTTTTCAAAAAACCGTAATCCTAAAGGTGTGGGAAATTATCAGCCAATTTCTTTGCTTCCAATATTTTATATCGAAAATTTTTTGAAGGTAATATGTTGTTCTCAATATGGCTTTATAAAATATTGTAATAGAGAAAAAGCAATCCTGAGATTTGTGGAATTTTCTTTGCAATGCTTTGAAAAAGACAGACTCTATTTCAAGCTTCCTTGATCTCAGCAATGCATTCGATTGTGTTTACCATTCTCTCTTGATTAAGAAATTAAAATTATATAAATGGTTATTGATCACATCTGATTTTGTTCATTCTTTCCTTAGTAAAAGATATCAGGCTCCCTAATGGTTTAGCCTCAGAAAAAGAAGAATAAGAATACATTTATTCTTAAACATAAGATTATTTGGAGGTCGTGAGATGCGGTCTGGTGTGACGTATGTTTTAGAAAAACATTTTCTTTTTCATGCCAACGATTCGATTTTACTGACATCATCTTCAGGGCTCAAAGTGTTTGTTTTCCGTGTAGATGTGTCATTCTTGTGTCGTGTTGGGAGTGCCCTCTCAGTGTGGGAGAAGACTCGCAACACGACACAAATAAATTTTCCTGGATAACTTTTTTTTTTTTTTTTTTTTTTTAATGCATTACGTCCTGTCTGCACTGAACAAAATGTAACAAGAGTAAACCTTATATGTATTTTTAAAAAAAGCCATAATTCTTTTACCGCTTCTGCTCGTGCCAGAACTACTGGTAGTGCGAATGATGACACGACGAATGCCATTGTTATAAATATTGCTAGATCCATACTTGAATTGGTAGTCCCAGTTCTTTCGGTGTAACGCCTAGCTAACAATGTTGGTAGAGGTGCGAACATGTAAAATACCACTACAATCAGCGGCCACCACACCCTTTAAAAAAATATATAAAAAAATATTACTTGGATTATGATAGGTAGAAAAGTTAAATGTCTTTTTTTAAGTAATACTACTGAAAAATAATATTATTTACTTGTAATCTGGTAGACCACAGGCAAGAATAATAAATGTCATGCCTATAGATCCAGCAAATGCTAGAGCAACCAACCTGAAAATATTTGATTTTTTTATTATATATTTTTTATAAAATGTGTTGTAAATTCATACAAATTTCAAAGAGTTTACAATATAATTATATTATATTCATTTTAACATAATTCACAATTTAAAAAACAACTAGTAAATACTTACGCTGTAGGCATCAGCGAACACATGGAACAAAAAAGAAATTATTAGACAATGAGTAAATAAAAGAACATCATTTATTTATTTTTTGCTAAAGCATAAAAAAAAAATTACTGAATAAAAACAAGTCCATTTAATTCCTAAATTAAAATTTAATTTGTTAAAATAATTTTCAGTTTGATCTTTACTTATGGGCAGGTTTACTAGGTAAATACTGAATCCACGAACCCTACAAATTAGGGAATTAATCGAAAATGTCACGGATAGCTACTAATTTGTCTTTTTCTCTTCTCTTTTGACATGAATTGTCAAACCTAAGACATCCAAGGAGAAGATTCCTGTATAGGTTAAAATTTCATTTTTCGTTTTAACCCTCTACTAGACTGTTTTGTCAGCAGTTGTAGTGAGGAAAACAAATCCGTGAAAATAACCAGGGTAAATGTGTATCGGTTCATATACCTTAGTGCAAAAAGTACATCATGCTGTAAATGCCTCAAATAACATAACAAGTTGCTCTTTTTACACTAACCAAACCCAAAGATATAGAAGGAAATATCAGTCTATGCTAATCAGTCAGCAAAGCAGTTCGGGACGGCATCAACATTGAAACAATTTCAGTCAGATGTCATTTTGTATCTCATATGGGCAAAATTAATGAATAATAAACTGAGAAAAATCAATTCATGACCATGAAACTTTCTTCTTGTCGAAAAACAAGGATGGAGGAAACGGTATAGACCAAATTGAGAATGATGCACATACATATAATGGAGAGACTAGCTAATCTAGCAAGTGAAACTTAGTGATATGAAGTTAACAGTAAAAAATATTTTCATTCAGTATGATCACATACCTTACACTTGAGTATAGTTTTAAAACAAAATAACATTAGCAAAAAAGAAGCTGTTGCTGTATCTGGGTGGTACCCACAGGGGGTGGTGTTCTCCCACTGTTGATGGTCACTTTTTCCTTCAGGCATACTATCTTCATGTAAAAGAAAAACAACAGAAAAGTATTGTTCGATCTAAGAATAAATATGACCTTACCTAAAAGGTTGACAGCCTTGAATGCAATACAAAAAAAATAAATAAATAAAACTTCTCCACTAAACAAACACAAAATAAGTCCAATAAACAAACAAGTAAGTGCGACCTGTAAGAATTTAGTGATTTTTAAATATTGTCCGTAAATGTATACAGAACTAAAAAAGATTTATTATATATAAACGATCAACGATAAGGCAAATTGGAAAGAAAGATTAACTCATTTTGCATATTTTGAAACTATTTCTAATTATTTAATTGGTTAACAAATAAAAACATACAGTTATAATATGAAATTGAGGCTTCAACCATAATAAATTGTTGAGTTTTGTTTTGCAGAGTGATCTATTCTACATATTATTTATTAGTTATTCATATAAAACATTTCTTCGTATGAGAACATTCAGTGTATATACAGACAGTGTGAAAACGTGAAAAGATTTGCCATTTTAAAGAGAAAATTATCAATGTTACAGTCTCGAAGGTGGTTTCCGCACAAATATGAAATGAAAAATACGCTGTTTCTTACCCACATAGTAAATAACATCAAATCCAATTGTGGCTTTAGGTTGAGACAATCTCCGTGTAATTCCACAGAAAACTGTATTTTATTGAGAACTAAGAACAAATGGCAATTGCAATGTAGAACTGGTGTTAGATCTTGGATATTCACAAAGCAAAACTAATAATAATTTATTATTGTTGAAGATATAATTTCAATATTGTAAGTAGATTTTTGTAAACAATTTAAATGTAATAATTCATAATAAGGTAAATACCTGCATACCTGGTGGTCCTGCATAAACCCAAAAAACTTGGGTTATAATACATCCTAAATAGAGTAAAATGCAACCAACTGAACTGTTCTATATCAATCAAGTCGGAAATTATGAATTTTTACCTGTTTTTTGAAAAATCCTGACAATAAGCCTTAAATTGGCATTTTTTTCAAGATCTAGAGCATTGATTTTAATTTTTAATCATATTTTTGAATTCTGTATTAAATTTCTTATAAGAAGGAGCTATTTTCAGTCTTATCAAACATGGATTATGTTTACTAATTCAACCCAAAATAAAGAATTTTAAAAATGAAGAAACTTTTCATAATTTTCAAAAATAACTGTTTTTCAACAAACATTTGTAGGGGTGCTGAACATCATTAAAGCTGCTTCATTTAACAAGCTTTCTTAAGGTGTACTCCAAGTTCCAAAAATGTTAACCCTTCATTGGTAAAAATCAACCTGTAATGTTAAAAAAACGTGGTTCAAATGTGTAAATTTAACGCATACACATGAGGAGTGAACTGTGTGATTTCGAAAATTTTAAACAGCACGTTGATGATGCAGGATTTAAAAAAGGAATGAATTATGTAAGGTTATTAAGTAAAATATCTTTATTATGAAATAGGATATTAAAAAAAAACAACGAAGAGACTTAACAAATGTTCAAAAAGCATTCTGTGATACCTAAGGCACGTTCTGCATTGTTCTCTCATTTGCCCATGGGAATTTTTTAATTTTGTCTTGAGATTTCGGGCTCCCTCTTCAATTATTTATGGGTGTTTTGTACATAATTTCCATCAGGTAGCCCCACATAAAAAAGTCTAGTGGATTGAGATCAAGTGGTTCACACAAATCTATTTCTCTTTTGTATGTTTAAGGTTCTGTTACACTGCTGGAGTTTGAGACAAGTTCAATCCTCTCCTATTTTGTATTGGCAGCTTAGAAGGAAATGTCGTTATTGCCCCAACCCAGCTATTGATAAAAATAAATAATAAATTAAAAAATAAATAAGTAACTCCTCTTTTGTATTCATTAAATTTACAGATTTTAAGCATGTTTTTTTTTAAATATTCCAGGTTCATTTTACTGTTGAAGAGTTGATGTTTTTTAAACTTCAAATGCACCATAAGAAAGTTTATTAAATGAAGAAGATTTTATGTTTGGCACCTTTACAAATATGTTTATTNCTAGAACGTTATTTAAAAACCTGGATATATCAACATAAAGCATATTAGATGAAAAAGTTTTTGTGAAATTTGACAAGTTGTAGGTATTTTTTTGTAACCTCAGTAGAACGTGCAATCATGACCAAAATTTTAAATTTTGTAATTTTGACATGTTCCAACTGATATTGGCGAACATTTTATATCATTCAGATTATTGCAAATAGAAGTATCTTACAGCAAATTTAGCGTCCTTTCAAATGGTTTAATTGGATTTGTTGTAGTCTCAACATTTTGGAAGTTGTAAGCGTTTTTATGTGGTAAGGTAGTGAAAAGTTGAAAAAACCTAAATTGATGAATATCTTCAAAATAGAGAACTTTCCGAAAATTTTCTGCTGGGCATTTTTTGCTCCAAACAAAGAGTAGAATCAATTCCCTGAGTTTCGTCAGAAGGAACTGGAACACCCTGTATAGGATGTATATAACACAATTTTTTTTTTCTTTCGGATTAATGCTGGACCACCCTGTATATAAACTAGCAGGCTGAATAAACCTTTATTTTACCTTTCAAACTTTAAATTAATGACATTAATTTAAACCAAACCGCACCACAATTTGGTCACTAAAACGATTTATATAAATTCAAGCATGTACATTTAAATTACATAACATGTGTACATAGTTGAGCCTATCATTTCTCGCAGCTCGCCGGCAATTCCAACTTTTGTAATTTACAAAAATTACCAGCAGGCCTCGAGAATCATCCACCGGTGTTGGCATCAGGGGTCAGACCTCAGTCCTATCCATCCATACACTTAAGTTGAGCTCGAGTAGCTATCAACACCTAGATCATTTGAGGCCCCAGTGCAATCAATCTCCAAATCCAAACCCATTCATATTCTCATTAACTCTTGAATACAATCTTTACTATTTACATACGATTCATTGTTAGGGTGGTGGAGTACTTGATATTCTTCTATCATACTTCACACTTATTATATAAACTAATCTAATTAAGGGTTGATATAACTCAACACTGTCATTAGCCCTCTCACTAAATTTATGCTAATAAATACATTCACTATCATAACACAAGATTATCAGTACTACATGCAATAAAAAAACCGTTTCCTCTAAAATCAAAGCAGGGGATTCAAGTATTTGCTGCTGAGCTTAAGCACAATCGTCAGGATTGGTAGAATTCCTACATGCACTCTATACGGAGCCAAGGAATTACAATTAAATATTTCAATTAAGTAGGACACATCGAGCAACCTTTCTCTAAATGCCCAAAGTGTCCGTGCGCCAAACTCACATGGGCTATCCTTAATCGGGTGAGGATGACTCTTTTTCTACGAGTCAGATCCTGCAATCAACAGTTCTCAGCCAATCCAGGATCACGCCTCTGTCTTATCCATCCAGCCACCAAATCTTAGCTATAGGGGCTATCAAAAGCCAGATCATTTGATTCCCTACGCAATCAGTCCCCAAATCCAAATCCATTCTAATTCTCACTCACCCTAGATTACATTCTTTCTTAATTCACGCCAAACAATCAGTTAAGACGGTGAAGCATTTGATATTACCCCATCAACCTATTATATAACTAAACTAATTGGGGATTGATATGTAATCAATATTCCACCATCGCCCCGTCGCACTACACATTCACAATAAATACATTCACTCTCAATAAACACTATGGATACAAAACTATCATTACTATATATAATAAAAAACAATCCTGTTTCCTCCAAGAAACAAAAATGGGGGCCCAAATACTAGCATGTCATTATTATGTTAGATTTCTACACACTATATAGAGGGTCGTATTGAGCAATCTTTGCACGCAGAACACATGGTAAGTGTGTGTTAACCGGCACGGCCTATTCTTAATCGGCTGAGGATGAACCCTCTTCTATGAGTCAGATCCACCGAGAGCCACTTATCGCCAGTTCTCTTGATATACAAAAGTTTTCTGCTGATCTGGCCCATCATTATAATGAGTCAATTTAATGGAATTTAATATGTCGGGTTTTATATTGTGCAAAAATACCGGCCAATAGCCAAAAATAGAAAAACGAAAAAGTCATTTTTTTCTTTTTTTCCTTTTTTAGTTTATAAATGGTATAGACATATGAGTGAATCTGTGGTCAAGGAGAGATCATGGGAAAGTAAACAGTCTAAATTTGAATATATGAGTGGAAATGTTTTTAAAAAAACATGAATATGCCCATAACGATTCGGATACGAAGAAGTTTTTTTTGATCAATTTTTTAAAATAAACTGCTGAAATAATCTAAATATTTGGTAAATTTCGCCCTTTACAGGAGGGCTGCTTGTTTTCAAGTTGGCAGTACATTTCGTTTAATAATAAAAGTTGGATGTCGAGTAGAAAAAAAGAATTTCGTCCAAAACTTAAAAGAAAACCTAAGGAAACTAAATTATGTAAACTCACCCTTCATTCCTGCCATTTTTTAATTGAGTGGCTAATTAAATTTTCAGTTGTTTTGAGGTGCTTCGAGTCGGGACGAAACGGAGGTTTTTCTCGTTTAGATTCGCATTTCGCGGAAACGGGTAAACTCGGGACTTTTATCACCCTGATCACAAACGAGAAACGAAATAACTCCCAGGAAATCGGCGAACGCGAGACAGAATGCCATAGAACGTATATAAACAAATTTGCCCATTCAAAGGGATTGCCAAGCGAAATACGTCACTTTTCGTATTTGGTGAACATCACAAAAATTAATTAGTTGACTTATTAACTCATTGTGAACAATGATAATAAAAAAAATGCTTATTTTTAACATGTTTATTGCTATTTGTGAACATTGATGATACTTCTGGTATGCTGACGGCTCCAAAGCCTACAAGGGCACGAAAGCTGGAGTCTTCAGATTTAACCTAAAGACCGACCTGACGGTAAACCTACGTAATTATGCTAGTTTTCCAGTCTGAAATCATAGCAATTGTACAATGCGCCAGAGAATTAAAAAGGCTAGGAAGATAGCCATTTTCTCTGACAGTCAGGCAGCACTAAGGGCCCTAGCCTCATGTGAGGCGAAGGCAAAGAGTGTTTGGAACTGCATGGAGGCCCTGACGGAAGTTTCACTCTGGCATGAGTCCCTGGCCACTCGGGGCACAGAGGCAATGAAAAGGTTGACATGTTGGCCAAAAAGGGAGCTAACATGGACTCTCCAGGTCCTGTACCCTGCTGTGGCCTAGCATCTTGCCACAAAAGAGGATACATCAAAATGGATCCTTAATGAGTCCAAAACCTGGTGGAACAATACCACAGGCATGAGGCACACAAAGAGATTCATAGAAGTACCAAATGCAAAACTTACAAAAAATTAGTGCAAGGCAACCACAACTGAACCAGGATTCTGGTTGGACCCCTGACAGGACATTGCCATTTAAGAAAGCACATGCACGGATAGGAGCACAGACAAAAGAAACACTGTGCAGATTCTGCCAGGAAGAGGAGGAGACCGCAGAACAAATTATATGTTTTGGTGAAGGTCTATATAGGTGCAGGTTCTTGCAACTGGGTCAAGAAAAACCTCAAGCAAGATCCTACACTAAGGAGCCGCTGGCAAAGCTATGGAGGCTGATTGACAACCTGAAGCTGGACAGTGAATTATCAAAAATAGGGGAGCATAACAGATCTAAGGTCTATCATCGCTCTAAGGTAAAGGTCCCGGGTTCAAATCCAGCGGCCCTGCATTCGAATGACATACAATACTTACAAATAGGCTTTTTTCCAAAAACACCGTCACCTCCTTTTTTTTTTTTTTATTGGCCTTATGATCTTGCATATTAGCCATGGTACGAATTTTTGTGTCTTCCAATTGGGGGTTATCGGGAAAAAAGGGCCAGAGGCCGCGGCGTGAGAGTCTCTGTCTCAGAGTCACCCTGAGGATTGATATGACCTCTGCTGTTGTGAACCCTCGTTTAAAAAAATANCCAAATAAAAAATAAAATTAAAAATTAAAAAATAAAAAAATAAATAAATCTATTCAGGTCGAGGTGCAGTAGGCCATGTGGCCACCTCTTTTATCCCTATCCCTACATTGATGACAATAATAATACACTATTTCAAATCATACATTGGGCAAAAAAAATGTCCACCCTTTATATTTTTAACTCTTGGACAATCCTCCATTGATTATCTTACAACAATATTTGGTTAGATTAAAAGGATTAAAGGTAAATAAAACACAGATAAAATGTCCCACTTGTGTTTACAATTGGATTTGTAAATAAATCTTTGAATAGTCCATCTCTTCTTTGTTGGCTTTTCTATAAAGTTTCATTCTAACATTCCAGTGGTTAGATTTATTTAAGTTGTACCATTTTTAAAGTTTGTTTGAGTCATGATTTTAAATGATACAGATTCAGCTAGAATTGTAGTATTGTTGGAAGATAGAATATCAGGCGTATATGGCCAGGGTGCTTAACCCAGAACAACTGTCTGAAGAAACAGTGTCTACGCCAATTATAACCCAGCTCAGTTGAGGAACTGCGGCAAAGGATAGAAAATGTTTGTCAATCCATCTCCTCCCCTGACTAACATGTTCAATGTTAATGTCATTTCATGCACTGTAATTACTGCTGGATTACGTGCAATAAGGCCTGCCACTGGTCCGTGACTTCTGACAAGGCACAGAATAGCTTTCACAAGAAGTTTCACAAGAAATCACATCAATTGGTCTGAGTGGGAGTGGACTAAAATCTTGTTTTCAGATGAGTCAAGGTTTTGCTTGAGGTCTTCTGATGGCCGAGTGAGTTTAGAAAAAATTCAGGAGAGCGATATATACCCACAACATTTTCCCTCTGGAGGAAGCTATGGATGTGGTGGTATTATGTTTGGGCAGACATTTCTATGTAAGATCACATAAACTTCATCTTCATCGAGGGTTCCCTAAGAGCTGCGCGATACATTATTGTTGTGTGTTATCAGAAGAGTTGTAATGCACAGTAGACAAATACTGGTCGTGATGCGCAGGTTATAAAGAGGCCGGCTCCTACTCTAACCTTAATCTAACTCACAGATAACCAAGCCATTTTACAGAAATATTATAGATATACGTTTAGCTGTTTACTCTGAGGGTGGTTATGAACACATCTTCACTACTTAAAAACAAATAATACGGCATACTATTTCAAATTGGAAGACTAAAGAAGGACCTGAAGAAATTCTAAAGGAGCATTGGAAAGTGCAATGGTGTGACATAGAAGCTACGATTAGATCACATTGGACAAGAAGTCTTTATAACGCCAAATAAATCAATCTCAGAAGACACAGGATGAGAGAAATCTTCAGCTTCTTCACTCGCCATTGTCCATCATTGTACTATCTCAAAAAATAGGAAGAAAGTGATTTTTAGGAAAGTACTCAAATTCTTAAAGGGTGTGGATAAATAATAGAGGCGATCCACAATAGTTACATAATTAGGTAGTGAATAGGAACATGTATTGTAAGCCACCAAAAATTTCAGAATTAATTTTGAAAAAGTTAATAAATTTACATCACTGTATTTATTAAGCCGAAAAGATATTTGCACTATCAATGAAATAATATCCCATTATGACTTTTAAACAAAATGAGATGAAAAATAGAAGTAAGGACTATCTTTTGTATGGAAAATACCCACCCCCCATTCTTGAGATAACAAAAACCAACACAGAAGCCTCAATCACAGAATGGGTTAAAAAAAATACAAAAGGAAAAGTGGATAAAACACTAGAAGTGCTAGTCACAGTAAGGTTATGCTAAAGCAGCCTCACCAAGACTGGCAAACAATTAGAGAGGGCTAAGTTCAGAGGAGGACTACCGATCCTTGGCACCTGAGAATGCATATCCATAACATGGGTATATTCAATGATGACCCTATTTGTTGGTTATTCATTGAGGAGGAATAAACAGCCACCAATATGATCTTCAAATGTGAAACAACCACTTAATGGAGACATAATCTGGAGTACAAAGAAAACGCATAGAAAGGAATTGTAGCAATGACAGTCAATAACCTAGTACTCCTTAGGAGAAGGATTGAGTCAATTACACTGAACTAAGGATACAACAAAAGTGCAATAAGCCCGAAGGCTCCAGTACTCGGGGGAAAAACAATTAACAAAAAAAAAATATTAGATATATTAGTGAATGGTGAAGCACAGATCAATGTTTGCTATTTCCTGTATAACACAAGGGTACATCCCAGAAAAATGTCATTTTTATAAAATATTGTAATAATTTTTTATATCAAAATCAAACACAAAAACATTGATTCATGGATATGTAATCTAAGCCGTCCCTAATCCTAACACTAACTTTATCTAACCTAACCCAAACCATGCACATTCCCCAGTAACCCAAAATTAATGGCCATAAAATAGTCATGTAAAAAATTGTTTATCCAGCCAAAAGCCATATCTTTTTAATATGATCTTATTTATAAAAAAATTGAAGAATGAACTTCATTTTTTTGGTTGGTTTTATTTCTTTAATTTCTATGTTTTATCCCAATGTAGGTTGACAGCTGAGAAAACATGTGAAAAGCAATGTAACTTAAATTGCACAACATGGGGATCGGAGGTACGGATAAAAGAGGCAGCCACAAGGCCTTCTACACCTTGACCTGAGTAGAATTATAGTTCTCCCCTGTTTTTTATCTCACTGGTGAGCTTCAGGTTGTTAATCAACCCCCATAGCCTTGCCAGCGGCTCCTTATTTTAGATCTTATGGCTTTTCCTGTCCTAGTTGCAAGAATCTGCACCTACACCTTCACGAAAACAAAAAATGTGTTGTGCAGTCTCCCCTTTTTCCTGGCAGTATCTGCACAGTATTTTTCCTGTGTCCTATACGGTGCATGTGCCTTCTTAGACAGTAGTACAGTAGTGGGATGTTGTCATTCTATATCAATGGGTAGTCATTGCATGTCAATAAGTTGTCATTCTATATCAATGGATTGTTGTCATTCTACATCAATGGGATGTTGTTCTACATCAATGGATTGTTGTCATTCTACATCAATGGGATGTTGTTCTACATCAATGGATTGTTGTCATTCTACATCAATGGGATGTTGTTCTACATCAATGGATTGTTGTCATTCTACATCAATGGGATGTTGTTCTACATCAATGGATTGTTGTCATTCTACATCAATGGGTAGTCGTTGCGTATCAGTGAGTTGTCATTCTATATCAATGAGTTGTCTTGTGTATCAGAGAGTTGTCGTTCTACATCAATGGGTTGTCATTCTATATCAATGGATTGTTGTCATTTTATATCAATGGGTTGTTGTCATTCTATATTAATGGGTTTTGTCATTCTACATTAATGTGTAGTCATTGTATATCAGTAAGTTGTCATTCTATATCAATGGCTTGTTGTCATTTTATATCAATGGGATGTTGTCATTCTATATCAATGGGTTGTTGTCATTCTATATCAATGGGATGTTGTCATTCTACATCAATGGGTTGTTGTCATTCTAGATCAGTGGGTAGTCATTGTGTATCAGTAAGTTGTCATTCTAAATCAATGGGTAGTCATTGTGTATCAGTGAGTTGTCATTCTATATCAACAGGTTGTTGTCATTCTATATCAATGAGTTGTCTTGTGTATCAGAGAGTTGTCATTCTACATCAATGGGTTGTTATTCTATATCAATGGGTTGTTGTCATTCTATATCAATGAGTTGTCTTGTGTATCAGAGAGTTGTCATTCTACATCAATGGGTTGTCATTCTATATCAATGGGTAGTCATTGCATATCAGTAAGTTGTCATTCTATAACAATGGGTTATTGTCCTTCTATATCAATGGATTGTTGTCATTCTATATCCATGGGTTTTTGTCATTTTACATCAATGGGTTGTTGTCATTCTATATTAATGGGTTTTGTCATTCTATATCAATGGGATGTTGTCATTCTACATCAATGGGATGTTGTCATTTTACATCAATGGGTTGTTGTTATTCTATATTAATGGGTTTTGTCATTCTATATCAATGGGATGTTGTCATTCTACATCAATGGGATGTTGTCATTCTATATCAATGGGATGTTGTCATTCTACATCAATGGGTTGTTGTCATTCTATATTAATGGGTTTTGTCATTCTATATCAATGGGCTTTTGTCATTTTACATCCATGTGTTGTTGTCATTCTAAATCATTAGGTAGTCATTGTGTATCAGTAAGTTGTCATTCTATATCAATGGATTGTTGTCATTTTATATCAATGGGTTTTTGTCATTTTACATCAATGGGTGGTTGTCATTTTATATTAATGGGTTGTTATTTTATATCAATGAGTTGTCATTCCATATTAATGTCACGATGATTGTCAATTTTAAATTTCCCAATGTATTTGACTGGGAAAATAGAGGAAACGGTCCCCAAGAGTGTAAAGCCGTGTTGCGAGTGCTGGGATTGCCGGCGTTTTCGCTACGGTTGGCAGTGGATCTGGATAGGCGTTAGTTGGGTGACCGAGCGAGTCTGACTCTGACCGATCTTCCCGCAGCCGCAGTCGCCAGTCATTTTCAACTCTTCTCCCGAAGCCCGATCTGCATTCCTCCTTCAAGTATTTCTTCTTAGAGCCGAGAAAAAGCCCTGTCGAGCCAGAATGTCTGAGCCCAAAAGGTATCAAATTGAGTCAATCAATAAAAAAAAAAATAAAAGCTTATCCGATCATCTCAACCCTTCCACTTGTCAGACGAGGACGAAAGCCGAAAAGAACCCCGCTTTTTTTATTGCACTATGTCATATTGATTCAGTGAATTATTTCCTTTCGAACCTTTATCGGTGAAGAATTCGGTCGGATTGACATGCAATTAAAGCTTTCAATTACTAATTTCATGGGGTGATAAAAGAATCTGCCGTCAAACGGCCCTGTTATCACAAATTTAAATTATTCGCAACGTTCTTCACGCCATTAAATCTAATTATATTTAAAACGAAACCGATAAAAAGACCGTTTTCGAATATCGTAAGGTTAACCGCAGTCGACAGTTGTCGAGTCATCCCTCCAAACCTTTTTTAAACCAATTATTAATAAACTATGACCTTCTAAATTGTTCCACCCTCTTCAAAATCCGCTTCACTCGTCACTTAGACTTTGCCGATTAACGTCGGGTATGAACAACCACAGGAAAAAAGCTTTCGACGATATACTTTATTGCCTTGACATTTGACAGGGGGGTTTTGCTCTCAGACGGAATTGTCAAAATATTAATATGAATTATCTCCTTGCCCAGACCCATCAAGTATAATATTGTACATTATACAAAACTTCGATTGTCAAAACCCCTTTTGCCAGCTTTTCAAAATTAATGCACTCATATTTGTAGAGTAAACTATAGAGTCAAGTGTGAATTTCAGTTATATCAATTATTTTAATGAGACGAGGTGGCTAAAGCATCCCAACCTCCAGACTAAACCGCGATCAGACCCTCTGTCACTAAAAGTGCAATAAAAAACAAGAAAGTGGCTACACCGGAGGGCCAGGATCGGCCAAGAAGCTCTCATCAAGAGCTCTGTCGATAGTTGGCCCTTAGAGGATCTGACTCGTAGAAAAAGGTCATCCTCCCCCGATTAAGGATAGGCAATGCGAGGTTGACGTCCAGACACTAACTTTTGGGCCAAAGCCTGTGTGTATGCCCTGCGTGTAAAGAAAGGGTGCTCATTTTTTCCCACATTGTTGATGGTTGCAATTCCTTGGTTCTATACAGGGTGACTGGCTAAGTGACAAAAATTTCAAGAGGTGTTTCTACTCACCATATGCAACAAAAAACTTCCTATCTGTCCAAATCTCAACAGGGAAGAAGTAATTTTTTTTTTACTTACGTCCACTAAATTGCTTACTTCAGAATGAGTGTAGAAAAATCTGGTTTGTGCCACCTGAAAGAACGTTAAATTTGCTGTAAGGAAGCCTATTTACATTGCAGAATTGATGGAAAAGTTTTTTTTTATTTTTATTTATTTATTTTTTATTTTTTTTTATTGGCCTTATGATCTTGCATATTAGCCATAGTACGAATTATTTTGTGTTCAAATTGGGGGTTATCGGGAAAAAAGGGCCAGAGGCAACGGTGGGAATCGAACCCACGACAGCGGCGTGAGAGTCTCTCATGCTAACCACTCGGCTACCGCGGTCCCCTAATGGAAAAGTTCTGCATGAAAAATTCAGAAAAAACAAAAACGTTGAAATTTTGAATTTTTTGAAAATTTGGATTGGTAACTGTTAATAACTACAAACTCCTGGAGCTTTGCTAATTCCCTCAGAAGTTCTCCATTCAATTAGCTTCCAGCGGTATACCAAGTTTTTTGGATTGCGCTTCTGGAAGGCGCAAAAATTTTGCATTTTGTTGAAAAAACTTGTGTCAATGAAGAGGGGCACACTCAATTTTCCAGAAAATCCGCTTGGCTCTTGAGTTTTGTGTCAGTTCTTTATAGTTCAATTCAATCAATTTGCTTTATGTTATCGTCTGGTTGATTTAAAATATGTCTTGGTTTCCTAATGAACATCTTGCTGATATGCATTTCATTTATGGTTACTGCAACGGTAATGCTACTGTGGCGGGGAGAGAATACCAAGCTCGTTTTCCACATCGAGACGTTCCAGCAGATCGCATCTTCCAACGACTTCATCAGAGGCTGAGGAAAACTGGTTCTTTCACCCGAAGAATGAGGGAAGACAATCAATGAATTGGTGTAGATGAGGAAAGCATTCTGTTAATCGTGATCGCGAAACCAGTCATGTGCATTATGTATAGACCTTGGTGTTTCACAATGGAGAGTTTGGTATACCCTCTGTCGGGAAGGATTGTACCCTTACTGTTTTACGAGGGTGCAAAGTTTGGAACAAAATGACCACCAGCAGCAATTTGTCAAAAATTAAATTTGTCATCTTCAGTACCTGACGACAGATCAAGCTGATAATATTGTTTAGTTGATATTTATTACATACAAAACTTGTGTTTTGTTTTTGTTTCACTTCATCAAAGTATGATGTATTTAAATTTTCTTCATTGTATTTATCTTAGAATAAATAAGCTATTTCTATTCAAAGACAACGACCAACTACCCGTTGTGTATCGCGGACAACAGAGCAAGCCACTCTACAACCCAATTTTCATACTATAATCAATTAAAAAGCCATGGACTCTACCCTGACTCAAACCCACAACGGCTAGTCTGACGCCCTAACCACTTGACCACCACGGTCCTCCTTATTTCTATTCGATCTGCTGTTTTTTAGTAGATTTAAATTAAATAAAGCTGAAAGAAGTGCTGTGTACTGATTACAGCATGATTGTTTATTATTTTTGTAATATATCATTTATGTACATGGTTATTTCAGCCCGGAAGATCTTTCAACTGCAATACTTCGTAAAAAGGATCGTCCAAATAGGCTTCTTGTTGATGACGCCATTAATGATGATAATTCAGTGGTCAGTTTATCACAGGTAAATCTGTTATAAAAAAGACTAAAAAAATAAAGGTATATGAAATTCCACTTTAATTATTTGATTTTAATTAGGCCAAAATGGATGAGCTGCGACTTTTCAGAGGTGATACTGTTATTTTGAAGGGTAAACGCCAGAAGGAGACAGTATGTATAATACTTTCTGAAGAAAATTGTCCTGATGAAAAAATCAGAATGAATCGTGTTGTGCGTAATAACCTACGTGTTAGAATATCAGATGTAGTGTCCATTCAAGCATGCCCTAAAGTGAAATATGGAAAGCGAATACATGTGCTGCCAATAGATGATACTATCACTGGATTATCTGGGTTTGTCACTTGTTTTATGTCATTTGACAATTTTCATTCATTTGAACAAAACATTGAGGAAGTTTTAAATTCTTCAGGAACCTATTTGAAGTTTATCTCAAGCCGTATTTCCTTGAAGCGTATAGACCAATTCACAAAGATGATACTTTTATTGTCCATGGAGGGATGAGGGCAGTTGAATTTAAAGTCATAGAAACAGATCCTAGCCCTTATTGCATCGTTGCTCCTGACACTCTAATACATTTTGATGGAGATCCTGTCAAGAGAGAGGTAATTGTAATCAAATTAAAAAGAATCATACTTTTTTTTCACTACAAATTCTAATGCTATTTTATTTTTTAGGATGAAGAAGAAGACCTGAATGCTGTCGGTTATGAAGATATTGGAGGTTGTCGAAAGCAATTAGCACAAATTAAAGAGATGGTCGAGCTTCCCTTGAAGCACCCTAGTCTTTTTAAAGCTATTGGTGTTAAACCACCAAGAGGTATCCTTCTTTATGGGCCACCTGGTACAGGAAAAACATTAATTGCCCGGGCTGTTGCTAATGAAACTGGTGCTTTCTTCTTCTTAATCAACGGTAAATTTAGTTCCTATTATTTTCAGCCATTAAATGTAGACATTTGTAAATACTTTTTACTTGCAATAGGTCCTGAAATTATGAGCAAGTTAGCCGGTGAATCTGAAAGCAATTTGAGAAAAGCATTTTCTGAAGCTGGCAAGAAACCACCTGCGATTATATTTATTGATGAGTTAGATGCTATAGCTCCAAAAAGAGATAAGGTAAGAATCATAAAATATAAAATAAATATAATTTATAATTATGTTTATTTCATTTAAAAATATTTTTAAAACTTATAGATTTGTGTTTTTCCAAATTTTGCTTCTTAGTCTAGTTATATAGTTAGGGTGTTTTACACAGAACACAAATAGGTTCAAAGACTTATTATATTAATCAATAATTATTGCAAAATATTGTGTTTTAGACACAAGGTGAAGTGGAACGGAGGATAGTTTCTCAATTATTAACACTAATGGATGGCTTAAAAAGAAACTCGCATATAATTGTCATGGCAGCCACGAACCGGCCTAATTCAATTGATCCTGCCCTTCGTCGATTTGGAAGGTTTGACCGAGAAATTGATATAGGCATTCCTGATACTACTGGAAGACTGGAAGTGTTGAGAATACATACCAAAAATATGAAGCTTGCTGAAGATGTTGACTTAGAACAGGTAATATTTAAACAGGTAAAATTTTTAAGAATTAGGTAATAAAACAAACTCTGATTTTAAAGATTGCTGCAGACACACATGGCCATGTCGGCGCTGATCTGGCATCGCTGTGTTCTGAGGCAGCTTTACAACAAATACGTGAAAAAATGGATTTAATCGATTTAGAAGAAGAGCAAATCGATGCCGAAGTGCTAAACTCACTTGCCGTGTCCATGGATAATTTCAAGGTAATATATTTCAAAAAAAATCTTGAAACTTCCCTAGAACGGACACTCTTGGGGAATAAAATATTGTTCGCTCAATACAGAGGTGTGTACAAAAATGTTTCGCGTTACAAGTTAGGCCACGGTGGGGGTTAATTTTTTCACTGCATAGTTTAGCCAATAGTGATCTAAAACTAAGGTCATCTCATCGCAATTAAAAATGTTTTTGGATTTAAAATTGGTGCAAAATTAAATTTTTCCGTCCAGCTTTGTTGTACAACTTCGGTTCTTTCAATAATGTTCTTTAAAATAAATCGTGTGACACGTAAATTTGTCGAACCAACCTGAATATGTTTTAAAATCCGTTTGCCCTAAATGTTTTGCAACTTCTAAGGCCTTTCTCAGATAAGTGGACCAGTTGGTAGTATTTTACAAGCCTGAGCATAGCAAAACCATTCAAATTCATCCCAGTCTACGGCTGAACCAGATGTTTTAGAAAAGGTTGTGGGATTTGTCATTTCCGTGTCTGTAAAATGTACCTAGAAGTTACTTTTTATTTAGAATTTCACTTGCCTGGGTTTTTCCGTTAGAAAACATTGCAGCCAAGTCTCACAAATCTAGTTTTTCACTTTCACTCACTTTAATTATATTCATTGTTTCTTTAAGTTTCAAACTCACTTAAGAAGTACATGTTTACAAAGTGGCATAATCAAAATCTAGGAACATTGGGAAAATACTGTAAGGTGAACAAAACACATAGGGGAAACAGTGTTTGTCAGAAAAATGTTCATTTTTGGAGGCTGCTGTCCGCTTTTGGGAAATTTTTAGAACAATTGTTATTGGGAGTGTCCTCTTGTAGAAGATTTTAATGTGAAGAATCTGGGAATTAAAATTTGTCCATTCAAGGTTTCTTCTGTTTAGATGTGTCCGTTAAGGGAAATTTCACTGTATTTATTATGTACAAATTGTGGATTTACACTCTATATTTTTCTTTAACACAGTATGCAATGAGCAAGAGCAGTCCAAGTGCTCTCAGAGAAACCGTGGTTGAAGTTCCAAATATTTCATGGGAGGATATTGGAGGCCTCGACAATGTCAAGAAAGAATTGCAAGAACTTGTGCAGGTAAGTGAATAAAGATTAGTTATTTGTTTTTATTTATATGCTAAATTTATTGTTAAATTTTGTTATCTCAGTACCCAGTTGAACATCCAGAAAAGTTTTTAAAATTCGGCATGCAACCTTCACGAGGAGTACTTTTCTATGGGCCACCTGGTTGTGGTAAAACACTACTTGCTAAAGCCATCGCCAACGAATGCCAGGCGAACTTTATATCGGTCAAGGGCCCTGAATTGCTTACTATGTGGTTTGGAGAATCTGAAGCTAATGTCAGAGACATATTCGACAAGGTGTTTATCGACGGTTATATTGTTGTTATTCAATTGCATTTTTACTTCTTGGGTCTTTTCATTTTAGGCTCGTGCCGCAGCTCCTTGCGTTCTTTTCTTTGATGAATTGGATTCAATTGCAAAATCCAGAGGGGGAAGCGTAGGGGATGCAGGTGGAGCAGCTGACAGAGTAATAAATCAAATTCTTACTGAAATGGATGGTATGGGAGCCAAGAAAAATGTCTTTATTATTGGAGCAACTAACCGACCTGGTAAATATACTTTTTTATAATTATTGTTTTTATTTTTTTTATTACTTTTTTATAACATTGTTTCATTAATATATGTAATTTTGTTTGAATTTGTACATAAATCAAAATTATTTTTATCTCATTTTTCCTAGATATTATTGATCCTGCTATCCTTAGACCTGGGAGGCTAGATCAGCTTATTTATATTCCATTACCAGATGAAAAATCAAGAGAAGCTATCTTTAGGGCCAATTTAAGGAAATCGCCAGTTGCAACTGTAATCTTAATTTCATTATAAAATCGATTAAACATGAAAGTAACGTTCAAAAGTAAAGTTTATTTTATTTTAATCTAGGATGTGGATTTGTCGTATATCGCTAAAGTAACCCGTGGTCACTCGGGGGCTGATCTTACTGAAGTATGTCAGAGGGCTTGCAAGCTAGCTATTAGACAGTCAATAGAAGCAGAAATAAGGAGGGAAAAGGAAAGGGCTCAAGGCACCATGGATGTAAGGATGATGGTTTTCCTAATACGATTTATATTTTTATTTATTCATTAATAATACAATCCCTTTAACGTTGACTGCGACAGAACAGCGTAAACCAATTTATCACAGAAAATAACTCTCTGGTACTTAAAAATAATGCAAATGATTTTCTAATAATTTATGACTCAACAGTTGTGTCCCTTGCACACTAAGTAAATGAAGTAGGCAATCCGCAGAACGTTGTTCAGTTTGGGTGTGTAGTTGAGTAAAAGTCCTTTCTAGTTTCTACAATAATTTTTCCTTTATTTTACAAAATCATAGTTAAATAATTAATTAAAAAAATAAAATAGCAAATTTAAAGCATTTTTACTGAATAAAATAATAGTAATCAGTTCCAATTAAAAAAATAAATAAATAAAATTGAAATGATTGTAACCAGTGACACTATTGCTCTTTCTGAGGCCACCCTAAGAATTTCAAATGGAACTGGGTATAGATAAATAGTTTTATTACGTAAATAAAATGTTTACTATGTTAAATGGTAGTTTTTACCTTAATTCCACAAGTTTTTGTAGGTTTTTACTGCACAATAATCCGGTCTTTAATGAATACATGACTTGTTTTTACCTTTTACAGTTGGACGATGAAGATCCAGTACCTGAGATTACAAGAGAACATTTTGAAGAGGCCATGCGCTTCGCTCGTAGATCTGTTACTGACAATGATATTCGTAAATACGAAATGTTCGCACAGACATTACAACAGTCGAGAGGATTCGGTAACAAATTTAGATTCCCATCTTCAGGGAATGTACCAGCTTCACAGGGGACTTCAAACAATGAACCGACAACTTTCCAAGACGATGGTGATGATGACTTGTACAGTTAATTTTACCAATACGAGAGATCCATTATAAAAAAAATAAATTAAATTAAATAAAAAAACTGAAGTGGAATGTAATATTTTTTACAATTTTCACATTTTATAATATGAATCACACGATGCCATTCCTGGTGTGAATTTTAAAATAACAGATTGTACTATTAATGTTTTAATCTTCAAAGAAACTATTTTGCGATTTTGTTGAATTTAAAATAATTTACAGTAAACTTGAACTTGAGTAATAAAAATTATGTTACAAATTATCTGTAAATTTGCAATATAGTTTAAATACAGTTTTCCACATTCAGTATGGCATTACAATGACAAGAGCTGTATTAAATTTAGATATTTAAAGGACACAAATCAGCATGAAAATTGTGTTTTTCTACCAAAGGCATAAAAATGATCATTAGTTTTTTCTGTTATTTACTATATGTGTAAACAACATATAAGGTTTCTGAAAGTTTTAATAATTTTTTATCAGAATAATTTTGTAATGAAGCAGATTTGTTTGGTTACTGTCATTTAAAAAAATGATTGACTAGATATTTGTTCTGGAGTTTTCATCTTTTTTAAAATATATATGTGAGAATTATTATTTATATAATAAGGCATTATTTAATATATAAAATAATGTTTCGGCATAAACACTCATCAAAATTCCGTTTTTTTATAGAAATAATAGCAAGTACTAGCTGTTCCATATACATTTATTCAAATGAGTGTTTGTGCACAATATCCATTTTATAAAATTTACTGTCATTTTAGGAATTAAAAATGACAAAGCTATCCGTGTACTTGTATACATAAATATGTATGTATCAAATATATATATGTGTATGTATACATCAATCAATCATAATTGATAATTAATTTAAAATTTAATTAAATTTAAAACCTTGCATAAAAGTAGATTTTTTTTTACAAATTAAGTAACCAACCAATTCCTGAGCTTTATTTATTTAAATAAATGTTATTAAAAGTTGTATTTTTTATTATTTCCCTTAAATAAAGTAAAGAAATTACTGTCATACTGGAGGGCTTAACGTCCAATGAGTGTCAAGGATGAGGGGTCAGAACTACTACAATACTCTTTTTTTGAATTATACTTAAATAAATCTTTAATGATATTCCTACAGAATTATAATATATTACCTACGCTGTACCAATTTTAGTCATACATTTGGTTATAATAGTGTACATTCTCGGACAAAGGTTTAGAGGGTAGTGAAGAGGCAGCTAAAGCTGGATGTCCCAACCTCTAGACCACTGTGATCGGCCCTCTGACTCTAAAAATTCATTAAACAACATGATTAAAAATATTTGGTGTCAGTGGGCCAGATCGGCTGAGAACCTCTCGCATATCAAGAGCACTGTCGATAGGTGGTCCTCAGAGGATCTGACCTGTAGACGAGTCAGTACTGATTAAGAATAGGACATGTGAGTTGACTCATGGACACAAACCAAGCGGTATGTGGCCAAAGCCCACTTGCTCAATGTGTCCCATCTAGTTGAGAGGTGCAATTCCTTGGCTCCATATACAGAGCGTATAGGAATGCCACCTTACCTGAAAATTAAGCTTGAGTACAGCAGCGATTATCTGGGTCCCCTGTTACAATTTTTTTAAAAAATGGCTGTTTTACTGTATATAATACTTAATAGATATCTTGTCTTGTGTTTCTTTCAGAAGCTCAGCAGTAGTATAGACCATCAAGTCATCAGCAAACAGGAGAAATTAACTGAATAAAATCAAAGAGAAATATTATTAAATACTTAGAAAATAACAGGGCTGAGCAACAACCCCTGAGGTACACCAGACAATACTGCTATTCTTTTAGAACTTACTGGATTAAGTTACACAATTTGATATTTATTATGCAAATAGGAGGTAAACCAATTGAAATTAATTTATACCAGCTGTTAATCAAAAATTATTCATGCGATTATTTTACAATCAATTTATACATATGTTTCACTTTATCACTTCGGATTTATATAAGCCCAAATTCACACATGTATGCACAAATATATATACATGTACAGAGTTGAGCCTATCAATTCTTGCAGAACACTGGCAATTCCACTTTTGTCATTTATAATAAATTACTGGCAAGCGTCGAGAATCATCGACCTCGGTCTTATCCGTCCAACCATCGAGGTTGGGCTAGGGGCTATCAACAGCTAGGTCAAATCAGCACTGAACGCATGCAGTTCCTAGATCCAGACCCATTCACACTTTTACTCATTCTTAAATACATTGTTTCCTATTTACATACCGCACTCAATTAGGGTGGTAATATCCCTCCATCACCCTCTACACATAAAAAAACTAACCTAATTGAGGGTCGATGTACTAAATATTCCACCATCAGCCCTCTTACACTAAACATTCATGCCAATAAATACAGTTCAGTCTCGATCATACACAAAACTATCAGTACTATACACAACAAAACAATACTGTTTCCTCCAAAAATCAGTACATGGGATGCAGACACTCGCTGCTGTGCTCAAGCACAATTCAAGTAATTCACTTTATTCTTTGGTAACATAATATATGTATATTCAAAGACAAAAAGAAAACCCAGACACTGGACAGATATTTATGTTTATTTCAAACTACATGTATTTTTATTGTCATATTAATTGCAACTTTCAATTAATTATTCTTTTTATGTAAGGTCTTATCACAAGCGGGATTCGACATACGACCATTGGCTGAAAGGTCCGAATCCCGCTTGTGACGCTAACATTTTCATTTCAACCAAGACCTTACATAAAAAGAATAATAATAATTGAAAAAAGTAATTTGGTCAATCAGACCACTAAACATAATGGAATTAACAACATACTTATTTTGATGAAAACCAAATTAAATAAATCAGAAATTCATGAGTCTTAATAAAAATGATAATTATGATGGTTTAAAAGAAAATTCACCAAACACAGGAAAATCATCGTTGCACTGACTATATTACCATAATACCAAAATTGTTAGAACCGGTGCACCAATTTTGGTGCCAATGACGTCATCTCCCACCAATTCTCCTTGAAACATACAATCAATCCTTCCTCAGAGAAGAGCCCGTGGTCGATTTGTTTTGCCGGCACCTTCCAACTAAATAGAAAACTTTTGTTTACCTTGTTAGGAATGCTCAATGCACTTTAGTTAAGGAAAGATAGAGGAAAATTGTAAGGTAATCAAATTTATATACACAAAAATTAAATAGATATATATTTTTTTATAATTTAAATCTTTGTATTCGCTCTAAATGTAAATTTTAAATAATCTACCGATTTATAAAATGATTAATCAAGATTTTATATTAATTTTATATTGCGATTTTACATTTTAATCAACTGCAAAAGTATGTCAATTGGTGGTGATTTCAATTTAAAATGTGCCCTGTTCCATTAAACTGGAAGATTTTTTAGATGTGCAGTGGATCAAAAAAGTATTTACAGACCCTGCTGGTGTTGGTTCCCTATGGTTTACAGGGTATGGAGAAGTGCACTAAAATTTTCCAAAGAGTTTAACGCTTAATATTGCTTAGAATTATAAGAAGCTTTTGAACAGTGTCTTATGAAACCACATGCATATTAGCTGGGTAATTGTTTATTTTCCATCTGGAGGAATTATCTGAAACGTTAAACATAATAAAGGTAGATTATCATAATCCCACTTTTTATGAAGCTGTACATTATTCGCAATAGTTGCATCCTGCCAGATAGCTTTATATAAATGATGGTCAATGCTCAGGATTGGAAAACGAAGTTTGGAATATTTACACAGAAGTAAGGAAGGTGATGATGTTTGATGTTGTTGTTTACAAAGGTGATTTAATATTTTTGAAAATCAAATATAAACTGGATAGTGTTTGTTCAAATCAAGCCGAACTACTGGCAATATTAAAATCATTACAGTGGTTAAAAAATGAGGCACGCAACAAATCTTTAAAAATATTCACTATTAACGTAGATAGTAAAACATCTATCGCCATTATCAAAAACAGAAGCACACATTTTCCTATGCGAAACATATTATTTTATGTCAGAGGATAAGGATAGGGATAAAAGAGGTGGCCACAAGGCCTGCACCTCGACCTGGTATGGTATGGAATGGTAATATGGATACTAGGAAGCGGGGTTTGTGCTTCCCATGGACTTCAGCCTTCTGGTTCGTACCTTCCTAGTTCCTTAGTTCAGTGCAATAGACTCAATCCTTCTCGTTAGAAGTATCAGGTCATTGACTGTCGCTACTACAATTTGATTCCTGTTAAGTTAAATCTCCATTGAGCTGTTACTTAGTATTTGAAGATGATATGAGTGGTTGTTTCCTCCCCCTCATTACATAATCTGCAGATGGGATCATCGTTGTATATGCCCATGTTGTGTAGGTGTTTTCTCACATGCCAGTGACCGGTTAGTAGTCCTACCACTCCTCTGAGTTCGACCTGAGTAGATCTATTATGCTCCCCTGTTTTTTATAATTCAGTGGCCAGCTTCCGGTTAATCATTCTCCATAGCCTTGCCAGCAGCTCCTTAGTTTACGATCTTGCTTGTGACTTTTCCTGTCCTAGTTGCTAGAACTTGCACCTACATAGACCTTCACAAAAATATAAAATGTGTTCTGCAGTCTCCTTCTCTTTCTGGTATCTGCACAGTGTTTCTTCTGTTTGTACTCCTATCTAGTTCATGTACTTTCTTAAGTGGCAGTGCCCTGTGAGGAGTCCAGCCAGAATCCTGGTTTGGTTGCGGTTGCCTTCCAGTAAGTCTTTTGTAAGTTTTGCGGATGACCCTTCTATGAATCTCTTTGCATGCCTCATGCCTGTAATATTGTTCCACCAGGTTTTGGACTCATGAAGGAAACATTTTAACGTATACCTTCTTTTGTGGCAAGATGCTAAGCTTCAGTAGGGTTCAGGACCTAGAGAATCCATGTCTCCTCTTTGGCCAACATGTCAACCTTTTCATTGCCTCTATACCCCTCTATACCTTTTATTTACCTAGGTTTACTGACAATTCAGTCTTTATCCTTGTCAGTTTTGAAGCCGTCAGTGTACATAGGAGCTTGTCTTTAGCGGTGCTCCTTTGGCACATTCTTCCCCTTCTGGTATCAATACCTTGAAAAATTGGGTAACCGGCTGACTCCGCCCTGGGTCCTCCACTTGTCTAGAACGATCTTACTGTGTTAGCCAAGTTGACTACTCTGCCATAACTTTACCGAGCTAAGTTCTTGGAGCTTATATCCAGGTATGCCAGTTTTCAGTTGATATACCATGAGCTGAAGCACCTCAGCAAAACAGTGGTTGTTGTCTGGGTACCCAGATAAATATGCCTAGAGGGTAATAAAAAGGTGGTCGGGACGTCCCAACCTCCGGACTTAACCACCATGATTCAGCCCTTTGATGCTAGAAATGCAATAAAAAACATGATTTAAAGAAGTCTTTTGTAGAAATTAGAACCATACCTTGGAGGGTGCATTTTTTTTATAAGACTAAGCACTTTCCTCGGTGCCTCTTCGTGTACCACGTTTGGCAAGAGAATTGCCTTACCATGGCTGTACCATAACCGTGCTAATGATTTACATTCAGAAAGGATATGTGTTGATATCTTCGGTTGTCTTGATGGAATCCACTGAGAAATCGGGTTTTTTATCTTTTAAGAGCACTTGATTATTATGTATTTTAAACCCAGTGGAGGGTGACTTTTTTCCGCCGATGTTTCTATTTAACAGCTCTCGATGGTACAAATATCTGTTTCTTAAATTTCTCAAATTGCTCTAATCTTACAATCACTTTAGACATGGTTTGAAGAATGTACTTTCCTTTTCAGGTGTGATTTTCTTCACAGTAGTTCATGGATTCCCATAATATGGATATGAATATGATGGAAATGAATAGTTGTCAATCTTGGTCATACCAGGTGAGACAATGATCATAAAATAATTTAAACTTTTTTTAGCTGTATTTAAAAATCAGGGATAAGGCCAATTTGAAGAAAAANTTTATTGAATATGATTATGGAATGAGTTCTGAATAATAAATTTAATTCACGACACATGACCAATTTGATACAATTTACATCTAAAAAAAGATGATTTAAAAAATTAAAAAAAAAAATCAATGTAAGGTCCTGAAAAGGTTGGAATCTCAGCGACCAAGAATTCATGCCCGATCCCCTTCCAAACCAGGTTTGTTCAGTGGAAGAACACCAAGCCCCCCAAAACAAACGTGGTACAGGCTGCAGTGCCTAGGAAGTTCCACCTCTGACTCTCTGACTTCTAGGAATCTATCTTACAAAAAATGTTTTAATATAATTAGGTCTGGTAAACGTGTTCAGTACGACAACTTGGGGGAAGCAGAAGTGCTCTGACGAGCCAGACGGCTGACCTTTAGGCAAGTCATAATGCATAAGTAAATTATTTTTGGAAAAGTTTACTGCAAGGGAGGGTGAAAATTGAAATTCCAGCCTGCATTGATTGTAATAACAAATAGAATACTTAAATAGAAAATATGAGGCCAAGTGGTTAGGGCGTCAGGCTCATATTTGCCACTCTAGCAGTTCTGGGTTCGAATCCCAGCAGAGCCCATAGGTTTTTAATTAGCATTCTCCTGTATGAGAGAAATTAATTTTTTTTAAAACTTAAATATACAATATTTGAATGAATAAATAATGACTTCAATTGTCTCTCTCTTTACATCATTTGGTGAATTTCGGGGTAATGTTTTGGTGGAACAATATCATCAAAGGTTAAATATCAATGAAGCCAATTGGAACTAAAATCATCTTTGATATTCAACTTCCTCAATTACTAAAAATAACAATTTTAAACTTGTATGGTCAAATTCATCTCTTTAATTTTTTATGGCCTCGTGATCTTTACACATTAGCCAGAGTATATGTCGTAAGATATATGAGTATGTATATTTTTTCTGAGGGAAAAGGGTTGCATGAAAAAAATCCTAGGGGCAACGGTGGGAAGCAAACCCATGACTGCAGCGTCTATGAACCAAGAACCTATCACACTAACCAGTCAGCTAACAATCCCCAGGTTATTATCCTTAAGAAAGTTTTTATGTAAATGTTTATTTATATATTATTTTATTAACATTTTTCTCTAATTCAATTGAATATTGTATATTCACACTTTTTTTAATACCATTATAAGAAACATACTTAAAGCACTTATATATTTTTTTTTTAATAATTTTATAATGTTAGTTATAGCATGTAATCAGCAATAAAACATTAGTGTTGTAAAGTTAGCACAACTTCACTTTTCATTTTCTCAAAAAGTACCAATTTTTAGTAAGTATTTGATTGTGAGATATATTTTTTGAGGCCGGAACTGTATGACTGAAAAATTTTCGTCCCCTCGCAATCCTCAAAAAATACCACACAATTTAGTATAATAAAAATGACTGTGTAAAAACCTTTATATTTTCATCTGTAGGCTGGAGATAGCATGAAAGCTCTTATTGAAGTCACAAAAACAGACAGTGATGATCACAAGAAAAAGTCACGCCGAATTGAATACAAAACTCATAACGCAATATATTATACAATGCGGTTTCTTTTTGAATGTGGTAAGAATCAGGTTTTATCTTAAACAAAGCATTTTGATGTTAATTGAGTTAATTTGATTTGATTTTGTTTTAGGGTACAAACTTAAGGCCAATCCAATAACTATAGCTACAGCATCTGTAATATCTCACCGATTTTTTAAAGAATTTGATACTGGTTATGATAAATATGTATGTTTATAATTCATCTATTTTACTATCATTCTAATTACATTTTATGGAAAAAAAATTTTTTAATTTTTATAATTCAACTTATAGAACTTAATTATAGATTCTTTAAATCCAAAAGACTTCTACAACTGTAAACAATTAATGGGTAAGTAAAACATACGATGAATCGCTTGTTGTTGTTTTTTTCAGTTGATTGCTGCCACGTCGTTGTACATTGCCGGAAAATTGAAAGATGAAAAGTACAAATTGCGAGATGTAATAAACGTTGCTCACCAAACCCTCCACAGAGGATCTTCTCCGTTAGATTTCCGAGAAGAGTATTTTATGAGAAGGGATGCTATAGTTCAGGCAGAGTTGCTTATCATGAGGACTCTCCAGTTTAGAATAAGCACTCCCAGCACTCATAAGGTAAGCATGTAGAATGTCATTCTTTATACAATGATCGTACTTTTATTATTACTGAAATACAATGTTTATTTCTTCACACATACTGTCATTCAGTGGTGCAGTTTTGTTTAAAAAACCCTTAATATTGAACAATCAAAACTGTATTTATCTTTACTAAATAAATTAAATAATTAATTCAAATAAATTAAATTAACGTTTAAAAACACTGTAACATTACTGACATCTACACAACCCAATGCCATAATCACCACCTACACATACAATACTGCAGTTTTGTTCAATCCTACCTCCAACATCAAAACACTTTGAGCTTATCGAACACTAGTGCAAAATGTGATGGACTCAGTATACGTTCACATTGAAAAAACAGTATTACCCTCCACTATTCATCCTCAACAAAGAGATTACCCTCCACGATTCATTCAAGTCAAATACTTAGGGACTATACTTAGCAGACTGACATGGAATCTTAAGAGACAACAACTTAACAGAACACTTGGACAACTATGAATGCTAGATCATCAAAACTAAACTAATCTTATACAAGACTACTGCGACCAACTGTGGGGTTTTGCCATGCCACCTAGCATCCAGTGCATCCAATCCTTTCAATCAAAAGTTGTCAGACAAATCGTCAAAGTTCCTTACTATGTCACTAATCTCACTATTCACAACGAGCTCAATATACCTTTTGTCAACAAACTGATCCTTCCTGATTCCAAAAATTTCACACCAACCTCTCGATCCATCCTAATTCTACTGCTTGAGCTTTTTTTGCACATTCCCATCCCAAGAACCCGCCACTCGCCTTAATTGACGTTGGCCTCGAGACCTCCTTTCCTTTAATCCTTCACACTGAATGTCAACATTGGCCGATTTCTCATGGTATCCTCCAGGTGCAGCGCTGTCCTTAGTTTTAGTGACTGTGAGAAAAAAAAAAATTGTGATCAAATTTGTAACATGTACAGTTTACAAATAAAATTTTTAAAAAATTTTTTAAATTTAATAAAAAAAAACATTTTTTTAAATTCTTAATACAGGTAGTTTCAGTTAAACAAAAAATAATTTTATTAAATCAAAACCTGTTTAGATTTTCAGCAAACTAGGATTACTTTAATTTTTTCTGCATGAAATTTGATTTACTATAACTTATATAAGGTTGTTCAAATAAATTATGAAGGGGTTTTAATTATTATTTATTTTATTTTATTTTTTTTTTAGTATCTCCTCCATTACTTATCAACTTTAAAAACATGGTTAACAAAAGAAATCTGGGAGACAGTTCCTCTGTGCCAATCATCATTTGCATTTTTACAAGTAAGTCATATAAAAACACTAGCATGGGAGTGTTGTATTTGCTCATGTGTGTGCATGCACAACGTATGTGCTGGAGAGCAGGGAGGAAAGATAATTCTTGAGAAATCCTGCTATTGAAAGTAGTTTATGTATGTTAAGTGTTGTATGAATGAGAAACTTCAATAATAAATTATTTTTAAGCTTGTTTAAAGTCAAGCAAGGTTTTTATTTAAAAGTTATAAATTTATCAATGGAAGTTTGTTGAGGTTAGTTGGTATGCCACCAATAGTTTATAATTGTATGGAGTTTGATGGGGATCTGTCAGGAGTGAGGTGGAGATATCCCGATGTTACTAGTCTACAGTAACTCTTTTCCAGAGGCAAAACACCTAGCAATTAACTGATGTTAACTTAAAAACAACTTAACTTTACTTAACTTATATGGCAACTGTGTGGCTGAGTGGTTAGGGTTTGACTTGTATTTGCCACGCTTGCAGTACTGGGTTTGAATCCCGGGGCAGAACTCATGGCTTTTTGATTGATAATAGTATGTTATGGATGTTAAGCCATCCTCTTTTTTTTTTTTTTTTTTTTTTTTTTTTTTTTTTTTTTTTTTTTTTTTTTTTTTTCCCAATACTATATACTGGAGGAGTTTCCCCGGGCACTGCAGCTTTACAGCTTATTGAACTCCTTGTGCCGGTGTTGGTGTTCTTTCATGGAAGAACTCATTTTTAAAGGGGGTCTGAACCGAATTCAGGGTCACTGAAATCCGATCCCTCCCTGGACCTTCCATTTATGAGTGCCTGCCAACTTTCATTACTTTCGGTGTTAGAAGTATCGACCACTTTTTCACTCACGAACTTTCTGGGTCAAGGTATGGTCTTAGAAAAAAAACAAACCCATTTGTTACTGCCAAGCTTTCAGCCTATTTTAAGGTCATTATCAGGGCCCATATTAATTTCACATTATGAAAAACATATTTGTACAATTGATTTATAAATCAATGTAACTATATAGAACGTACAAAACAATCTTACATATGTCTACAGATTGAAATTACTACAGATTGAAAATTACAACAGATTGAAAATTACTACAGATTGATATGTAAAAAACTTAAATATGTCAATCTATAGACATATTTAAGATTGTTTTGTACATTCTATATAGTTTTATTGATTGTTAAATCAATTGCACAAAATATTTTAAATAATGTGAAAATAATATAGGTCCTGATGATGACCTTAAAATAGGTCAAAAGCTTGGCAGTAACAACTGAATTTCCTTTTTTCTTCAAAATCATACCTTAATCCAGAGTGTTTGTAACTTTCATTGTGGCCACTGCTCCACTTATGCATCAGAGCATAGTCTAGAAGTGACAGTGGGGGTGGAACCATGAGATCAGCTAGCCAAGAGTCTGACGCCTTAACCATTCAGCTACCACAGTCTGCTCCTGACAAGAACTATTTTACTTATGTACTTATGTCAAGATATAAAGTGAATTGTTTTGATTTTCTTCTCCACCTCACTCCTAACCGATCTCCATTAATCTCGAAAGAACGGTCAATGAAAGTCCATGATATTACAACTATTTTTGTATAGTGAAGAATTTTGTTCTTTTTATATATATATATTATTAATTATGAACAAACAGCTAATATGTTATGTTATATGTATGTAAAATAATATATGTTGAATCAGCCAAGGACCAGGTTTCAGTTCAGCCTAGGGAAATATGCCATTTTCTTTCAAGTGGAGACTGTGTCTATTGAACACTGTGTCAAGGAGATTAAAATGCTAGGTATTGTTAGCAGAAGAACAGTCATCTACTCGGACAGCCAGGTGGCAGTGAGGGCAATTCCCGCATCGGTGGTCAAGTCCAGTCTCGTTGGGATTTGCTTTAGGGGCCTGTCAGACATTGGGGAAAACAACAAAATTACCCTTGTCTGGTTACCGTCTCACAGGGCATAGGGGCAATGAAGACAAAGTACGATGAGACACATTTTGTTCCTGGACCCTTTTGTGGCATACCAAACTGCCAAAAACGTGGATCCATCTGACAATGGATTAAAAATTCTCTGTTCAATGAGAATGTAAATCTAAAATAGAGACATGTAAGAAGTTCATCGAAGGACCGTTACAGAAAATAACTGCAAACTTCAGAGGCATGTAGACTCCGAGTGGCAGAAACAAGTCTGCAGATTTTACCAGGAAGAAAAGACACCAAAACATGTCCTCTGTTGTTGCAAAGACTTATGTAGAGGAAAATCTCCAGGTCTGAAGGATACAAACAGGAGTCCTTGAAAAAGCTTTGAGATCTGGTAAAAAAACCTTAAGCTTAATGAGGAGTTCTAGGCAACAATGCTAAATTGTGGTAAAAAATGGAGATGCTCAAATGCACAACAGACCAATGCTGGTCATGGTGCACAAGTCATTAAAAAGCAAACTCCTTCTCTAATCTAAATCTTTTGAAAAAATGAAATACCTTGTGATTCTCATATAAACCTTTTATTTCATATTTATTACAATAATTAAAAATTAAAATCTTTTGATTTTGCAGGATTTTCATCATGACCCTTTGGTTTTGGAATTCGCTCCTCAGAATATAGCCCTGGGGTGTATTCATTTAGCCATGCAATGCTATGGTGTAGATGTGCCCTGCATCCCCGAAACGGATGACTTTTGTTGGTTCACTGTAAGTTTCGACTGATAAAATAATGTTAAATACATATCATGGAAAATGGATATCTACTAATTTGGCGAATGTTCGAATTTTCCCAGGTTTTTTATCAACATGCAAAAAAAGATGATATTTGGCAGGTTATAGAAGCAATAATGGATATTTACAATAGAGAAGAACAGTCGCCAGGAAATGCAAAAAACTTTTAAAATCATTTTATTAAATACAGATTTGATTTTTTTTTTTTTTTTTTTTTTTTTTAGTGTACATATATTTCTTTTTGGTTGTTAATTTTTATATTTCATTCCATTTGAAAATTGATGTTTGTTAATTGAGTTTTTCCATTTAAATTTAGTTGTGTTTGCTGATTGTTATTATATAATTTACTATCAATTATTTTATCGATTACGACTTTAATATCTTTTTTATTATTATTATTGAACATGACAAGTTCATCTAAAATTATCAAATTCCACTTGTGTCTTTACAATTAGATAGCAATTTTGTAAAATAAATATTTTCTTTGTAGCAAACAAATACGAAAATTGTTATGACAAGAAAACCTAGACAAATTGAGGAATGTGTACATTTATTTATAAACATTTTGCATAAGACTATCATTTATGCACCTAAAATATTATGAAAATGTTTTAATTGAATACTTTTAAATTATATTACTAAATTTAAATTAATACTAGTCCATTGTATACATAATTTGCTTACAGTTGTTTAAATTCTTTGTGATAATAAAAAATAACAAAAATCATTTGTTTTCAAATTGTAAAATTATTCACTGCTTTAACAAATGTGTAAGAAAGTTAAAATTGATTACAATCAAACAATCCCAGTTTAAAAGTTAAGAACAAAATGTTGGTGTATAAAATTTTAGTTTACAGCGTACAACTCTAAAAAGATATTAATTGAGGATGTCTGTTGATATTTTTTTAAATTTATTTATTTACTTACACCTGCGCCAAATGCTGCCCACATTTAACAGAGGAGGAGGGTTCTATGGCTGCAACTGCAATAGGCAACTTAAAGATAATGGAACGTGTTATTGATATTCTAACAAAAAAAAATCTGTGACCCCGTTATTCTTAGGATTGAATTTTATTTTTCGACAAGATAACTATCCTAAACATCACACCAGAGGTGTTGAGGAATAATTGGTGTACAATGCTGCACAACAAAAACACTTCATTCGCCCAATTTAAACCTAAGAGCACTTCCATGTTAAAAAGAGGCTGAAACAGTGTGAAACAAAAACAAAAAACTACTGGTTAATTCATTTGTGACATTTTGAAAAAGGCTGCTAGGCTTATATGCTGTTATATGTTGATGATGATGGAAATCTAAAATGTGGGATTTTATGTCACCCGAGCACTGCAGCCTTCTGGCTTATTGTATTTTTCCTAGTTCCTTAGTTCAATTCATTTGATTTGATCGTTCTCTTAACAAGTACAAGGTGACTGTTCATACTATTACTTTCCCTGGGTTTTCTTTGTCTCCATTGAGCAGTTGCTCACATTTGAAGATGACATGGGTTAGTGTCTTCCTCCTCATTTCATAACCTACAAATGTGGTCATTATTGAATATATCCATATGCATGCCAGTGACCAGTAATTATATCACTCCTCTGAGTTTAGCCTTTCTAACTGTAGCAATAGAAATATGGATGAAACAGGTGGCCATAAGGCCTTCTGCACAGTGTTTCTTCTGTCTGTACTCCTACCCTATAAATGTGCCCTGATAGGTGGTAGTGCCCTGTCAGGAAACCAGAATCCTGGTTCTGTTGCAGTTACCTTCCAGTCGTAATTCCTTTGTAAGTCATGCAAATGACCCTCCTATAATTTTTTTCGCTTGCCTCATCTCATGCCTGGTGTGTTGCTCCACCAGGTTTGGACTCATTAAGGATCCATTTTTGGATTTTTTTCAGGGGAGGGAGATATAGGCAATAGGGTTCGGGGCCTAGAGAATTCATATTGGCTTCTTTTGTTGGCCAATATATCCACTTTCCCATGCCTGAAATCGATCATTGGTGTTATTGACTTGAGTAATTCCATAAATTTCATACGCACCTTTACATCACATAAGGCCTTAAGTGCCACTGACTGTCAGAGAAAATGACTAACTTTCTGGAATGGGTTCCTAGCCTTTTTATTTCTCTGGCACAGTGATCAATCTCTATGAGTTTAGCCTGGAAAACTTTAGTTTACCTAAGTTTAAAGTCAGTTCTTCTATTCATCCGAGGACTCCAGCACTCATGCCTCTATATGTTTTTGAGACGTCGATATACCGGTACGAATTGGCCTTCAGAGGTCTTCCTTTGGCCCACTCTTCCTTTCTGGTATGAGTCCTGTACTTGGTGAAGTTATATTTTGGAGTAGTGGCCAGTGACTGTTATATAGTCCTATCACTCCTCTGAATTTAACCATCTCCAATTGCAGCAGTAGTTTGCCAGTCTTGGTGAGGGTTGTTTTAACATAAGCTTTCTTTGTCTAGCACCACTAGAGTTTAACCACTTCTCCTTTTTTTTATCCATTCTGAGATGAAGTGTTCTATGTTTGCTTTTGTTATCCTAAAAATAGATTTAGGGCTTATATATGGTCTTGCAGAATCACCCCTGTCTGGTGGGTTGCACCAAATTTCCTTGTGTAATACTACCCAAGGAATCATCAGGTTGTTGTTTCCCTGATTTTGGAAATTTTGGATGCATTCACTAATTTTGATGTGATGTTAAAAGTAAAAATGTAGTCCTAAGAATAAACAGGCAGATTTGTGAATAAAAGTAAATTATTTTGTGTTAATGTGTGAGGTAAACGATGTTTTTTTATATTTTGACCTCAACAGTTTAACTTATGATTTTTCCTTCTCGACGGTGGGATAATAGGTCATCTCAAAAAAACAACAACCAGTTTTTCTTTCAATCCATACGTTTCGGATTTATTTTAATCCTTCCTCAGGTAAGTTAAGTGAGGTAAATTCAGAGTGGAAGTGTCACAGTTTTTGACCCGGAAGGGCCGCTGGGTCGGACCCACCCAACAGACTTGCAGCGCGAAGCACAAAACTTGAAGTTTTTCTTGTTGCAGTTGAATTTTTTTTCTCTTGGATCGAACAGTGTCTAAATGTAATAAATGCTAAATGGGTAATAATAATAGTAGACCGATTCTGTGGGGGTAGGTAACGGGGACAGGGGTTGGCCCCACTGGCCGCATCGTGAAATGTACAAAAAAAGGGTTTGTCCTATTGTATTAATGTAGACGGGAGTGATTTCGTATTGTTTTTTTTACCGAATCCTCTTCTTCAAATCGTCTCGTTGCGTTTCGCTCTTTTTATTGAAGATTTTTCAACGATCGACGCACCGAAGACGAAAGAAAGCCACGTCGAACCTCCGCCGAATCTAAAATCGAAATAGTCTCCGAGGTTCCGGCGAAACGGGAACGGGAGGCTCGGAGAATGAGAAACAGCGCTTATCCCGTGTTGTCGTCGGTCGTTTAACGTCGTCCAGCCGCGTCGTTTCGGATTGTGTGATGGGAAGAAAAGGACGGAGTTGAACCGAGGAAAAACAAAAACAAAACAAGAAAAAAACGGAAAGAAGGACACGGCTGGTAATCGTGAGATGGCCGATCCTAGGTCTTAATACAAACAAAATTTGACAAGTTTCCCATTAAAAACCGGACAAATACAACAATGAACTCGACAGTGATCATTCAAGTCTACACGTGATTCATGGAATCTGCGAAAATAATTGAAAATAAAATGTGGAAAAGTTCCGAAATTTAAAGAGGTGGCTCTTTATTTTATCAATCGGACGAAAAGTGAACAGTTTTTGACGGACGTCTTTCCACGAGAAAGAGGCTGAATAAGGAAAAACAAAAGGTAAACGAAAATTCATTTAATTTCAGTGACCCTCTTTGTATTGTTTTGATAACATTCTAGCCTAGCATTTTATCCGTAAATATTAAAAAATTTAAACAAACAAAATAAAACAATATCTCCTGAGTTTTATTTTATTCGATATTTGTCAACCGATCGTGATGAAAGTGGTCAACTGAGGTTTTTTAGGTCGAGGAAACAGAAATGAATTTAAACAAGAATTTTCCTCCAGATACATACGTAATTCCATTTTTTAATGGTATTTTCCCGTTTTTAGTTTAATTAATAATGTAATATTGGTAACTGCGTAAAAATGAATCCGTGTCCCGTAGTCGTCGGTGCTCACTTTGTTTTTGTTTTTGAGGTGTGGCCAAATCGAGTCGGTCCCGCATTCGTGTCTCTCCGACCCAGTTTGTCATTGCTTATATTAAAGGAGGGCCTATTTTTCATTATTTTCGACGTGTCTGCAAATATTTAAAAAATATAAATAAATAAAATAAAACAAAAATATAAAATCCTCCATGGTAATCTAGGACGTGTTAACGCCCCGATTTTCGTTCGTTCTTCCGCTCTTGTGAATTATTTTTACTTTGATCCATTTAATTTTATTCAAATAAATCCCATTAAAAGTTTCGTTGTTAACGAGAATTACTCGTGGAAAGACAAAAAAGTCTTGATAATCCGTGGAGATTCGCCGTAAATTTATTCGTGGTGAATACTGTGATAACTCACTCAAATGGATCACAAATCGCTTTATTTTATTTTCAACGGCCCCTCCGAATTCTTTTATGATTGACAGCAATATATTAAATTACTCAGTTGGATGTAACAGAAAAAGTTTATTTTTCTCTCTCTCCAAAGCATTTCAAAAGAAAAAATCTCATCGAACAGGTATATTTATACTCTAGACTCCATGGAACCACAGATGTCTATGTTATAGTACACAATAGTACAAAGTACGACCACACACACTTTCTGTTTCATAATGTAGAAGCCCTCAAAAACTACAAAAATACAAATCAACCGTTCGGTTCTGGGCGAGATTGGCAAAGAAGCTCTCAATAGTACTGTCGATAGCCCTCAGAGGAGCTGTCTCGTAGAAGGGTCATCCTCACCATATTAGTACAGGCTATGCTGTGTTGACATACGGACACTTAATTTTGGGCCACATCCCTTATATATGCCTAGAATGGAGAGAAAAGTTAGGTGGGTCCCACCTAATTGAAGGATGTTATTCCTTGGCTCCATATCGAGAATACAACCCAATATGAGATTCTTGAGCAAGCAGCGGGTATTTGTATCCCCCACCAGCTTCTATTTTTAGGGAAAACTGGGTTGTTTTACATTTCTTAAATTGAATGTTTGTTGTTTTTCTCTCTAACCGAACAGCTGATTGCTGATTTATATAAGCTCGAATCCGTACACGCATGTAGAGCCTATCATTTCTCACAGTTCACTGGCAGTTCTAGCTTTTGTGATTTACAATAAATTACCAGCAGGCTTCGAAAATCACCCACCTGTGGGTGTTGACATTCCGGGGTCAGACTTTGGCCTTGTCGTCTGGTCACCGAGGTTGGGCTAGGGTGGCTACCAACAGCTAGGTCATTTCAGCTCCAAGCAATCAGTTTGTAAATCAAAACGCCTCACTCACTCACATCCTATTTAACCATAAACTCAGGATGGTGTAGTACTCAATATTCCTCCATCACCCTTTACAAATATGATATAACTAATGTAATTGAGGGATGATGGGGTACTCAATATTTGACCACACAACACATTCACTCTCAACACTCAGGGCACACAAAACTATCAGTACTGTATTCAATAAAACAGTTGCCAACAATTGGAGCAGGGGACCCCAGATACTGTCGTACTCAAGAACAATTCTCATATCGGGTGGCATTCCTACGTGCTGTCTATATGAAGCCAAGGAGTTGCACACTTGCACCCTTCAATAGGAGGACATATCGTGCAACTTTTCTCTACATAGCAGACACACACATGGACTTTGACCCAAAAGTGCCCGTGTTTCAACCTTACATTACTAGTATAAATAAAGACATTTTCCAAATATTTTTATTATTTGTGACTGTATATGAAACAGAATTCCTGTATTTTAAACAATTGTTCTTGTACTTTCGACTTTACTTGTCCATTGTACTTCTGACATTTGTTATTATGTCACAAAATTCTATAAATTACAAGCTACTACACTAAAGAGTATTATTTTGTATTTAGTTATGAAACAGAGCCTGTATTCAGTTGGTTGTAGTTCTGTTGCATATCAGTTCAAAAACAGGAAAATAAGATAAAAAATTGTTACAGTTGCAAAGTTAAGGGTAAACTATAGATCATATTTACAAACAGATAAGTAAATTTTTCAAACATAAAGTACACATTAACAGATTTCAACTGCACAACAGTAGACTGAGTCAATCTGATTTAAACAGTAATAAAAATTCTCTTATCTCAATTGAGATTATTTCAACAAATTAAGAAAACAAATTTCTACTACAGTACAAATTAAATTAATAATTTAAATTTCTTATTAAAAGAACATCCTTTTAAATACACATAGTAGTTTCCATTTTTGCTTTTATTTTTTTATTGCTTAAGACAATTCTTAACCCATTTGGGTTGGTGAGTGTGATATTTCTACATTGCCATCTTACTCACTTTTATCCCTTATCACACTCTAGTCCCTTCACTTTTAGACTGAAGTTCAAAAATGCAGTGTGTTACTTAAAACAGTAAATGTCATGTTTTCTAAATTTCTTAACTCTCACTAGCACTAAATATTACAACTTAAACAGCACACTGTTTCTATGAACTTGATTCAAAAAGTGAAGAGAGTATACGCGAAATTACACTCTCAATAACTGCGTAGAGTTAGGGATGATCGCTACGTGCTACTTTGGGAACGAAGAGCTATTAAGCTGACCATCCTGAATGAGTTAAATAAAATTAATTCAATCAATTTTTTACTGAAGTATTAATTTATTCCCTCTAAGGGCAAGATTATGAAGCCTGTTTGTACAAATTGTAACCAAGTAGATAATGTATCTTCATGCAATAACATTGATACATCCATCACTGTCTATACATTTAGTATGGAACTATTGTATCTGAATTGTGTCTTTGTACTTTGTCAGGCTACACAATGGGCAGAGTTTACCTGCCTTAAAGTTTCAATTCAAACTTAAAATTGTAGGCTAGTTTCACACGAGGAGGTTTTAGTTTATTCAACTGAGATGCCTGGTCGACTAGTTCACTTCCTTGTGAAAATGTTTCTTGGCTCGTTTCACACCAGGCAGCTTGTGGAATCAACTTCTCTTCCCAACGGGAATTCAATACAATGTTAGAACCCGAGTAAACAGGAACACTTCTTGTGCTTGCTCTTCTGCTATTTGGCAAGCTCCGTGCTGTTGAAATCGGGATAACAATTGCATGCCACTTTTCTTTAAGCTTCACTTCTTTTAATTATATCACAATATTCATTACACCTCATGTCCCATATTGTGAATTAATTCGAAGTTCTTCATTAAACTGTTAAAATTTGAAGTAGGAACACTTTTCATACTGAATTCATTTCACTCAACTAGGTACCTCGAAAGGTGGTCAAATGCTTGTTGAAGAGAGTTCCACAAATGGCCCAGAGGTAAGTTTCTCTGTCGGAGTTCAACTTCTACTAGGTGGTGGGAAGAAGTGTTCAGCTGACTGTTCTAGCATTTCTTAAGTGTTTTTTTTTTTGCAAAATTTATGTCGAATAGTTTTCACACTTGCTAGGTCCTTTTCTTCCTTTAGGGCTGTCCCACACATCACCCTATAGTCGAATTGACTGTGGATAGGCCATTTGTATTTCAACAAGCCTATTTCATTTCATTAGATTTTCAAAAATGAACTAATACTCAAGTTGATTGCTAAGTTGCTAATATTTACTCACCTTTATACCAGAAAATGTTTCAAAAGACTTTTTTATATTTAAAAAAATGTTTGCTTAAGGAGTAATGAAATGTGAGAAAAGACTTTGGCTTTCATATAATTGGGAGTGTTCAAAATAGAGAGAATAAATTCAATATAAATTAGAGAAGCTTGGTCAATTCTTTATAAAAATCAGTATCGCCAAGTATGACAGGTATAGCACATAATCCACCTGTTGCTGGATCGAACCAACAGTTTATTTTGTTTTCATGAGCAATTTATGCCAAATTTGGTGTTAAAAAGAATGAATCTGATGGAAGGTTGGTTTAAGTGAAATTTAAATATTTATACAGTTTGACTAAATTGCTGATTGCCAGCAAAAAAAAAAAAAAAAAAAAAAAAAAAAAACCTTGTTATACCATTTAAGAATTGACAAAAAGAAGCATAAGTCGTTACAAGAGTGTTGAAACAGCAACTCAAATGTAAGGGGTGGGTCCGAGTTCAAATCTCAGCACCCTGGAATGTTTTTTCAAGTCACGTCGCCATTATATAATTTGTTTAGATGGAAATCGTTATTTTATTTTAATTATGACAGACAAAAAAGGCAGTGGAAAGTAATGGGCAAATATAAGCCAAAAAAGTCCGCATACAGTTTCTGTACATCATGTTGAAGTTTAAATCACGGTAAAAAAAAGTGTCAGGAAAATAATTTTTATATAATGTTAAAAAATAAATTTGTATCAAATTATTATTATTTTATTACTGTTCCTAAAGCCTAAATAATAACATGAAAATTATAATTAATGAAACATGTAAAAAAAATGCATTGTGCAAGTTGCATCAAAATTAATATAAAAGTGAGTGAAATTAATAATCAGTGGGGCCTCCTTTATTTTCTCAAAGATAGTAATTTTTTGGTTATGTCAGAACTGATATTTTCCCATTCTTCCTTGACAGCTTCAGTCAGATGACATTCATTTTTTATTCCTCGAGTTTTCAGTCTTCTCTTCATTTCTTCCCAGAGATGTTCAATGTGGTTAAGATTCGATGATAGGGTGTTTTTATTTGGCGGGGAGTGTTGTATAATAACCAATCCTCCATTTTCTTAGCATGATGTTTAGGGTCACTATCTTGTCGGAAAACAAAATTTGCAAAAATTCCAAGTTTCTGGGCACCTAGCTTGAAATTTTCTCTAATAATGTTCATAAACACATTGGTCCATGAACCTCTCAATCATATGTAATTTACCAACCACTGATGTTGCCATACACAACCATTGTTTCACTGTCATAAACAAATTTTTAAATTGGATACCTTTTTTCTGCCATGTTAACAATCCCATCAAAACAGAAAACATTTTTTTGTTTTTAATGTTAACTTTATTGAAGTAGGGCGTTTTACAAGCAGATCGTGAGCTAAGATGACATATTTTAATGGTATTACAAATTTACTAGTTTCGTGGTCCGCTTGACCAAGTAATATCTTACAATTAATTAAGGTTTTTTATTTCAACTAAAAACCTTAATTAATTGTAAGGTATTACAATGTTTGAGGTGTTACATGAATGCCATAATCCCCATAATGCACAGGGGCACTAGTAGAAGACTCTCAATTCACACATTGAAGAATCCTCTCATGAGGTCGTTACTTTCTTTGGCCATCCTGATCGGTGCTTACTTTCCAAAGTGAAATTAGTTACGTAGTTTTGGATGATTTTTTGTACAGTTGACCGAAATTTGCAAACAATTTTTCAAGATTAGTGTTGCACTATCAACCGCCTAATTTCAACTGGCACCTCCATTATAATGAAATATTTATAAGATTATTGCTTCACACAATTGATTCTTAAGTATTACTAACTAAATTTGAACATAAAAAGAGATAAGAATGTCGGGTTGGAAGGCACAGCGGCTGGATTCGAACCGGTGGCCTTTACCATTGCGGCCATCAATGCCCTTTTTTTGTTGTTGAAAAGGAATTAAACCAAAGGGGTATTGAAACTTATATCGCATAATCAAACAATTGTTTTACATCATTGAATTTTTTAAAATTTAATATCGTCTTCAGTCAAAAATAATACAGGGTTCAACATACACAAATATAAAGTCTTTCTTAGTTTTATACTAAGTAATAAATAATTTCTTTTTCTTTAAAAAAAAAAAAAATCAATTTAAGGTTGTATAATGACTAATTTTACTAACTGTATTTATAAATGTGTTTGTTGAACTAAATGAATTAATAATTGATAGATTTGTGAGGAGCAATCTTGACTGTTCCTCATGAATCCAACAAATCATTAAACAACCACAAGTCACTAAAAAGACGCATAAATGAATTAATTTGAAATTTGTCTCCAAATATATGTCTTACATCCTAAATTATCATGATCACAATTGAGCAAATGTTTTACATTTTATGTTAAAACTAAAACTTGATTGTATTTTTTGTTAAATTGTGTTTTAGTCTATATAGAAAACCACAGATAGAAATCATGCATGTACATTTTAACTTCTAACCCACAAGAGAATGAATTGGAACTAGACTCTCCCCTCTATTTTAGAAATGTCTAGTTTGCATAACACGGGTATGAATTGTCCAAAAGAGGGAAAAACGCTCCTACATCATTTAAAACTAAAATTGTGTAGATTATTTATCTGTTGCCCTTGAACTACCCCATTAGCAGTTTTTATCTTGTTTTGGGATAGAAGTCATTAAGAATAAGTTGAGATTAGTGAGAGCTGCTAATTTTTTTTTTATCTTATTTGCCTAATCATAGAATCTGAGATGAACTTGTGTGCGCATGCACTGGTATGTGTGTCTGTTACGCTTGTCAAAAACCATTAAAACAATAGAAAACAATAACAAGCATTGTATAAGCAAAAACATGCCTTAAATTTAAGATAATTTTTATTTTTTTAAATAAGTTTCTTGAATTAGAAAAAAAAATGTTTTAAAGATAACTTAAATTCTTGAGTAACTTAAAACATAAGTTTTTACAGTTTAAAAAACTAGGAATAAGCATGCCTCATGCAAATATTACCCTTAATATTCTCACAAAAAATTTAAAAAAGAGAATCTGGTAACTGTCTGATGCAGTATTTTTGGAGTAATTATAAAGAACAATTTTAATTCAGTTATAGTTTTATTTTAAAATATGAGTTTGTTATTATCCTGATGGTTCTACTGTATCCAAAATTTCTTTGGTGTTTAAAGCCAACCTTCACATTGACTCTTGTGTAATGGTAACAGTAATTAGAAATATGTGAATATACTTAATTTTTTCTTAATTTTGGAGTGTTGACAACAAGTTTATGAGTAATAATTTTTTGTACAAAAAGTATGCTTTTCTGAACAAATTTGTATTATTATGAATTTTTTTCTTCTTCTTATTTTTTTTAATAGGCCAAGTGCTTGTTTTGATTTTCCGATACAGCATCTTCATACAGTTTTAGTCATTTTTACACAAAATCCATAAAAACAATGGATTATCAGGCTTGAAAAGGATTTAGTGGCTAGTAAAGAAATATTACATTGCACTATTATCTTTTTGAACGAGGGACGAGTCTTTGACCAGAGCCTGCATTCAATATGGCTTTGTCATTTTGATAGCACCTTAATTTCACGGTGCAACACTTAACAAACAAAGGGAATTCTTCAAAAATAGCATGAAAAATAGAAAACAAATCCTCCTTTTTGTACCATTTTTCTTTCCTTTCTTTCTCTCTCCCCTTACCAATAAACATTACATCCAAAACCGTCATTCAGGAGCAGTATAATTGTTAACTGATCTATGTAAGTTTCTTAATAATTTCAAGAAGCAGACAATCTAATATGTTCTCACCAAATAAAGTAATGTTTAAAGGATTACAACTCCAAAATTCCTAGTTAAATTAAAAAGTTGATGAACAAGTAATAACAGAAAAATATTAACTTTCATGAAGAATTGTATTTATATGTATACATGGTTGGTGTGTATGTTGTACTTATACATTGTCTTGTTTGTCTAGGAATTCTTTGTTGGGATTGTATCTTCCAAATAGGAAATTGCCATGTCCAATAGTCAGTTGGTTGATTCCTGCTTGTAAGTTTATTTCAAAAGCTTTTCAATATAACATATTCAATTATACTTTTTCTGCCCTTTGTTAAATGTAATTTTGTGTTCTCTTAATCTCACCAGAAACATTGGTCCCATAGATTATTAGATAAAAGATTTATCTTAAAATAACCGTTTAGGTTTATTCACTTGGCACTATTGTTTCTGGCGCTTTAAAATATAAACATAGTAATTTTAAGAACCCTGCTTTGCATGATGTATACTTATGTACTTAAACCTATGTTTAGAAATTTTCTTCTTAACAGCCTTTTCTGTGGAGATTAAAATGTCAAATTTCATCTAAAACAAAATTTGCATGTTTCAGTACAAAACATGGTTTGATTAATCACTTGAAAATAATTATTTTCTATATTAAAATGGTTAAAATTATAACAAATACAATATCTCAAAGCATTACTGATTTTTTAAATTCATTAATACATAATTAGTTATGAAAAAATATTAAACTTTATTAAAACTTTTTTGGCCTTAGTTGTATAATCCTGTGTTATTTTTTGGGTGTAGAGGCCAGCAGGGATGTTTTATAAAAGCAGAAAACATTTTTTGACTTAGGCGATGTTTTGGTACTATTTTAGTACCTCCTCACGTTCATAAAGCATATAACATCCCCAAAGTCAAAAAATGTTTCCTGCTTTTTTCCAAAACAACCCTGGCCTCTACACACAAAACAAAAGTTGTTTTTTTTCTTACTTTAAAAATTAAGAGACAGTTGAAATATTAATATCATCTTTATGCTGGTATGGATATAAAAAACTAAATTCATTCTACTAGTAATCCATTTTTTAGGTTTAATTTTCAATGGTTTTAAGATTTTGTACATCAATTAAAAGCTTTTATACATTTATTTTATTCTCGCAAGCAATTGTCTACTGGACACTGAAGTTTGTGATAACTAGCATAATTAAATATTGTGTTTTTGGAAAGTGACTCTTTATCAGTTAGTTTCATACAATGAAATTTTATATAGTTTAATTTGTACTTACTTTTTAAGGAGGGTACTGCAGGAAAAACCACAGGATATGCCTCAATACATGTAAGTATAAATTAGTGTTTAGATTTTGTAAATTAATAATTGTATCAAATATTTATTGATTTAGCCTATACACATAACTCACTACTTTGGCTTATTTAATATAATTTTACTATAAAATAGGCAAATTGAAAACAATATATGTATATAATTTTTTAATGTTTCTAAATTGTTCATATTTTTTTTAAATTGACCATACTGGTTTATTAAATTTATGAGCTTAGTTTACTTCCTGTCAAAGTATTTAATTTGTTAGTTGTATTTTGTAGTATAACATATATATGTATATGTGTTGTATTTCTTCCCAAATTCTCTTGTGTACAATTAATCAAGATCGAATTGATGTTTTGAACAGTACACAATCTCTCCCCCACTTGCCGTTTTATCATACAAAATACTTAAACCTGTTCACATAATTGCCTGAACATGTATTATTTTAATTACATATTTGGTTGGGGACCGCGGTAGCCGAGTGGTTAGCATGAGAGACTCTCACGCCGCGGTCGTGGGTTCGATTCCCACCGTCGCCTCTGGCCCTTTTTTCACAATAACCCCCCCAAATTTGAACACACATATATGAATTGTCACATGGCTAATATGCATAGTTCATAATGCAAAAAAAAAACATATTCAGTTCAATTTAGAAACAAACATATAATATATTTTTAAATTCACAAATATCAGTAGTAATATAGTAAGAAATTGATAATTTCAATTCAGTTTTTCATTATCCACTCCTTTCCTTATGTCAGGCTATTGAACTGTATTATCTATTGAGGAAATTGTATACTTATCGTATTTTCTTTCTCTCTTCTAATTCGCATCATGTTGCTTAAGGGAAGTGTTATTTTTTTTATTCATTGTCAAAAATATCATAAGACAAAAGAAGCTTTTCAGGATTATGACTTAATTCCACATAAAATTAGTATATTAGTGAATTTTGGAAAAAATATCAAAAAGAAGACATAAGAAAGCAGTTTAGAACTTACTGTACTACACTCTGTACTTGATCAAGATGAAACAAGAATGAATAATACTGACAACAGCTGTGTTGTAATGCTCATGTACCATGGAATTACTTTTCAGAAAACATCAAGTTCATACAAAATAATAAATTCTTCCCTATATTTAACAAAAAAAAAAAAAAATGATAGGATGGGATTTTGGTCAATGTGTCAACAATAAAACACTTATTTGCTTAAAATGCCGACATTTCGAGACTATATCCTTTCTTTGTTAAGGCTTTATTGATTAATATTGATTAAAATGCCTTCAAAGAGCCATGAATTCTTTCATCCTGTGATGAATTCCCCCCTCCATTTGTTAACATGTTATTCTTTAAAACTAGTTTAAAATCCAAATTCATTTATACCATTTAGCTCGGGATAAGATTACTAACATGTAAACATCCCAAGGCAACACGTTCAGGCTTTGCCAACAATTAGTTGTTTTAGTAAATTTTTGACAGTTAAAGCCCATTGTCTTAATTTCATGAGAATGTTTTACACTAGATCTGTATTAGGAAGCTCTAGAACTCAGTTTAAAGTAATTGTTTGGCTGCAACAAAATTATCAATTTATTATAATGATTAATGTATTTAGAGGCAGTTAATTAATGATTATTTAGAGATCGTGAGATGCGATCTGGTGTGATGTAGGTTTAGAAAAACAGTTTCTTTATCATGCCAATGTTTCGATCTTAATTGAGATATCTTCAGGGCGTGGGGTTTATAAACATTGTTTAAATTATACAAAAATATACAAGGTATGAATATGAATTTATACAATAATGCACACAATATAGAAATTTTAGGTTTAATCAAAGTATTTGTACTTGTTCAAAGTGAATTGTTTTCTGTGTTTGAGTGAGTACAAATACTTATATAGTATTTACATTTTTTTTTTGGGGGGGGGGTTTGAATAAGAATTTTAAAAATCCTTTCCTACACTGCAGCCTATATAGATCTATTGTAGAACCTGTATAATAATAACATAATTTGAACTTTTTCCTGTAAGATTAGCTACTTTCCTCAGTATCTCTTGATGCCTCTTTTGGAGTGAAAGTCTCCTTACCTGGGCTGTATTGTAACCCAGGCTAACATGTCACATTCACAAGGGATGGCCGATGTCTCTGATTTCTTCCGGCAAAATCGGCATGTTTCTGTCTCTGTTTTGCCCATCTCATTTAGGTGATAGTTAAGAGGGCAGTGGCCGGTATAAGCGGCCATTAATTGCCCTCAAATCCTGCCTGCTGAGAGGAGTTTGTTTGCCTTCCTTTTTGAGAGATTTATAAATTTCTTAGCTTGCCTCATAAATGATGTTTTTGTTCAGTGTTTGAGTTTTTCTTCTTCAAGCGTTTCCAGTTTCAACTTGAGCCCACACTCCAGTACACCTAGTTGTGGTTTTGGTCCTATGGGTGAGAGGTCTGCCCCTTTTTTTGGCGAGATGGTCAGCCTGTTCATTTTATTCTATACCTTGTATTCTGTAGGTATCTTGTTGTTTTACTAGAGCCATTAGACAATTTAGGCACTCCCAGACAGGTTTGGAATTAAAAGCATACGCATTTAGTGCATTTATAGCTGGCTGAATGTAGTATATAAATGTATGTACCTTTCATATTAATTTATTAACTCTTAACAGCACAGAGTTGTTGTGCTGGGACTGTAGCTTTGAAAATTGTTGGGATTAATCCAAGGGTTTTGCTAGGACACAGTTTAGCCCTTACATCTACAATATCGATCTTTGATCATAGAGAAATGTCACAATATTTACTACAGTTTTTCAAATAATAATTTCAATAACATGTAAATTTATTTAATTTAATTTTTTTTTAAACTTTGTATCTAAATCTTACAGAGGACAACCTGACATAGAGCAAACCAGTTCATATTCTGTTGATGTTGGATTCCATCCAAGCAACGGTCATGTAGAAAATCATTCTCCTTCATCGTCCCATCTTGCGATTGATTCTCTTATCCAAAAACCAAACACTGCACAACAAGTACATAATTTTGCTTGGTTTTGATTTTTAACTGCTGTACACTATTTTATTGTTTCAATAATTTCTAGGTGCCTTCAGTGTCTAAAGTAGCATGTGATGTACACCAACTAACACTTGATGGTGGTGGCCCAGGAGTTGATTATGTCACTGTACCTAGTACATACGCTGGAATACCTCCACATCCGTATCCTTATGAACATCATTTGCCTCAACAGCCTATCGCTGATCCTACTTATCAGGCGGATCAAGGTGAGTTTTTAAAGTTTTTCGGCGATGTAAATAAATTATAAACCTTTAACATAGATTGTAAAATGTTTATAATTATTTTACCAATAATGAAAATTTTTGTTCAGCCATGAATAATGTTGTAGGAAGGCATTACGTAGGCTACCATGATTATGAGCACTACCCTTATCCAGCAATACCCACATATCCTGCTTATACATCCAGCAGATATGTCGAACAGGATTATACAGATCGACCTCCAACACCTCCAAGCCCGAGTGAAAAAAGTGAATCCTCCCAACATGGTAAGTGTTTTAATAATATGTATAAAGCGTTAGTTAATAAGTTTTTAAACTTTTTATTCATGGTTATGTTGCTTAACTAGTCAGTCTTGAGTGTTAAGTTGGGCCTATTGTTATATTTTTATTTTATACTTGTGAAATTTGGTCATGAATGTATAATTAACGTATATATTACAATAGATCGTCTATTGCTGTTAATGAAAGACTTATTTTCTTTAATAGCATGCGAACTGTATAAATACACTCATGTACTTAAAAAAATATTTCTTCTATTAACAATTATTTCTTTATATGAAACAATGTTATTTTGCATTTGTTTCTGTCCTGCAAAGAAAAAAAAAGTTTTTGAAAATAATATGTTTTGCTATTGTATCATTCAAAATATTTTATTTAATTATTCAATTTCATCGATTTTGTAACTTCACAGTAAGTCAAATTACATGTACAAACTGCTCACGCCTTGTAAAATAACATTAAGTAAAATAACCATTTATAGGTATAGGTGAAATTACTTTAATTAGACAAACTCGTAGGAAATTCAAATGCAATGATAAACTGTAATAGGTTAAGTTTCTTTTCTTATTGGATTTTGAACTTAAGATACACATTTTTCTGCCGTTTAATAAAATGAAACATGAAATTATAAAGAACAATAATATTTTTTGTAATAATATGATCTCTGACCTATCTGTGTCAGCTATGGCCTTACCACTGTGTAATGGCTTTAGATGTGCTATATTCACAGGTTGTCATATTTTTCCGGTTTGCAATTTAAATTGTAATTTTATTATCAATTGAATACAAAACATTTTTTTTAAAGAAACTGAAAATTATGACAAACGACTTAACATATATGTGTTGGCTTCTTTTACATAACTTCTTTGTATGAGTGTACTTAAAAGTAATTCACAAGAATCACATTTCAGTATTACTGTTTTTGTAAAACCCATTATATGAAAAATAGATTTTTCTTTTACTGCTTCATGTTGGTTATTGCTGTAGTGAAGTGTTGAATAGATGGCATTACATTACATTGATATTATAAATTCTTATCTTAGCCTGCGTGCACATGGATGGGGGATAATCATGCAAAAATCTTCAATCCCTAACTTGAAAATGTTTGTTTTAAAAAATATTTCTCATATTACCAATTGGAATCTAATTAACAAATTGAATATAACATCTGTTCCAAGTTCTGCAACAAATTAATTATTAAATTAAGGATGAAAAAGATATAAAACATGTTTTTTTTGTGGGAGTATTTTAATTTTAATTTATTTTTGTTCTTTTAATATTTTATTTGTTTCTTTAGTTTTTATATAGCCTTTCTTCGGTTGTCATCATCATATGAGCGATATTAGTTTTAAAGCTTTATTTTGTGACAGACGGTTATGGGTTTGGCGGATACGGAACTCTTCCTGTTTATAAGAATGATTCTGACCTGCGAAGCTATGATGACACTGAACCTTTGGGTTGGCCGAATCATCAGGATCCAGACTGGTCTTTCCAAAACCAGTCCGCTGAACAGAAGGGTCTGTAAAATTGCTAAACCACAGTTGAAGGGAACTAATGTGCTGATTAACACCCCTAATACTTCCTTGAAACTTTTAGTAACTCGTACACTTCAAGTTTTGAATTTTATTTTAAATTTGCACTATATTTACAAGTTGGATAATTTCATTCCTGTAACTAAACCCTGGTAATCTTCCTCGGGGAAATAAAACTTGCATGCTTTAATAAAGATGCAGTTGACTAAATGTTGTTGCACCTAAAAATGTATTTGTAATTAACCATTATAGTTTACCACAAACAATTGCTCGTAATAGTTTTAAATTGAGAAAAGGCATAAACTAACATATATTTTTAACAAATTAGATCATTATAGTTATCCTTTTATGTGTTTTGTGATTATGCACTTTATACTTTTACACGTGAAACTGAAATGTAGTTAAAGGATGGAAATAGTTTTAAACAGTAACAACTTAACTATACAAAAGCCGCCTGTGTTGTTATATTGTTTTCCCCAGAAAACATTAGGTTTCTAAGATATTAAGGTCTTTATCTAACATAACAATTATTTTGTCCTTATGTTTTTCGAGGAAATAATAGTTTGTGAAGGGTTTTTAGTAATTAAAATGATAGCATGTTAGTTTTTATTTTCAAAAATAATTCACTTACAGAAAGAGAAACTCACAGAATTACATAATTATAAATTTCAATAAATTAAAGATTTTAGTTTAGATAAAAAAGTCAGTGTCACAAGCGGGATTCGAACCTCGATCCACTCGGACACTAACTTCCCATCTTAACCTCACCTTTTGAATTTTCCCTCGTATTTGCCATTTTTCAAATGTTCAAATCCCGCTCGTGACACTGACTTTTTTATCTAAACTAAAATCCTTAATTAATTGAAAGATATTAATTGGTCAAGCAGACCACGAAAATTAGTGAATTTAGTAATTATAAATTGTACATCATCAACATTTTGACCGATGTCATTCTGTGCCCCATTTTGTTTTCTAATCAATATAAATTAACACATAAGTTACGGCACTGATTTGTACAGACACTCCTGAAGGTTTGTGACACCGATTCAATTCTAACAATACTCCCAACAGCCTACAAGTTGTGAAAAGCGGGAGTTTTCTAGAAGAGGTGCGTCTGTATATGGGGAATGGTCTAGTGCGTCATTCCAGAACAACAGCCATAACGAACGTGTTAAATGTATTCTACCAGGTAACCAGAAAAATTTGTCCAGTTTTTCATTTGTTATTGTTATAGTACTGTCAATCAACATTTCTATTTACTTAGAAGGATTACATTTTTACATCACATAATACCAAGAGGATAATGCATCAATTCATAAAGAAAAATTATCTTGAACAGTTCACTGCAAAATTATAAAATAGTTTCTTTCTTACAGCTTTAAAATTCTTAATTTGTACCTGCATATGTGTTAATTTTAGCTTGGTACTAGGGCGGCTGAGTACAATCTGCACTGCGTAGCAGCACACTGCCCAAAAGCAGTTTAAAAAGTACTTCACTAAACTAAAGTTAACGTACAAGATTCATTTTTCTTTATATGAAACAATCCAGTAAAAAAACATCAAATAAAAAGCAAATGTTTAGACGCTGAAGCTTGTTATTGTCAGTCACTTTATTAGGAACCCATTTGCTCAGCTTCCACGTCTTCCCAAATTGATGTTGACTAAAACAATAACAAATGAAAAACAGTACTAACTTTTCTGGCTACCTGGTATATTATAGCTGTGCACATCCCTGACATTGTGTTAAAAAAACTTAATCTGCAAACACTTTTCCAGATTGGTTTGATAAAATTAATTTATTAAAAAACTTTCTAAATTATAAGCAGTATTAAGAATTTAAAAAATCATAACATTAGTTTCCATAACAAAAATTTATTTTCTCTTCCATTACTATGTTTATTGTTTTTTATTTTGTCAAAATTATTTCATTATTTAGTTAATTTGGGAGTTGTAATTTTAACATTTATTTATTTAATTCAACACATTAGCATATATTAATTTTTATGCAAAGAAGGATGAGATAAAAAATTAATATATATTAAAAACAGGCTAAGATAATTAATAAGGGTAATGATTATTTAGTAATCATAAGAGTGAACATATCACCCAGAGGATAGAAAGCGCTTTTACAATAAATCAACCTCTTAACTCGTTGTTGTAATTTAACAATGAATTCCATGGTAGATTGGCGTTTTGAAATTTTCATGCTTAACTGGTTGACAAATTACAAAAAAGTCAATTTAATTTCAAGGGTTTTTTTTACCTTCAATAAATAAACAACAGTATTGAAATATGGAACTTTTTAATAACGTTCACATTATTTGCCCATGGTGTTCTGAATTAATGAAGATACAGCCAGTGGCAGACAGTCGGGGGTACTATCCCCTTGTTTATTTATAATTATTAACCACTGTCATTTTGTATTAAACTATATAGTTGATCATTTTACTGTAGTATTAGCCCATACTAATTGAAGTTAATGTCTTTTAAAATATTTGTTAGCTAAATTATATTACTTTATTATATTACTATTACTATAATAGTAGTAAGTAATATTCAATAATATTATCGTAATTATTGAATAAAAATTAAAATTAAATTACAGATAGGTATGATTAGGGATTATCACATCTCAGTTATTACATCTCATTGTGCATTAAAAATTGCATAGGTATTTTGCACATTGTCACATTGCCAGGAGCCTTATCATACAGCAGAAATCAGCAATACTGTATATAGTTTTCATTACTTAATAAAATATTTACCATTTGTTGGTATAAATAAGCTAAAAAATTAGGCCCATTTAATTTATTACTATATTTCTTACACAACTGAGAAAATTGTATTAAGAATTTGATGTTAGATAAACACATAAATGTTTTAGTTTTAATTACCACAGATATTGTAGACTTCCTACTCCCTCGAGAATCTAGAGTTGATGTAATTTGTTTAGATTGTTGCACATATTATGAAGTTTACATAAATAATTATTACCAATGTAATTGTACATAATAAAGACTACGTTAATTTATCTTTTTCAAATTACAGTGAAAATTCTCTATAACGGACACTTGCAAGTTAAAACACGCTTTTAAATAAGAGTGAAAAAAAAAATTAGTTACAAGATGGGGATTACTAGGTCTAGGTATTGATACCTTTGAAACACCGAGGATTTTTAGCCTTTTCTATAACCGGGGGGGTTTTTCAAATTCACTGAGTATTCTTTGGCATATGTGTAAAGTAAATAAACGCTCCTTTGAATTTTTTCCTCACTGACAACGCTAGTTTTTTACTGCATAGTTTAGCTGAGCTCTAAAAAATAAGGCCATCTCATTGCAATTAAAAATGTTTTTCTATTGAAAATCATTGTTAATGTTTTTTCATCCAGTTTTGTATGGTCCTTCCCTCCACGAATGGTCTTAAATGAAATCTTATGCCGTGTTGTAAATTTGACGAGCCAACTTAAAGACGCGTTAAAATCCGTTTTGGATCTTCTAAGACCTCTTCTTGGATAAGCAGACCTCACACTACTTTCTGATATCCCTAGATGTTTCATCATTGTTCACCAACATTCGAATAGACACAACACTGAACATTATTAAATATAAATGGCCCAATATAACATCACACACAAGTCTATCAAAGAACACGTTCATAACAATGGTCCAACACTGCTGTTAACGGATATTTTACATACGACAATCAATTTTACAAACAACTATTTCGTATAGCCATGGGTAGCAGCCTAGGCCCAATAATTGCAGACATAATCATGACATAAATATTAAATACAGTCATACCACAACTTACTCTCTAAATAGTAGATGATATATTGACAGCAGTTCCCACAGATCAAATTCAAACTACATTAGATACATTTAATAGCTTTCACCCACGCCTACAATTTACACATGAAATCGAAAACAACAAAACAATACCATTTTTAGATACACTCATAATAAAACAACCAGATGGCACAAGAATCACAGATTGGTATCAAAAACCAAGAAACAGATCGCTACCTCAACTTTACATCACGCCATCCTCTTCATACAATAATAAACACGGCCAAAGGGTTACTTCACAGAATGATTACCCTAAGCCATGAATCATTTCACCACAAGAACATAAAGATATACAAACAGATCCTCCATAACAATCTCTACCCTAAACACATAATTAACAGAATAATCAACAACTACAACTCAACACTAACACCATCCACTATTACTAATAATACTACATTAAGTCTACCAAATACAAACCAACCAGCATACATTTATTCAAGGCCTATCACATAAATTAAACACATTTCTCTCGTCCGATAACTTCAAAATAGCTTTCAAAAATTATAAAACAATTCAAATACTTTTTTTTTCCAAAATTAAAGATCCCACACCAATAACAAATAAATCTGATGTAATCTACAAAATCAACTGTTTAAACTGTCCGGCAACTTACATCCCAATATCTGGATAAGAGAGTTAAGCAACATATCTAAGATTGCAAAAAAACCAAGCAAAATCCTACAGCACTCGCTACCCACCATTTTGAACACAAACACAATTTCGACTTCAACAATCCAAAAATATTACACACAGAACAAAACAAAAATAAACATAATTTTTTAGAAATGGTTTACATCAACAGAGATAAACACAACATCAGTTACAGAACAGATACATTTAAGTCGCAGCTACGCCAATATCATTAATAAAATTCAATATAGATAACATACATATATCATCACATCACATTCCACACATCAAACATTTTTCACATAGTCTAATTTTTCAACAATTTAGCTTTCCTTTTCCTAATTATCCCCTTCTACATAATCCTGAAAGGATAATCTGGCCGAACCATTACCAACATTTTTTCCCTTCGTCAGCTCTTTTCACCTCAAAGAAGCCAACGCCTTATACAAAAATGTCTTTTCTATACCGACTTCCTTCCCCACCCTTTCAAAATCCAACGTATATAAACATAAAATAGCAAAATCTCACTGGCACTCTCGACACGACACGCAAGAATGGCACAATTACGCAGAAAACAAACACTTTGAATGAGTAGAAATACTTTGAATATAAAAAAAAAAATTTTGCTTTGTATAAATTCACTTTTTTCCACATCCTACATGTATTTGTTAAAGGTAAACAATGTTTGTAAATCCCAGGCCCTGAAGATGATCTCAATAAAGATCGAAACGTTGGCACGATAAAGAAAATGTTTTTCTGAAACCTACATCACACCAGACCGCATCTCACGCTTTCTGAATATTTGTTTATATTGATTTGTTTTCTAAAAGATTCAAACGCACTGAAGAAGTACTTAAACATTTTTGCAAAGTGGCTTAATAAAATTCTATCTTCTCAGAAAATGTTTATTTCTTGGAGGCTGCTGTCTGATTTTGGGATAAGTTTAGTCAGAATATAGTCGAAAAAACAGTCTGCATTATTGGTAGTGTCCACTGAAAGACGCCAGGGAATCAGAAGAGGGTCCGTTAAGGGAAGTTTCACTGCATACCTGTAGTTATTGTTTTGTGATTGTTGTTATTAACCTTAAATAATATTCATTGTTGTCAAAATATTCTGCGGAATTACTTGACCGAAATTATATCTAAATTGTTGTACAAAGGTGTTCGATGGAGGGACCCCAATCTGACTGAAGTAATCAGCTTTCTGAGTAATCCAAATAATGTTATCAAAGCCAACGCAGCTGCCTACCTTCAGCATTTATGTTATATGGACGACCCTAACAAACAGAAGACTCGAGTTTTGGGAGGTATTCCCCCACTTGTTAATTTGCTAGGTCATGATACCCCTGATGTTTATAGGAACGCATGTGGTGCATTAAGGTACAGTAATCAACTTTGTCCGCCATAATTTATTAAGGAATATTAAATTTTTTTTTTATTTTACTTTTTTAGAAATCTATCTTATGGTAGACAAAACGATGAAAATAAGAGGGCCATAAAAAATTCAGGCGGTATTCCTTTGCTCATGAATCTGTTAAGGAAATCAGCTGATGCTGAGGTTAAAGAATTAGTTACGGGAGTTTTATGGAATCTTTCTTCTTGTGAGGTACATTAGTTTTCTTTTACTATCAATTATTAATTAGAAGCTAATTAAATAGTTACGAGATGATTATTATTTCTATGTTTTTTCTGTGTATTTAAGGATCTCAAGAAAGCAATTATTGATGATGGCCTCACAATAATTGTTAAGCAAATTATTATACCTCATTCTGGCTGGGGTCCAAATGCAGTAGGTGACACGTGCTGGTCTACTGTTTTTAGAAACACGTCAGGAGTTCTAAGGTATTACATTAATAATAATATTTTTTATTATAGGTAAAATTAATTATTAAATAATCTCATTACTAGTTCATACTCATTCTCTATAAAATGTTAGGCGAAATTAGAAACATATTTCCATACATTATCTTAATATATATAAAATATATCAGTTTTTGAAAATATTTTTTTTTTGTTTTTACTAAATGCAGACCCTTAGTATATCAAATAGGTTCTCTTTGAAATAATTACAGTTTTTGTTTTCTTCGTGGTGTAAAATAATATTAAGACATAATCATTTATGCTAAAATAGTGTAAATTACTTGGTCGTTTCAGGAATGTAAGTTCTGCTGGGGAATATGCAAGAAAAAAGTTAAGAGAGTGTGAAGGGCTTGTAGATTCAATGCTTTATGTTGTGCGACTTGCCATAGAAAAATCTAATATTAACAACAAAAGTGTTGAAAATTGTGTATGTATATTAAGAAATTTGTCATATCGCTGTCAAGAAGTAGAAGATCCAAATTACGATAAAAATCCATTACCTGTACAATCTTCAAGGACTGTCGCTAACCCTAAAGGTGTGTATTCAACTGATACATTACATTCTCACATTCTTTGAACTTGAATTTATGAACTTAATTTTAGCTTGGCTTAAACGAAAGTAACTCCTGTTGTATGAGAGAGTTAATTCAGTTACGGATTTTGTGTTATTTAATAAATAATTATGCATAATAATTAAAATTGTACTTTTAGGAGAGAATCTAGGATGCTTTGGTGCTAGTAAAAAGAAAAAAGACGCTGATATGGTATTACAAAAAGATACAAGCACTAGCCGATCTCAAAGTCAACGAAATGAACCCCTCTCTGGAATGGAACTTCTTTGGCAACCAGAGGTAGGTTTATGATTTTAATTTCAAACTTAAATAGATATATTAACACACTAAAAAAATAATGTTTTTAAATGATGTTTAAATTTTTGAAGGTAGTACAAGCTTATCTTTGCCTGCTTCAAAGTTGTTCAAATCCTGAAACACTCGAGGCCGCTGCAGGAGCTTTACAAAATCTTGCGGCGTGTTATTGGCAGCCTAGCATAGAAATAAGGGCAGCAGTTCGAAAAGAAAAGGGCCTACCAATTTTAGTCGAATTGTTAAGAATGGAGGTAGATAGAGTGGTCTGTGCGGTAGCTACTGCATTGCGGAATTTAGCTATTGATCAAAGAAACAAGGAACTTATCGGTTTGTACTTACTGTATACATTTTGAGTGGAGTTTTATTCTTGCTAAAGCAATTATCTTTTAAAATAAAAAGATAAAGATTTTGATTTAAAAAAAAAATAAGTTTATTCATTTTTATAGGCAAATATGCAATGAGAGATTTAGTCCAGAAGCTACCCTCTGGTAATCCTCAACACGATCAAGGAACGTCTGATGATACAATTGCTGCAGTTTTAGCGACTCTAAATGAAGTTATTAAAAAAAATGCAGAATTTTCTAGGTATGTGATAAAATTGAAAAAAATATGTTAGCAATTAATTATGTAAGAAAGCATCGGTTCAACATTGTACAATACATACACTTTGCATTTTGGCTTACCTTTTCTTACTTGCTTACCTATATACCAATAACATCAAACTCCTGTAAAATAAAAATCAAATCATACTTTTGATTTTTATTTATTTATTTTGCCATTTCAATTTTTTCTGCATTGAATTGAAATAAAATGTATCACCTTAAATTATAATATATTTATATGTAAATTCCAGATCCCTACTTGAATCAGGTGGTGTTGAAAGGCTTATGAATATAACCAGACAGCGGCAAAGGTATACCCCGAGGGTTTTGAAATTCGCTGGCCAAGTACTTTTCACAATGTGGCAGCATCAAGAGTTGAGGGAGGTGTACAAAAAGCATGGCTGGAAAGAGCAAGATTTTGTTACAAAAACTGTGGCAGCTCGAAACGCTGGCCCTAATTCACCTAGCAATGCAAATAGCACTCTAAATCGGCCAATGGCTAGTCAAGGTGGGACGCGTTATGAAGACAGGACAATGCAATGTTTACCACCGGATCCAAGAACATCGGCATCACCGAATTTTCAACCAGTAAGTTATTTTTCCATGGATCTTAGATAAAGTACTTAACAGAGCATTTATGTTAGACGTGTTACATTGAGGTATATTTTATAATAATAATAAAAAATTTGAACTGCGTGCCTTCTTCTTCATTATATTTGTAGATTACAATAAGTTTGTTCCACGTTCGATACGCGTTGAAACTTTCAGTAAACTAGTGGGCGTATGCACAGTGTTTAGGTGTTTCAACATGGTACAAATACAAACTCAAACTGTCAGACAGCCGATCCAACATGGTTTCAGGCCAAGTCTAGAACCAGTTTTATACTGTCCAAATAGTCCAAGGATTTGGCTAGAGACTGGCACATAGGCGCAGACTTTTCCACATGCTTTTGCTCTCATCAAATTGGAAAGTTCTTATTACAAGAACCCAGATTTATATACAATAAAAATTCTGAAATATGGCATGTTATTTGCTCTAAAAATATTAAAATACATAGGATGAATTTAAGAGACATCGGCCATCTAATGATTGAATAATTTCTTTTTAATATAAACATTTTTTTCAGTCTAATACATATTCATTTTAAAAGAAAATAAAACAAATAAAAAAATTCACACAAAAACTTATAGAACTTATTAGAAAGAGGACTGACATTATTTTTTGTTTCAAAATTTTGTCCTCCCCTATTTCCTTCCAACAACTCAACTACTTTTTTTCAGGAAAAGCAACAAAAAAATTGCACCGAGAAAGTTTGGATATGATGGCTTCATATAAGATGCCGATTAATTCACGAGAATTCTATTATGTCAGTTTGTTTACATTAATAAAATAGCGTAATAAAATGAAATAATAATTATTCAGAAATCGTGAGATGCGGTCTGGTGAGATAAAGGTTTCAGAAAAACATTTTCTTTATCATGCCAACTTGAGATCATCTTCAGGGCCTGGGATTTACAAACATTGTTTAAATTTAACGAAAACGTGTAGGATGTGGAAAAAAGTGAATTTATACAATGCAAATAAATATTTTTTTATATTCAAAGTATTTCTACTCACTCAAAGTGTTTGTTTTCTGTGTAATTGTGCCATTCTTGCGTGTCGCGTTGAGAGTGCCAGTGAGAAATTAATGTTTTATGTTTATATGTGTTGGATTTTGAAGGGGTGGGGAAGGAAGTTATTTGAATTGTATAAATTCACTTTTTTCCACATCCTACATGTTTTTGTTAAATGTAAACAATGTTTGTAAATCCCTGGCCCTGAAGATGATCTCAATAAAGATCGAAACGTTGGCACGATAAAGAAAATGTTTTTTTGAAACCTACATCTCACCAGACCGCATCTCACGATTTCTGAATAATCATCGACAAACGGTCACTAATCACTATACATAAAATAATAATAAAAATTTCAAACCTGACCGCATCTCACGATATCTGAATAACTAAAAAATTTCAAACCTGACCGCATCTCACGATATCTGAATAACTAAAAATTTCAAATTTGCCCTATTCTTCAAATATTTAAAGTGTTTATGTATTGACCACTTTTTTACTCACAAATACTCTGGATGTGGTCTAGATGATTTGGATTGATATAGGCTCAAATCCGCGCATGTACGTATATACATGTAAACATGTGCAGGGATGAGCCTATTCACTTCTCGTAGTCCACTGGCAATTCCAGCTTTTGCTCTTTACAGTAAATTGCTGGCAGACTCGAGAATCACCCACCCCAGGTGTTGGCAGTTTGAGCCCCGAGGGGAGACCTCAGTCTAATCCAACCCTCAAAAAAAAAAAAATGCAAAGTTGTTCATATGCAAAGTTCAAAAGGCTTTTTAAAAAAAATTGTAAATATTATTACAATTTATACCATTAGAAATAAGATTGTATTTAAATCATTATTCCTTAGTTATAATTGTTTTTATTTACATTATATTGTGTTTTTAGGTGAAACCTGGAGAACCTTTGTATGCTCAGGTAAATAGGGAAAAGAAAAAAAGTAACAGAGCTGTTGGAGTGGGTTCTGCGGAAGGTTGGGCTTACGACGAGAATGCAACAAAAGGTTTAGTCGTCGATCCGGCTTCTACACCAGGAGGTGATTCATGGGTTTAGTTTTTGTTCATATGCCATAAATTAGTAAACACTATCGTTTTAATGGATTGACTCATCAGTGAGGTTAAAGATAATTAGGTGTATGTTCTTCAACTTCAATTCACAATATTGTATTGGAGGTGTGGATTACATAATGTAATTTTAAGATATGACTCAGTTTATGCTATGAGTACCAAAAAATAACTGGAAAGATGATACTGCAAGGCAAACTTACGAGTTGAAAAATTAATAATGTTCACTGTACTCGAACAAGGCATCGCAAATGAGCCAAGTACCGATTAAAGCAGGCAAATCGAGAAGACGCTGTTGGAGGAGGATTTGCAACGTTAGTGAAGTTCCTTATATATTGGATTAACAAGTTGAAATTAATCCATTTAGTTTTTGATGGAACTATTGAATGTTACGCATGCTTAATCCGTTTGGAAAAAAAAGTATAAAATAATTTCCCTATTTATAATTTAAAACTACTTGATTTTCTGTAAATACCACTGTTGCAACATGTTCTCAGAAATTGGCAAATTAATTTCTCCTGCAGCTCTTTTTCTAATTAATTAATATTTATATAGACATGGTGAAAATGAAATTCTGAGCCTAGAATTTAATTTGCCTTATGTATATTTTATTTATTTATTTATATATTATTTATTGTTTCTTTGTAAAAATTCGATTCTTAATGTTGTGCAGTAATAGAAAATTTTTAAAAAAATTATTAAGCATATAAAATTGATTTTATCTTAATATATGTATATAGAAATTTAGTGAACATTTTTTGCTTTTTGTCAATTAAACATCTCGTGTTAAGGGTAAACCATACGAATATTGTGATGGTCTCATGAAAAATTAAATAAAGAGTCAGAAATTTTTTACTGCAAGTTTAGTACACTATATTATGATTTATAGCTATATTGCATGTATATAACAGACAGTGTTATATCAAAACTTATAACTCTAAATATATTAATGACAAAATATTTCCTTTGATTTTGAGAATTATACATTCTTTTTTTTTTAATTATTATTACAACTACAGTGTATGCCAGGCATGTTATGAATTTTGTAATAAATTTTGAATCCCGTTTATGCGGACAAGACATTTTTATTTAAACCAAGACTTATGTATTTATGTGACTATATGGCTGTGAGCTCTCCTCCAAGTTTTATCTTTTCGGTGGGCCTGCTTACTGTTTTAAGATACTGAACTTGACTGTTGTCCCCATCCCCACCAAAAAAGAAAAAATGAAGTGTGATCTAACTTAACAACGTTTTGGACATTTTGAACTGTTTAAACAGCTGTCAAATCATGTTTCCTTGCTGTAAGTTATTATGTAATATAAGTAGCCTTTTTTATTATAAAGTTTATCATATAAATGTACATTCCTTGACATTTAACAATTTCAAATGATACGAAATGGTTGATATGTTTTGTTTTTAACATATTTTCATTGTTTTAAATGTTGTAATAACTGAATAGTTTATTAGAAATCAGAAAGTGTGTTAATGTATTATATATTTGTGTCAGAATTAAACCATATTACTTCCAACATATATTCATAGGTCAATATAAAATGTATTGTTAATAATTTATTTATTGATAGAAATTAAAATATTTTATTTGTTCTGATATAAATAGCACTGTATCCAAGACAAGCTTAGCAACTTCGTACTAGTCCTCTAGCACATTTTTTTTTTAAATATTATTATAAGCTTGAAACAGAATATTAAGTGTATAAAACATTATTTATTTCATGTTTTATTGTGATTGTATATGCCATTTCCAAATATCAAATAAATTATAAGGTAGGGCTAGTACTTTTATGTGTTTTATGCCTATAAACTGAAAAAAATTGGGCAAACATCATTTATTTTTGTTATTTTTATAGAACTATATTTATGTTATTAAAACATTTAAATGGTAATATGTCCTCATTTAAATTATGATTATTCTTTCTTATAAGATTATATTTTTTATTATTAATTTCTTTACATGTTTTAAATTATATTTTAAAAAATGCAAGGCATAGTTGGATTTCTATTTTTCCTTCATAGATTTAATAACATTTATTTCTAAATTATTGTTTCATAACATATTTCAATTTATTGCTTGGTTATAGTCAACACATTTGTTTATGCCAGTTTTATTTTGAATATTAGCTGATAGTATTATCAAAACAATTTCTCGAAATCTCACTTATATGAAATTTGATTAGTATTATACATTAAAATAGTTGTAATAAATTTTCCAATTGTGTAATAAACAGATTTCATTTCACAATTTTACTTGTGTTTTAATGCAGTTGTCAAGAATATTGTGGAACTGAGGAATCAAGTTTTACACAACTTTTAGCAATCAAATTTTACTTTGTTTTGCATTCAAGTTTCACCTTGCTATATTTATTAATTGCCTAACTTCAACAAATACAAACTTAGACAATACTTTTTTTCTACATTAAAAGTTTTTGGTTATTATTTTTTTTATATTTACACTATATTTTACTCTCAATTAATGAGATATGTGGATGTATATACTACATTGCGCATATATAAACAAATAAGCTAAGGTTTGTTTTTAAAACTTGTTATTAAAAATAAAAATGACGTTTTTAATGTTTCTGTTAGCTCAGATATCGTATAGGCTTTATTTAAATAAATTGTTTTGTTAATATTGGCCTTTTTCAAAACCTTAAGAGAATGCACATAATTTTTGTTCTTATTGTGACGGAACATAACATCAGAGATGGAACTTTAGTAGTTTTATTGAATAATAAAATAATTTTGTGATAGTCTTGGTTATGTTTTTAAAAGACAAAAACTGTACTGTAAACACAAAATTTATCATAAGCTTGCTATCGTAGTCAAACACCAAAGTTGACTTTTCAGTCACAAAGAATAATGGTTTTATAAATATTTTAAAGAAAGGGACCCCCTATTTAATTTAAAACTGAAGGCTTAACTCGATATAATGAAAACTCGAGCATTTTGTTTAGTTGACTTATTTGAGCTGTTGGTATTATAAGATTTTACGTATGCACTTATTTCTTTCATCTTTACACTTTGATTCAAATAGTCGGTCCTTTTCTTATAAAAGTTATGATATTTAAATTTTAAACGAGACAAGTCCTAAAAATCTAAGCCATATAATAAGAAATTTGGCGAAATAACATTTAAGGCTGCAAAAGTGAGCAACTTTAAAGACCAGTTACAAAATGTAGTTGACCTACTTGGTTCTCTAGATATATGGTGATACCTAGTGGTTTTTATAAGATTATTGTTAGATATAAAGAATAAATTTATGTCAATTTTTAAAAAATATGATTTATGAACCTATTTCAATCCAAATGGAACTCGATCATTAAAAAAATGATGTAAAACTGTACCTGCCTTTAAAACTTTATTTATCTGTTTCAAGTATGTTATGAAATTATTGCCAACCATTAATTGTGTGTTAAAAATCCAGTCGAGTGGATCGAGGTCACGATAGCTCAAGTGGTAGAGCAGCGGCGTATTCAGCTGAAAGTCGTGGGGTCGTATCCTGCTCGTTCCATTGACTTTTTTATCTCAACTAAAAACCTTAATTAATTGTTATTTAAAAGGTTTGCCCATTTTTAATATAATGATATCAATAATTCATTTGGACAGACTTACCCAATAAAAAAATGTAAAGTAATGCATAAGAGCTTAACATTAATTATATAGTGTAGAAAGTTTGTGTGAGGGGGTTTAAATAAAAAACCCTTATTAAAAACTTCTCTTAAACTAAAGCTAAAAGCACCCACTCTAAAAAAGGAAGTCATAACCTTTACCAAAGAAATTAAGTACCTAGGTACTAAGCATTGACCAGAGATTAAAATAAAAATTGGGGAATAAAAGAGTGCCGAAGACACAAAGCAAAGGATACAACACGAAGAGTGGTTCTGCTTATTTGTCCCGCAACACGAATGGAAATCGCACTCGATCATCTACCTTTACACATTCATGTACAAAAAGTGGCTTTTGAAAGATCCTTAAAAAACAAAGAAGCCATTAAAAAATTCTGGAGATAATTTGTAATAAATGAAACTGTGGTTCTTGATAAAATGAGAGGAAAACTCCACTTTGACATACCTTCCAAGGTCGTAGGTAATAGAGACCTTTAGAAGAAGATAGAGCAAACCTAAGTTTCAGGAAACGACGTAAGAATAAGGTTAAAAGGAGTCGGCCTCTTTACAACTACACACCGAGACCAGTATTGATCTATTTTGAAACCTCTAGGATTAACTAGATTTCTTCGTTAAGCTTAAGGCATTTAATCTGATCCCAAAACTTTGTCAAGGACACCCAAGTGTATCCTTCAGGCCTGGGTGTTTCCTCTCCCAGGAGAAAATATCTCAGCCCAGCAATATCTGCACAGGTTTGTTTCTGCTGCTTCGAGTCTATGCATATGCCTCCAGAGTTTGCAGTCCAGCTATAACTCTAGTACTAACATTTCCCATGTTTAGTCGTTTCAGTGATGGGGATACATTCCCATTGAACCTAGGACTAATTTCTGGCAAGTTGGTATGCTCAAAAGGGTTCAAGGCTGATATTATTTCAATTTTCAATTTTTCAGTCTTCTCATTGCCCCTCTGCCCTAGTATCCAGACAAGGATAATTTTGTTATACCCAATGTCTGACAGGGGCTTGATGCAATACTAAATCCATTTATGCGATGGACTCATTTTTTCTTTCAATTTATCATTAATTTTTTTAAACGGTCTTGCATAAAAAAAAGGAAAAGATAAATATCAAAGAAACCTGTTACCCTTTTGGTCGAGATTTAAAGGAAATATAAAAGGAAAAAAAAAGGTGAAAAATGAAGACAAAAATCCACTACTGAACTTAAAAACGAAAGTTACCGCCTGCTCTGAAGAATTCTTCAATCTAGTGTATGTACGCCAAGAATGACTGGACTTTACCTTTGATGAGGTAGGTGCTTTTAGTCCAAATAAATGGCTGGTATATCTAGTCTTTGATATCGTTGGGTGTTCAATAGCCCCAGTGTCTGCCTGAAAGTGGCATATTGCCTTAGACTTCTAGTTTGTCCTTAGGTATCCTGACACATACTCAGTCTTAGTGCCATCTGTATATCGGGTATTTTGAGATTTTTTGATCAAATCTGAATTTTGGGGTCATGGCGTCAACAGGTGTCCATCCCTAGAACCTTTTTCTTCAAAGCTTTAGTTGCTCATTTTTATGGCTGTGAAAAGTGGATTTAGCCTCTCCCTGGACGATGATGTGTAGTGGTGATAAATCCAGTAGGGTTTCCAAGATAGCAATGGAGGTCATTCTAATCACTCAAGGAACGTTCAGGTAGCAATATAGCAAAATCTATTGTACTGTTTCCAACTATCCTCCAAACTGGCCAGGCAATTGGACTTTGTGCACAGGAGTTGATATAGAAGAAAATGAAAGGTGCACAAATCTAAATGCCTTATACAATCCTGGCAGCTATAAACATATTAAATGCTTTTAGTTAGCAAAGGGATTATAATTGTTGAAACTTATTTAATACTAAATTATTGAGTCCTACAGGGTAGCACCCTTCCTGAATGTAATGTGCACAGCTAACCTCCTTACCCATCCGACACAATTATTCATATTTTAGCAGATGAAACTGCTATCCTATTTTCCAATAAAGGATCCCAACCTCTCACATCGCTCCCTACAAGCTCCCCTATTCAACATTGAACTTGGTTGAAAATAATTGGCAAATAAATAAATGTTGACAAAAGTCAATAAATAACCTTCACCCTCTGATGTGAAATAATGCAATTTTGAGAATTGAAATGATGTAAAAGCAATGCATAATGAGTTCACTAGCTGATACAACAATTTCTGCTCATCCAAATAAAATATGCGCTTTAGTTCCCATCATATCAACAGGTTCTCCATCAAATTCAAATTAATTGTGGGAAAAATGTAAAGATTTTATGACTGAAGACACTTTGCATCAACATCGATTAGATTAAGATGTATTAACCATGACTTGCAATTTACATCAGAAATGTATAATAAAGCATTGGTTTTGAATGAAGGCAAGGTAATCGTTAATAAAGCATTGTCGTCCCATCCGAGAATGGCATCACCTAATCAAATAACTAGTGACATATTGATACACCGAATTACAACACAGTCAAACTTCAACGTCAATGAATTAAATATATTTGTAAGATCAAATATTCAAAAGTTACTTCAAGACAAAAACATGTTAATAATGTGATAATGTAAGGAACAAATGATGAAAGAGGTGGAATGTATGTGGGTGCCAAGTGGTAAAGGAAAAAATATTTCGTACTTAAATGGTTCTTGCAACCATGCACAAAATATCACGTTAGTAATCACATAATCTAGATTTTTGTCAAACAGCACATTCAGCACTTAAAAAAATTTCAACAACAGGAATGAGTTAAAGTACTGCAGCAATGCAAGATAATTATTTAGGATGAATGCACAATGGCATAAAAAATAGTTGGAAGCAATGGATCAAGCAAGATTTAAATTTAGTAGAACCAAATTCGGTGGTGCGCTAATGTTATTAGCAGGTGATTTTCGATGTGTTATTCCACATTTAACACCAGCTGCAAACAAAATCACAAGTCATCAATGGTTAAGTGAAGTATTAGCTGCAAAAAATGTAAATGTGAATTTCATTAATATCAGCACTCAGCATATATTACCAGCAAAAACCGCTACTTGTGTACAAATCAGTAGATACTGTTATAGATCAACATGAAGCAATGAATTATTCAACTGAATTTAAGAAATTCACTTGGTTTACCTGGATTGCCATCACACATCATTAATAAGAAAAAATGGCAAAAAGAGGAAAAATTCAAATGGTTGAAGGTTAAGTGAGGAGTTGGTGTCCGAGGGGAGTGAAGTCAAGTTAGCTCAAGTAGTTAGAGCAGCGGCACATTGAGCCGAAGGTAGTGGGTTCGAATCCCCCTCATGAAATTAGCTTTTTCATCTCAACAAAGACCTTAGATAAAAAAAATTATTAAACAATGTCATCGAAGCAATAATTTTAATTGTCAGTTTAAAGGAGATGTGCTAATACAACCATGTTTACCAATGACAACAGATATGCCAATTCAATTCAAACTACTGCAATTTCAAAATAAACAAGCTTTTGCAATAATGATCAATAATCACAAGGTCAATCATTGCAATTATGTGGATTGAATTTGGAGAATCCATGGACATCTCATGGACAATGTTGCATGGTCCAGAAAGTGAAGCGATTGATTTGTATATATGCCAAATGGAATCACCAAAAGCATTCTATATCCAAGAATATTGCAATAAACTAACAACTACTAATTTTAATAAAATAAAATAATTGATATCAAACTTTCAATTGTGTTCGTTTAACCAAGCAAAATGGGGTCGTCCAAAAGGCTCTTGCATGTCTACAATCTGTAGATGGCTGAGAACCTGAGCCAATAATGAGAAATTGTCCTAACCTGATTAAAGAATAGGTATCCAAATAAGTTGAGGCACAGGATCCTGCTCCTGGACCAGCTCGCATAGGTCACCCTTATGGATAGAAAGGTTGCTCAAAATGTCCCACATAAAAGAGTATGTTTAAGCATGCTGCAGAATTTAAGAACGGTTTTTGAGCACAGTAGTTTCTGGGTTCCATTTCTACTTTTTGGAGAATATGTTTTTTATTTATATAGAACTGTTTTATGTATTTTGTAAGTGTATTTATTAGGGTGAGAGGTCAATGGCGGAATATTTATGAAAGTACTCTATCGACCCTAATTTAGATTATTTTATTACTATGGTGTGTTGTAGACGGAAGAATATCAAATACTCCCCTGACTAATCAGAATGAGTACAATGTACATAGGTGTGAATGTATTTATTTGTGTGATTGTATTATAAATGTTAGTTAGTTTTAGCTTAGATTATATTTTGCATGCATTTCGGGCTGAAATGACCTAGCTATCAAAAGCTCCTTGGGCCTAGTTGGTTGGGAAGCGATGAACTCCTGGGCATTTGGGTTACTGAAGTATAGACTGTAGGGTCAGCACAGGAGTGACAATCTTTTGGGGTGAAAGTCCAATAGCACATCACATATTATATATTCTCAAAATTATGTGTAAAATAAAACTTTATTAGCCCCCTGGGTAACACCGGGTTCGGTATTTAATATTTAGTACCTATAAGCTTTGACCATATCTACATAAAAGCCAATTTTAACTGAAAACTTTGGATTTCAATTTCTAAAATTTAATAATATAAATGTATTTATTTGTTATTTACATACTTCAATGGAATCTAATAATATGAAAAAATAATTAATTGTAATATATTAATTGGTCAAGCGGACCACGAAATTAATGAATTTAAAAATATGAATAAGTGTATGTAAGAAATAATCTTATTAAATTAATTCTAAGAGGGTCTGTTGATATTTTGTCTATTTTTATTCTAATCTTTATATATTTATTAGTTTATATATCTAGCCATATGCAATTTATCATCTTTTGTGCAAAAAGAAGTTATTCTAAATATATCAAAATAGTGTGTTCTTTTGTAATTATATTGTTATATAAACACTTTTGCTTGATGCTAAAATAAAAAAATAACATAGTTACGTACTGTGAAGTTGAAGTCTCGATGAAGTGATTATCAAAATGGTTCATAAATAAGCTTGAACTATTTATTTAAACATAATCAGCTTTACAGTCCATGGATAGTTTTGTATACCATTTGTAATATGTACATTACTTTTTTCACAATATTTCTTTTCTTGTTTTAAAGATTTATTTCAATAAAACTTTACATTTCTTTAACAGGTTATTAAGTTATACATTTCATAACCTTGAAAATATAATACTACAATAAAGTAACCTAGTAAATAAAAAGTAGTGAGTACGCTACTTTATTGATAACAAGAATTATATTAGATTTTTTTTTTAAATTTTTTACCTTTCATTATTATTTTCCATAATATCCACAGCAAATAAGTTAAATATAAACATATTCTACATAATTTTATCACTACAAAAACATTACTTTCCCATAATGGGCCTCTAGAAAAGAAAATAGTTGGAATTATAGAGAATAAAGAAAAGGATAGTTTTTAAAACCATGTAGCCCTTTAACAATTAAACTGAAAATAAATTATTCAAAAAAGAGTAAATAAATAAGTTAAAATCGTTCTCCTGAATTCGAGTTGACCTCAGATAATTTTAAATATCAATCTATACGAGGTTAATACAGACAATATTTTATGAAAGAACAGACCTGATAATAACGTTAAAAAAGTTTTTAACTGCAATCTACAGCCTATTTTATTATTATTAATAGAACAAGAATTAAAAAAAAAAAGAAAAAGATAATCGATATACATTTTGTATATTTCTCTTGTAAAGCAGATAACAATTATAAAATTGTTCAACATAAAAAATTATAATTTTTTATTTAAAAAATCATCTACTTAATTAGTACAATGTAAAATTAACACAATCAGGCAAGTTTCTAACATGTAACATCAGTACATACCTTCGTTTTACAGATGTACAGTTAAATACGATCTTCGGGCAGTCTACCGTTCAACACAGACGCAAAATTATTTTGCCGCTTTCTTCAGAACATTGGATGATGGGATCGAAAATGTTAAACAAAATTAGCTTATCCCCATTAACGTTTATTATAAATGTGTGCCTCTCTAGGTCAATGAGTGTTGTTAATATAATGTACGTTGTTTAATACTAATTGTTATTTATTTAAACAAATTTAATTTATTCTAAAATATTGCATCAGGCATGACAGAAAAAAGAATTGAGTCGATGTAAAATAATTTTTCAAAAAGTCAATAGCCAATATTTAGTTGAACTCGAATTTGGAAACAATCAATTTCAAAAGTGCCATCAATAGATTAAAAAGCCTCTTATGAAAATGGGGGGCTGGGTGATGTTCTTTTGAAATTTTAGGAGCACGACAGAAATTTTAAAATTTAACACTTCAAAACTTCTTGTGTACTGATATTCAAAAACATTGTTTTGTTTTTTTTCTTTTTATAAGTAAGGCATTGCGAAGAGAGCTAGGGAGGAAAATCCAATTCGATAAAAGTCTAATTTTAAATTCATGTGAAATTTCTATCAAGATCAATTTAAAAGTGACAATAATTTCTTTTCAAAACAAAACTGTTAGTAAAAAATAAATAAATAAATAAATAAAATAAAATAAAAAATAAAACGGCATTCATTTTTGTTAAAAAAAAAGTCGATCTGAGAGAGCATTAGATAATTTTTAATGATTTATGGCTTCATATTAAAACATTATTATATTAAAAAAGTCATGTACAATAGATGGAAATAATGTCAAACCAAATTCACCATTTAACAAAAATTAACCTTGACAACTTAACCATTTGTTATTAAGGATGAGTTAAATCAAAGCTGATTAGATGTTAGTGTTTTTACCAAAATAAAAATAATATACTCAGATCATTAAAAAAAAATATATTTAAAAAAGTCAAATGACCCAATGAACAGAAATCAATTGTGTGGAAATGCAACTTATTTTGAGAGCAATATAAATTCATCAGAAACGTTTTAAATGAAGTAAAGAACGCAATGAACAATAATAAGAACTTTAAAAACACTTTGAACTAACTGAAATAAATCACAATTAATTACTGTTTCTTAGTAGAATTTTAAAATTGTACATACGGAAAAATATAATCAAATGGATTAAACAATGTTTTTCATTCTAAAATTTCAAATTTAAACTTGTATGGGTAAACATGATTTTGCTGAGAAATAAAAACAATTTGATATTCTACAAATATTTTTTTCTTTAAAAAAACAAAAATAAAAATCAATATGATTTAATGATAACTACGTTAACTGATTCAATCTCGTTAGCTTTAAGTTTAATATTGAGCCTTCTTTACTTTGTAGTGGATATGAAATGGATTAAAAATGAAACAGTACATATATCTACAATAATTTGTTGTAACCTTGTTTAGGGATGGTTGGTAAGCCTTAACGAACTTATGCAACATTAGGCTACCACAGGAGTAAATATTATGAAGATCAAATTAAAACTGACAGACTGAAATTTGGCAAAATTTTGGAATCGTTGGCTTGATTAACACAGCCACTCATAAACTTAATTATAGCTCCATAATTACAATGAATTTGGTAAACATAACCTAAAGACAGATGCCAAGAGAATTGCTGTATGAAATGGATACTAATTTACACCTATTTCCTATTTTTTCTTATTTTTGTTAGTGGCCCCACGAGGTGGAGTGACAGGGCGACCAGCATTCAGCCCTCCATAAGTAAATTTCCTCTTGTCAGCAGGCTAAAACAAAAAGTATTAATTAAATAAATGAGTCGTTATTTTAAACATGAAATTGTAAATTAATATAAATATAATAAATAATATGAACCATTTCTCTCTCTCTCTCTATATATATATATACATATTTATACGTACACTTCTTCGTCTTCGGCTATTGAATTACATTTTCAATTACAAACTCTGTTCTCTCTTCTTCCATTCAATTTCACTCAGTAGATTATGCCCACGTAAGTTATACATACGAAATAAAATGTTGGGTGTGTGCATTTTCAAATTTCAACTTTCACCCTTATAAAGGCGATCCCTTTATTTGCTTTAGGGTGGGAAAAGCCCTACTGAATGAGATTATTAAGAAAGAGGTAGTTGATCCTAAAAGTCAGTCTAGAATAAACTGTGACACTTACGACACGAAAGCAGATAAAATTAGGCTTGCTATAAGAGCTGGATCTTGGGCATAGAGAGATGGATGCCTATCGAAATTTATGTGGAATTTACGGTAATAACATAGTAACTGAACATACCAGTCAACAGAGGATTTTGCGTTTTCGTGATGGAGAGACACAAATCAAAGACCAATTTTGTTGTAGAATGAGTAATGAGCTTGAAAGTGATGACTTATTAGTGACATTGGAGGATGAGGACAAATTCATTGTAGCAGAGCTATCAGAGAGATTTCAGGTACATCACACAAGAGAAAGAAGAATCCAATAAGGTTATGTTGTAAAACTCAATTCATGGGAAAAAAAGGAAGACCATAGGCTTGTTGCATATCCCACCTGAATCCCACCTAAATTGGAAGGGTGTATGTCCTATTTGGACACTAGGGATGAGTATTGGGTCCTTTACAAAAATGTTAAATGCCAAAAGACCATTTGCACGAAGAATGAAACGCCACCGTCCAATATCAAGAGTACGATTGCCCTATCATAAGGTCCTATAGGTGGAGGTATATTGGATATATAAGTTATATGAAAGTGTTACAATGCAATCAAACCCTTATAGCAGAAGGTCTATTGAAAGAAAATGTCCAGCCCTGGTCAATAGGTGCATCACAGATTTCTCTCGTCTAAGTCATCAGCTTTTACAAAAAGGGATATTTTAGCTAACATAACATTTGCAGTATTTTATGTAAAGCAAAGGAAATTATGTTTTGGATTAAAAATATACTACATTTATAATTGGTAAAGTTTACCTTTATGAAAAGTGAAAAAACCTATGCACACACCCAATGTAAATAATACTGAGATGCTACTCAGTAACACTACTGCATAAAAAAAAAACCTAATACAATAACCCCCACATCAGCTAAGTAATTTTTACGTTTATTTAATTTCTCAGAAAATAAAATGAGTTAAAAGTTATCCCCAAACACCGCAAAATTGAGGAGTGGAATGAAGTAGTTAATGATGATAAAAATGTATTTACTTCGCTTAAAAACTCAAGGCTAGTACAACTCGTAGACAAAATAGCGCAACTCATGTCTACAGACAAAGTTCTGCAATTGTCTATACACAAATCGGGAATAAATCACTTGTTTCGAAACTACCTGTAAACAAAAATCGCAAGTCTATGATCACCCAGCTCGGATGGAAAATTTGAGACATGTTGCACATATCATAGTGTGGAGGTTTATCTGAATCTTGTTTCTTGCCTGCATATTTTATTTCCAACCAAAACTAGCAAATTTTCAAAATCAGTGGAGGTTAGTCATGTCAAATTTCTGAAACCTGAACTATCTAGCCATGTCAAATTTCTGAAACCTGAACTATCTTCTAATTTTAATTTTTTCAGAAGAGTCAATCCGAATGTAGGACTGTTCCTTGTCCACTGATGTTTACGATTAATTTTCCCTTTTAAAATTGCACAAGCAGCCAAGCCGCTATCTCATGTGCCATGTTATCGCAGAATCTAGTTTAACTGAGCTGTGCAGATGTGGATGCGTGACAAAGGTTCTAGATCATCTAGGATTTGTTCCGCAAAAGTCTACAGATAAAATCGGTGGTTTTTCTATAGACACTGACGCGATTTTGTCTACGAGTATTGTATTACTTCGTATTTGTGTATTAGACTTTAAATGTGTTCAGTATGTTCTTGTGTAAAGTATAAAGAATAAAAAACTTTTAGTAAAAGGATTTTTAAAAAACATGTTAAAGGTAGTAGAAATAAAAAAGATACAATAAAAAGAAGATTAAAAAAATCATTTGTTGTTATTCAATCAAAGCTGCTGGGATTATTTTCATTTAAATGTTTCAAAATCCATAAATTTTCTTTAAGTTTCTGTTTAGCATCCCACTGTTCAAATATGATCATGAACCGTTAGTAAATTGTTGTTACTTTATTTGGTCATTACAATTTATACACAAGCATTATAATTAATTAATGAATTGCGATGTATGAAAGTTAATAAAATATATATAAAAGTTAAGTTAATAAATAACTTTATAGCTTGGTGAGAAGCATATTGAAAATTGTTTGTATTTAATAATTATTTTTTAGAGGAAATTAGTATTAAAGTTTAAAAATTGGGTTCTAGATTAAATAGAGACATATTTTTGTCTAAAAAAAATCAATAATATGCAATTTTCAAATTTAAGTACCAAAGAAGAATGGGAAAAAGGGAAAAGCCCCTCTGTTGAGAACGGCACCATCTGCTGGTACACTCGACAGATTTAGTACGCAGGACGGAATGAGGGCAGGAACCTATGGGAAAATACACCAGTATCTTCCTACATGAAGTCCACGCAATTGAGAGATGTACCCAGTTCAATCTGAACGAAGGTACAAAAACAAGAATATAGCTATCATGCCATATACCCACGCAGTCATCAAAGCACTAAGTTCAAACATCATTAGCCCAAAGATGGTACTGAACTGCAAAACTAATTACAAAACAATGCCACCTCCATGGGTACCAGGACGACATGGGGAGGTAAAGAACAATGAAAGAGTAAATACGGCCATACAGCTGATAGATCCTGAGCCCTTCTGTGGAATAGGGTTTTGAACTGTAAATTAGTACCTTTAACTTACTAACCAAATGGCTTGGATTGTCATAAGACGGCTCTCCCCACCTGACCAAATGAAGGAGCCTGGAGAGTCTTAACTGTCCCCACCTGGAGACTGGAGAGATGTACCCAAGCCCGGCCCACTCTGCTACCGATTATCACGAGAGATGTACTAATTTGTACCTTCCCTTATTACTTTATTCTATGTTATTTTTCTATACTTCCTTGTTTAACTATTTTACTTGCTGAATACACGAACCTTACCCTCTCCTATGCTGACTGGTCTTGAACATTAATTTTTTACCTTTTATGTCTTAAACTAAGGTGTTTTTCTACGTTCTCATTTCTCTTAATCTTTGGCTTATGCCTGGTGCCTAAGTTGGTACAAATTCTTTTTTATATTTTTCATACTATGAATTCACTCACTGAACATAAAAACAATTCAAGAAACTTCCAGTTAATTTTAAAGAGGAAAAAATGACAGAATGCATTAAAAAAAAAAATCGAATCCAGACGGGATTCTTGAAAAGTCATTGCGGGCTGAATTGGCATCTGAAAAAGATTGTATAGCCCATCATGGCTCATACTGATTCTGCAAAGTTGCAGAGGAGACACCAGCCCGCCTACTTACAAACTGACGCATGTTTGTAACATTCTGAAATTTTTTTGATGTTTGGGAATGTCACACAAACAAATACAACAATTATAAATGTTATGATTATGTTTTGAATTTAGCAACTAAAGCATATTCGGTCAATTAATTCTTGAAACAAAATCAGACAAGGGGTCAATGAAAGAATGTTGGAAATGGTTTAACAAAATGAAAGCCTTTGAAAAGGAAGAAAGGTAAAAATACTAGGACCAGAAGTAGCCAAAAATGAAAAAAATATTTTTCCCAAGTGAATAATATAACCAAAACAAGGAGATTAAGAATCCATGGACGAATCATATATACGAATCATTGAATTAAGGGTATTCGGCAGCCTTTGAAAAAAGAATTTCTGGAACTAAAATTCCAAATAGAAGCGGAGAAAGAAGAACTGATTGTTCCTCAAAAAAACACTGTAAATTTTACCAACAAGAACTAAAACATAGCATAGGGCAGTAAAAAAAAAAAAGGAAACCTTGCTTAGCACAAATTTCACTTGACAGAAATTGACAAGGAACAAGGTTAAGCAAGGTATGACTGTAGAGTAAACTAGTTACAAAAAAATTGTCTGTCAGTCTTTCTATTTGTTTATATTGTATATTAACTAATGCATATAAGACATTTGTGTGATTATTCTGTTTCCATGAAAAATTTTTAATTGTAGTACCATGAATTTTCACACATGCATTCATTTATCTAATGTGATTCTACACCCTATAAAATAAGTAAACTAATAAATCTATTATCATAATAAAGATTAACATGTAATAGAAGAAACCCAATTATAAACAAAATAAAATATATAATATTTATATTAAAAAAAAAAAAGTGTCCCCGCGTTTTACCGTGTATTTTTTTGTATAACACGCTTAAATGTCTAAAAATTTACATCTGTTGACAATATGTAAGTATAGTTAAATACTGTGGGGCAGGCTAAAATGCGGCCATTGACTTTCATCCAACATCAATTGCGACAGTTGCAGATGTCCGAGGTGTTCATTTTAATTGATCACCGTTATGCAGAGCATCTCCATTATGTCTGGCCGCCCACATATTGTATTGAAAACTATTTTGTTGTCTGTTTAGACGGTTGGGCTGTCCTATTTGTTACAGTTAATGAAATTGTGGCTAAAGACTGGTTCTCTGAAGGACCACCAAGAGTGGTGCTTGTGGTGTAAACTGTGCTTCCAGCGTTCGGAACAGTAGCTGACCTCGGAGTGTTTCGTGGCTAAAAAAATATAAAATGCTCATTTTTTTTGTTAATTGAAAGCATTAATTCTAAACGTAAGTTTTGATATAAACAATGGTATACAAGATGTTTAAGAACATAACTATGTTCCTTGTTAACAAAATGCGCAACCATGGCTTATTGAAACTATATGTAATTATTTTTACCTCCATATTTTGCCTGTAAAGAATCCCTACGGTGTTTATGTGTGTGTGTGTAATTTGTAAGCATTATTCAAATTAATAAATTCAGAAAGAGTAGAAAGAAACTCAACTGTCAGTGTTTTTCCACATGTTTGGTTTATTTAAAAAAAAAGATAATATATATATAATTTTTTTTACATTATCACAGCGGATGATACGATTTTCAGGCTTTGAAGAATTTTCTTCTTCTACATACCAATCAGACACTTTCTCTATCGCATGTGCCTGTTGTCAATGTTATGCATGAACGTATGTACACATATTTCAGGTTTTTTAATGAGAAAAATACAATGTACAGTAATATATATACATAAAGTTTATTCCACTCAGGAAAACAGTACGTACATACATCAACAGGTTTGCACCTATATACAACATCGAAACAAATGAGAAAAAATTATTAGGGGACTAAAAGAGATAAAATTGATTTAAAAAAATTAAATTCCACAGTTAGAAGTAGATAGTGATGAATCAGCGAAGTTTGCTCTTTCAACTTTCTCAAAGAACATTGTTATTGCAGGCTACTTTGTCTGATTTTTCAACTGGTAGAAATTTTGTTGTAGTGGGTCCACTGCTTGAGTTAGCTGTTGTGTTATGTTGATGCTTTGTTCCACTATTGGATCATATTCTATGATTTTGTCTTTCTGACAAATAATCTGGAATGCAGTATGGTCTTAAGGAAAACCAAATTCAAATGTTACAGCCAAGTTTTCGACCTGTTTTAAGGTAATCATCGGGACAAAATAATCTTAAATATGTCTACAAATTGACATAATTAAGTTTTTAATTGACGATTTAAAATTTCTTTGAAATAAACCTCAACATTGCCAAGGACTGTGATGGACATTTTACAGGCAAAGTCCAAAAAACAGCAATCAAAAGTATAACATAAACAAAACAATAATCTAAAATAAATTAGATAAAAGTAACATGATATAAAATAAAATAATGCGATAAAAGATTAGAACGTTAAGAGTTAATATATAGAAACAACACATAAGAGCATGAAGCATTAGAGTTCTTTTTAAAATATATAAAGAGTCTGAGAAAAAATCACCATCTGCAGGAATTGAGTTTCCCAGGGAGGTGAGACGGCTGTGTAATGCCTCGTGTAACCGGTGTGATGGTGCTCCATAAAAAAAGTTTGAACTCCTCTCAAAAGAAGTTTAGTATCTCAAAGGCCAAGACTAGAGAGAATCTTCGGAGAGACAAGCAAAAACTGTCTGTCTGATGAAGATTGAAGCCCAGTAAAAAGAAGCCAATCATCATAGGGAAGGTAATTAGGGGTGAAGAATTAAAAGACTCTTTACATAGTAGACAAGATCTAGTACATTGGAAAGATGCAACTAGATTAGTCTCAATTTTAAGAGATGGATCTCAGACAATACTAGAATACTCAAGACCAATGAATTATATAAGACTGCAGACCAATGAATTATTTAACATTTTATTAGCAAAGTGATTACCTAAATCTGAAGTAAAATGTTTCACAAAAGAAATTCTTTAAAGCCTTACTTCTAATTTGGAAACGTGATCATGAAAATTACATTTACTATAAAAAAAATGATACCTAAGTCATTTATTTTGTCTATTTTATCCAAATAAAGACCACCGATGTGATACGACCAGGAATGACAATCTTTCAGTTTAGAAGACAGATTAAATTTAATGCATTTGCATTTTGGTCCGTTGACACACATATCATTATCACAACACCAGGTAAAGAAAGCATTTAAATACAATTTAAATAATCCACAGTGCGTAGTGGAAGAAATGTTGGAAAATAACTTGTCTAAAATCTAACTAAAATAAAGCATGAAGAAAAATTTTCATCAAGACCATTCCGTGATCGAGATTATTCGTGAGTAAAGTTATCGATACATCAACACTTGAAACAGAAATTTTGTCTTTCAACTTTTGAGCTAATCAAAAGATTTCTCCTAATTTTTTTATTGATCTACTATTTTATCCTCTTCTGTAGTTGATTTGATTCGTACTTATTCCTCACAACTCAACGAGAGGGGCAATCACAGATGAGTGGAAGCGGGGATAATGAGAGTACTGTACTCAATAATTATTAAGAACTTAACACATGGTGAAATATCTCTTACCTTGAGGATCTGGAAAGAACACATAAGCGTTTCATCGACTGACATCATAGCTCCTGCATTGTCGAATTCACCACAATAATTAGGAGCCGAGAACAATGTAACCAGTTGTCTCTTTGCAAAGAACTCATATCCATCCTCAACAACCTACAAAGCAAAACATTAATGTAAATGAGATTCATTTTTGTCTTTTTCCAATAGTTTATAGGGAAGACAAATTTAAGATTTTTACTAAAAAATGTCTTTTGCTGGATGGAGTTGTACATTTGACAATTTTATCATCCTACACATTAGACACTGCATTCTTGCATTATCATCTTTGTAATTAGTGATAAAAATGACTGTTATTTGAAAAAAAAAGAAGAATTTATACTTCAAAATTATACAATTTGGAGACAAAAATATATCCACATAAAATTGTTATAGATATGTTTAGGCAATATTATTTTAGACAAACTTTTTTTTTCTTTTTTGTCAACCAGTTCAGACATTGAAAGGAATTACGTCTAGGAATATAGGGAAGTGAATAGGTAGGTACATAAGAACAGTAAGAAGAGTCAAAAAGACACTCCCACTGGAGAGTTAAGGACATTTGAACAATGTTCTATAAATTGCATTAGTTCTTCTTAGTAAATTTATTAAATAAAATAAAGCTTGCCTGGTGGGCACGGCATATTAAGTCAAAATCGTGTTTATGGAGAAATTTAGCAACCACTTCAGCGCCGAATGTAAAGGAGACTCCTCTATCATTCTCTCCCCAACCCAGAGTATCCTGAAATTATTGAAAATTCGTTAATAAATTATTATGCGCAAGTGTGAGCCTTCATGCCGAAAATATGATCGTACTTTATCTGGATCGGACCATAGCAAATCACAAAGCAAACCCTGATCAGGGACATCAGTCGGCCTCATGATCCTTCGAATTTGTTCCATACTTTGTAAATCTGGACTCAGCCCACCATGACAACAGAAAATCTTTTCATCAACAATTGCAGCAACCGGTAAACAATTGAAACAATCTGTGAACGTCTTCCACAATTTTATGTTGTATCGTCTTTTGCCTGCAATAGATTTAAAAAAATTTGTTTGGCGATTTTGTTTACAACACAGGATTTGCTTATGTATGACGCGACAGCTTACATTCATCATAGAAACCATAAATTCTGTTGATGCTGGCACATTCATGGTTTCCTCTTAAAAGAAAGAAGTTTTCAGGGTACTTGATTTTATAAGCCAACAGAAGGCAGATAGTTTCCAATGATTGCTTGCCCCTGTCCACGTAATCACCCAAAAATAAATAATTGGACTCCGGTGGAAACCCTCCATACTCAAATAAACGTAGCAAGTCATAATACTGTCCATGAATGTCACCTAAAACAAAAAAAAATCTTTCAATTGGTCATCATGATTTTATTTTGGTTTACAACCGGGTTGAAGATCATATCATCAAAGTCAACCTTTGTATTTTATTTTGCTCGGTGAAAAGTTCATCATAAAAAATCAAATTGGTTTTGCTGCAAAAAAGACCATTTGCTCTGATCATCTAACAGATTAAAATAAATTTAACCAGCCTTGGAAACACGCCAGATGTTAATCTTCCAACTAGTAGTAATTATCTTAATTGTTGGAAAAATGCTTCATATAAATAGTAGAATTAACAAAAGCAGTGTTAAGATATAATCCAAACCACATAAAAATTAAATCCAATAAAATTGATTGATAATTTAAGACGGGCATCCAAAATTAAAGAAGTTTTAAATAAAAATCCCTAAATATGTTTTTAGCAGATGATTAATTTTCCTTAATGGGTTATAAGTATTGTAACAAAGGTTTGAAATAGAACTTAGCATTTAACAGTAAGGGGAGATAAGAGACGAGAATTTTCATACAAATAGATCTATTGTAAAAACAACCTGTGAAAATCTTTTATCAGTTTTTCCCCCTTTAAAAATGTATAACTCAATAGATTCAATCAATGCCCAAAATCCTGAATGGGAATTTGATAAACATTTATAAAGAAACAGATAATAATAGAAAAGGTTATTATTACCGATCTGATTTATCTTCAAAATTGCAAGTTATGAATAAGATGACTAACTACCCCAAATTCCTTTTCGATGATTTAAATCTTGTTTAAGAATATACAGGTTACAGGATGATAACGAAACTCATTCAAATAAATAATGTGGTTAGCAAGAAGTGAATATGAATTTTTAAACTATAATCACAATCTAAGATCAATGAGCCTACTAAATTAAATGAGTTTTATACAATTTTACTAGCAGCCACCCCAGCTTCGATCGGGTATTATGAAAATTTGAATAATTAATTGGAAATTTGTTATTTGTATAGAAACTTTATTTTTTGGTTTACATTCTTTTTATTTTACAATGCTTTTGAATATACTTTTTTTCCTGCGTTTGATACCAATATATATATATATATTTTATTTTATTTTTTTTTTAACGAGGGTTCGCAACAGCAGAGGTTATATCAACCCTTGGGGTGCCGGTATTTTTGAAAAAAAGCCCATTTGTAAGAATGTCGGGTTCGAATGCAGGGCCGCTGGATTCGAACCTGGGACCTTTACCTTACAGTGATGAGCGCCGTGTCAACGCCTAAACCGTTGAAGGCCCCGATGCCCCCAAAACAAATTAAAATTTATAAATTTACTATCCAAGATAATACTTCTGATTCTTGATAAACCGACATATGATTATCCGTTTGTCCTTGTGATTTATTAATCGTTATAGTGAAAGATAGTTTAATAGGGAATTGTAATATCTTAAATGTAAACAGCAAGTCCATTGGAATACTACGTATATGGGCCTTTTGCCCAGCTGCACGCCCTAGTATAAGTATAATTGCTTCGCCTTCAACTAGATGTCAACTCCCAATTGAATGGTATACCGGTCCTTGGATTTGATGGTATAAAATTACCTTCACATATTTCTTTTTCATCAAATGATGTAATTTGAAAAAGAGTGGTGTACTAGTATTTCATAAAAAAATGTGCAAACAATGGGGATAACATTAACAGCTACATCATAATCTATTTGGTTCATCAGCCCACTTTTTGCATTGCAGCTATTGCACACTTTATCCATTTTACCTATTTGAAAGTCATTAAAATGAGCATAATCGATGATATTATAACGAAATGCTAACCCACTACCACTCCCTTTTAACTCATTTTTAACTGATTGTGTTCCCTAGATCTAGTGGAATGTATTCCTGCTCGATAATGCCCTGTTCGACACCATTTTCTGTACCTTGAGTTGCTAAACTGAGAGCATTATTACTATCCAAATAATTTTGTCGTTCTTCTGTCTCATTTAGCCTCTGAATTTTTTGTTTCCTTGAGGCAGAGGTATGTCTACGTTTCGGGTGGGTTCATCCAGCACTGTTATGCCGCATGTTATGTTTACCATTTACGAAAGAACGGGATGCTTTCACAACAAAGAACAAAGATTTGGCTAAAAATATTAATACTACTTTTAAAAAAACTTGGGGGAGGGGGTTTCTTCTGTCTTTTTTCTGCAACCCCTCCTCCAACCAGTCCTAAAACGGCTCACACAATAACATAGAAAATTTCACATCTTTACTTCATTACTTGATACTGCAATAATAACATGACAGAACTATGTCTATGTCCGTCCTTTTTGTATCTCCCTAAGGAACGCATTTAAAAAAGAATATAAAAATCAAAATCGGACCAGTAGATTTTGGGATTACCTCTAACATACAAACCAAATTTCTCTCTTTATTTTGTTTGGTCATTTTTGTCCTCTTTTTATTTTTTTATTTTTTAGTTTGACCATTTTGATAATTACGACCAAGGGTAACAGTCGAGCATCATTGCAACAGTAAAAGGCTTGGCATATATAGACAATATTTTGGCATGTTATTGGACCTGTGCATAATTTTGCAGAATGGCAACAGGCAGAGATTGCTGTTCCGGTACCTCAGAGCTATAGGGATTTTTAAATGAATGTAGTATTCATGTATTGGTATGAATGTAATTTATTAGCGACAAAAGAAAAAGATAGTTTTAACCCTCCCTGAGAAATACCGAGTACTCTGGGGTGACTTTGTAACATTTGGAGAGGAAAAGTAATTTATTAACAAGAATGTAGGGGTTCAACCCTGCCACGAGGAATATCGAATGAGTGAATGTGACCAGACTTTGTGGTCATGTATATACGTAATATGCACACTTTTATTTTGTAGTTGACAACCTGAGGTACAAATGAGGGGCTAGAATTTTAGGATATCAACTTAGTGTTTCATACAAAAGTAGAGACAGTAGGCTGCAAGCCGAAAAATACGCACGAAAAACCATAAAAAGAAGTAAAAACATACAGAGGGCTAGCAATGACCTCAGCTGTTTGTAGGCACCTATAATTTCCCACATTATTATTATTACTACTATGGATGACTGCTCAAAATACAAAACGTGTCCGTAGTTTCCTTCTGAAGGTGACAAGCGTAGGGTGACAAATATAAAATATGATGAAGATCAAGTTAATGATAAATTAATCCGTATATGTTTAGCGGTCATAATTGACCATATTAATTATATCAGTTAATTAATCTTTTTATCTGTCTTGGTTGAGATGAAAAAGTTAGTGTCCCCGTTTGTGATACTAACTTTTTCATCTCAACCGAGACCTTGGAGGAAAAGAACAATTAATTGAATGATTGAATGATAAACATTTAACTAATGGTACACCATCCTATAAAACAGCAGAAAAGCAAATCTCAAGCTTTTCTGTAACTAAGTAGTATGAATTTAAAATTTTCAGATTAAACAAATAAATTTTTATAACTATTAAGGAATACAAAGATTAAAATGCTGATTTACAAATATCCGTCTCAATAGTAAAATCATTATTCATTCAACTAGCTTAGTAACTGACTTTTATAGATAACATTTATTTGAGAAAACAACTTCCTATATTAAGTTAAATGATTGCCAACTAAGTAGGCCTGAGTCATACTTCAAAATAAACCAAAATTAATAAAATATTACCTAATATCAATGGTACAAATGTCATTTGGTATAAAATTATTTCACCTTTAACATTATATTTTTCTATTTTTTTCCTAAAGCATTTGTTTTACTTTAAATTTTAAAATTAGATGTTCTATTAAGTCTCAAGGTGAAGTAAATCTCAAAATTTTACTACAATACAAATACTAATTAAAGAATAAGTATTATGAGTAATATTCATTGCTCATTTATTTTAAACAAGGAAATCTTCATCAAATGTTGACTTACAAATAAAATAAAACTTTTTAGGTAAATGATTACCGACAGACCTGATAAGTTGGTGCCTAAGGGACAGATGTCACAATAGCTCAAGTGGTAGAGCACTGGAGTACTAATTCAGAGTTGTGGGTGCGGGTCCCACTCGTGACACTAATTTTTCATTTCAATCACACTTTACATAAAAACAATTAATCATTTAATTAAGAATAAAAACACTATGGTTAAGAGGACCAACAAAACCATATAAATAAAATGATAAACCCATACATCAATAACAGCTCCTTGTGGCTAATTTGTGTATCGCCGAGAATCCATGATTTACAAAATGATATTTCATTATGTAATCCACTCTTTTTGTTTTGTGTTAATGCCAGCCAATATGCAGTTTTCCTCTTTTGCACTTCTCACCAAGCCCGTCATCTAATTGCACATTGTATCAGCTTTGACACCAGAATATCTTATGTTTTATCATTTCTCTTCTTACTAGGGTAATCTGTCACTAGAATGATTTGACAAGACCTTTAATACATAAAAGCAGTGCAAATATTGTTTGGCTTGTCCATAGTAAAAACATTAGGAGAATTTTTACATTTTATTTTACATAATTTCTTGTTGCATTTTTTCTACAGTGGTTGAGAACTTGTTAAATTTGAAAAAAAAAGTTAACAAATTTATAGTGCTCCCTCAGTAAACCGAACTAATCATCACTGAGGGGGAATTTGGATTATTAAAAAATTTGGATTAGTTTGTAAAAAAAAGGTACATTATATAGAAGAAATCAATTTCAACACAACACTATTATTAATGCTGACACAAAATGTGAAACCTATTGGAATACTGTCAGTTTTTTATTTTAAAAAATCCTGTTTTAATTTATTTAACATTTTCTTCATTGTTTCTTCCTTTTCTTCGCTCATGTTTATGCAGTAGGTATATTATGCTTAATACCAGAAAAATGTATACTGATCTACATTTCAATTTTTTTAGTAGAAAAGGGAGATGAGGGATTCACAGAACAAAAGAAATTTTTTTAAATTCGTTTAGTCTAAGCTGATCTTGATCTTTTGTATGACTCTCCTTCTCACTCAAACACTCATTCTCTCTCACTCACTCTTTCTTTCTCTCTCTCTCCTCTCTCTCTCTCTCCCTATGTTTCTCTCATTCACTTTATCTTTTTCATTCACTACTCACTCACTTTCTCTCTTGTCTTTTTTCTCTCACATCCTCTCCCTCATTCTTCTTTTCTCTCATCTGTTTCTATTAAAATTCTGACCCTTGAATTTTTTCCAGTTCGGAGTATCAAAGTTTCAATTAGGGAGAGAGTTAATTTTACACCCTGCCTATTTGTTTCTAATTAACATTTAGTTTATTTAACGATACACATGAAAATGTAGGTAAGAAAAGGTTGGAACTTCTTTAATGTATCGATGTCAAAGAACATTTGTAAAACCTATTTTGTTATTGTTCTTGAGTTATTCAGCTGTTGGAATTCATTATTTTCTATTATACAGTCAAGGTGAAGCTGCCCCAGGTAACGAACAATACCCGGAGCCAACTATATAACAGAAAATTGCTTTTATTATTCTTTTCTATATACATATTGTTTAACCCATTCACGACGGTCTCAATAATATTGCTCTTCGTTCCACGAGTGAGGTATTGAGAGCAGGCGCGCTCATTCTTATCTCTATGCAGGTACTTAGAGTATAATATCGAACTCTACCATCATTCGAGTTCACAAAGTAGTGTGCTATTTAGATTTTTATTTTTAGCACTAGTTAAAGTGGGAAAACGATGCCGTTTTAAGCAACACACCGCTTCTTTGAACTTTCATCTAAAATTGAAGAGAATAATGCGAGATATCACGTTCGCAGTGCCTCACTTGTGGAATGATGAGTCAGTGTCTGCCCTGAATGGGCCTTATCAACAAAACTACTGGATAATATAAATTAATCCAATATCCCTTTAGATTTAGCAATATTTGAAATTGCAAGTACAACAGAGTACTTTGATTTATGAGAATGATTATTACTGAAGAAAAAACCATCGATTTTACAAGTTGAGTCATTCAACTGTACTGATGCAATCAGACACACTATTCATTTACATCATCTAAATCAAAATTGTGATCTATTTACGACATTAAAAGAAACGATAAAACTAATGGACAAATACAGTCATTCTGTCAATGTATTAATTTTGGAAATTTAAATTTTTAACCAGAGCATTGTTTCGCCTGAAGGCATGAATCTGGACACCATCGCATATCCCTGTGTTCATCGAGTTCGTTAAAAAAAAAAAAAGTCAGAAAGCACAAATTTGTTCCGCACTGGCTCGGAACGCTTTTGCCACTCGTTTAGAACCGCCTTTACCATTAAACTATCGGCTATTTCAATCGACACAATATCTTATCAACAAAAATTTTATTTACAATTAACATGATTCTTTGTAACTGTAAAAACTGTTAAGAGTACAAGCCTTGGTGTATAAATTAGATTCAGTTATTATTAGTTCGATATGTAAGGCATGAGCTTTAACAAAAAACAAAAAACAAAAAAAAAATGAAACCTATGTGATAAATGTACAAGTCAAAAGGTGCAGAAGAAAATCTTTCGCTGAAGATAGTAACAATATGACATTTAGTCTTTGAGCTTAAATGGAAAGATTCTAGATTCATTGACAGTTAGGAGAAGTTGGGATTTTATAGTTGGCAATGTAGTAACAGACAATTCGTCCCGATAAATGAATAAATGTGATTAATTATTAATTAATTAATTAAAAGGAACGTCAATTGACTTACCGCAGATCTTTAAAGGTGCCTCCAATTCTAGAAGAATGGGCTGCGACAGGAAAATCTCCCTCGATTTAAGGCAGAGGCCTCGGATTTCGCTCTCTGTCAACTGGACAGTCTTGCCCGGGCGGGCTCCTCGCACTACAATCATACAATGCCGTTAGGTTCGAACCGTAAGGCGAATTCATTATTGGAAAGAGCCGCGTTCAAGTAGGCGGCCAGGGCGCGGAAAACATCCGGACGCACATCTCTAAAACGTCGGACCGAATGGGGAAAAACGGGCAAAACCGTCCACTCGTCTCTTTAACGGACGTTAATCCCATTAATATTGAAATAAAATCATTGGATAAGTTACCTTCTAACAGCCGTGCGATGATGGTGTCAATATTTAACTTATCAGACTCTGCCATGTCTGTTTATTGTGGTGTGGTGCAGGACTGAAGAGTGTCAAGTGTAAATAATTATACAGGTAAATTTTGATGCGTGTTCACCGGACTTGAGCTTGCGTCGAAATGAAATTAATTTGATATTGTAAGTATTGCTATGGTAATCGAATGCAAATTAAATGACAAATGAACGTACTAACAGACGGCCAAGTGCCAACCTCACGACCGACTGACTCTATTTTTTCACTCTTTCGTCCCTCCCAAAGCGCGATCAGGTTGACGACGCCATGATCATTTACGTCACGGCTCGGCGAGTCGAAAAAATATTCGACCAATGACGCAACGTCTCGTCAACCTCGCCGGCGACCTTTCGCCCACGGAGCGGCGATTATTTTCCTAAGTTGAGTTATGGAGTTTTTATCGGATCTGCCGACAGTTCGCAATACGGTGGACGTCCGACGACGAACGTCGATGGTTTCGTCGTCGATGGCGATCCAATTGGCTACGGACGTCCTATGGCTACATTTCCCGTCAGTGCCCGCGGAGAAAAATGAAACGAAAACAGGCGCCGCCTCGGTTGAGAAACGTCGAAAAGTCACGTCTCATCCAACGACGTCACTCGACATATACTCAAACCAGCATAAATTCTACATTTCTCCTCCAACAAGCTCCACTATCACTAAAGCTGTTTTAACACAATGAATAATAACTATTTTCACTTTTCAGCAAGTCGTATCCATAACAACACAATGGCTTATGATGCAGCTTTTTCTTTTCTCTTTTTTTTAATTCATTTATTTATTTTTTAATATAAAATATTAGTGAAATTTATATAGAATTTGAAAAAATCAATATTAATATTTTGAGACCACATTTAAAAAAAACTAAACGTGCTAGAAGTTTAGAACAGTCAACTAATTCATTTAGCATTCATTTTGATTGAGCTGGATATGATCCCAAATGAGCACATCTACCAACTTGGACCCACTAACTCCAGAACCTCCTTGATAAAATCTTTTTATCTGAAGAAATGTCCGAAGACTGGGGTTTAGTAAAATTATTATAGTAAAAATTAAAATTATTATTTTTGACCGCTCCTCACGAATTTAACAAATTACAAAACAACAGGTCACTAAGAAACACACATTAAAATTATTATTTAAAAGTGGTGACCTGAATGATGTAAATAACTATAGAGTAATTGCTTTATTAAATAATATAGCTAAATTATGGTGATTTTTATCCAAATTGGGTTGAGGACAATAACATACACCCTAATGGAAAAATTGGTTTCCAAAAGGGAAGATGATACAATGATTCAATTTTTATTTTGAGTTCTATTATTAATATTTACAACTACATAAATTCACTTTTTTTGTCATCTTTGTGATCTTTTGACTCTATTTCAAAGCTGTTTGATATGGGTATTAGTTCAAAATTTATAAGAATTTTTTTCACAGCTTTACTCTAAAGCTAAGACTTCTGGAGAAATTGTGATTAGTACAGACATTTTTCACCTCTTCTTTTCGGTCTGTTTATCAAAGATATGATTTTTTTTTTTTTTTCAAAGCAAAGGAACCGTAGGAATTAGCATTACTAGCACTATAAACTTTAAATGTTATTTTATTCAGGCGATGTTGCTATCATTTACTCCAAGCAAGACGCACAGTTCTAACTACAGCTTCTAAGTGAATATAGCAAACTGAATGTACAGAAAGTATAAATAAGGAGACTCAAAAGTTGAGAATGTGGAATTACCAGTCTCTAAATCATACATTTATTTTGGCATTCCTCTCTCATCCTCTGGATAAGACAAAGGTTCAAATGATTTGGCAGGCAAAAGATGCTAATATTCTAAACAATAAAATGGGTGAATTTAACAAAATTGAAAATACCTGCCTCTTACATGATACTGAGAAATCACTAAATTCAAGCTTCAACTCTATTTCTAGGCAAATTAACAGGTTTAGCCGGAAGGAACCCTATCTTCAAAGTAATTTCATTCGTAAAATACACGTCTTCTGTCAACTTAGGATATTTAGCGTAAAAAAGTCCGTCGTTTGCTATAAAAAGCTTAAAATATAAATCCAACCAAAGCTCTATTGCCAATTTTGTTAAACCTAAAATTAGATACCGTAGGCCTCTTCCTTTTTGAATATGAGTTTTACATTTCCGATTGTGGTAAATATTTAAATAACACACCAGTTTTTATTTAATTTACAGTAAAAACAACCAGGAACATAATAATAATTACTATGTCTGTTTATCTGTGTTAGAAACGCTAGTTAAAACGAGAAACCTGTTATCTTGAGCAATATTATATGCATGATTTAATAATGTTATTGTTCTAGCTATTGTACTTTTAGTTATGGTATTTATTTTGTGTATTAAGACCAATGCCAACTTTATTTATTGTAGATCATTTCTGGAAAAATAAAAAATAAAAAAATATTCTCAAATTTATGTTAAAAAAATATTGTTAATACCACATTACAATTTCAATTAAAAAAAGCAAATCAAATTATTGGTTTCTATCATAAAAATACAGCAAACTTCCATAAAAAATATTCTGGACATATTTGATAAACCATGTTATGTAGATTCAATTCGCACTGATTTCACAAAAGCGTTTGCCAATCATGACATTTCAATTGCGAACCTCGAGATGCGTGGTTTTGGTGACAGTCTTCGCTTTGGTTTCATTCATATTTTCTTCCAAGGCTCTAAAAAATCTTACTCTTATAATATTAATAATGATATTGTTTTAACTGTGAATTTTATTAAAGGCTCATGAGTCATGTTTCAGCCCAACATTTCCTTTTCACTACATATTTCATCGATACTAAAATTTTAAGTTGCTAAGCTTCATCTTGCTTTACTCATAATTTCAATAATTTACGGCCTTCAAACAACTCTACTGCCCCCTTGTCCATTTTAATATTGTATTCTCTTCCCCTGTCGAGTCTCCTTATCTTTTCTGTCAAAAACATTCATTAGAACAAGTTTATTTATTTATTTCACTGTTTCCCAATTAGAAATGTATACAATAAAAGTATAAAGTTATAAATAAATTTTAATTAATTATACATATTAATTAAAACAATTAATATGGTCAATTATGGATACTATAACTATACCCACATTTATAAAAATTAAAACGAATTAATTTTTGGCTTAAATTTACTTCAAACAGACATTAACTAAATATATATTTTTGAACGAGTTGAACATATATGTTGTGGTTAGCATAAAACTGAATTTGGCATAATTAGTTCCATGGCAATCAATGGAGAATAAGACGGAACTTGAAAATTAATTCAGTTAATCAGTTAAGGAATGTGATAATTTATAAAATATGCAATAAAAAAATTTCCTTCAGTATAGAACAGTTGAAAATTTCAGAACAGACACTAGTGATGAGTATGTTCAGAATTGTATATTCTAGTTGTTCTGTAACGTATCAGGCGTAAAAATCTGTTTTGAACTCCTTCTATGCGACTAATTCAGGTGGATTGAAATGGAGCCCAAAGAGGTGAACAGTAATTTAACGTTAGTCTTACAGTGGAAACGTATCAAATTTTTAACCGTATAGATCATGGAAATGTTTAGTATGATATGTAATAAATCCTAAAGTTTTATTTGCTTTAGCTATAGTTTTACTAATGTGTGTGAAAGTTTAACTGTCTGTCAATAATTATACCGAGATCCTTAACAGTTTCAGTTCTAATTAGGAGCGAGTCTGATATAGCGTAGTTAAAATTTGATAGGATATGTTATTTACGACATATATAACATCTGGTCCTACACCTTTATTTACTATGAGAGACGAGGGCCCCCTAGTACTTCTTCAAGAGTAACAGTTATTTTAGATAGATTTATATAAATGTAGGAGGATTTATATTCATAAACATAAAGAAAAAAACTATCACAAAATTCAAAACATATAGTTCTAAATAAATTTTTTAAATTCATCTCCTTCCTTTATAAGGAATTAAATATTCCTTATAGTTCACATAATATTCCTTATCTCCAATCTACTAGTCACTTATCTTCATAGGAATCTCGTCGAGTTTATTTATAAATTAATAAATAATAGAATCCATTGTCCATTGTTACTTTCTTGCTCAAATTTCCGAATTCCAATCCATAGTCAGACTTTTTTTCAATTTTCGTTATCACTCACATTCCTCTTGATTATCTTTTTTAATTCTAGTATCAACTGACTCCAGAAAATAGTAACTTATATATATATTCAGAAGTTCTTTAAAAACCATTTTATCTTATCTCCTATTTGTTCAAAATAATTATATTTTTACTATTGTCTTTTTTTTATTATAATTAGAAGTAGAAAGAATTCTATCACTGCTTATCAGACTATAAGATTTGTTCTTAATACATAATTTAATAAATTAAACTTTATATTTATTTTTTTACTCTATAAGTAGATTTTTAATAATTATTTTTTGTTTAATCTTTTACAAAATGTAAGTTATTATAAATGTATAATTCTTCATACGGACAAATTTGTATTTTTTTATTGCAAAATGTATCGCATTTTGGGCATCTGCCGATTTAAATAAATACATAAATATCTGGGAAATAGGTTCCAAATAGCTAAAATTAATTTTTTCTGAATTCTCAGTTACTTTAGGAGTTTCTCAGTGATCTTTCTTAAGGCCTCTTTTGTTTTCATAAATGGCATTTAGACAATGCTTAATATTGTTTTTTTTTTCTCTTTTCCTGTTTCTTCTTATTCTAACTACTTTTTCACAAAATAATTTAAATTCTCTTCATTCTCGGTGTTTATATGATGATATAAATTTCAATTTGTTTCCGTATCTGTTTCTCAAGGTGCAATAATTCTAATATCTACACTTACACAATCAATGTCACCTCACTTCAGTCAACATTGATAAATTAAGGAACTGAGCTTCTTATTTGATCAACAGCTAATGTTTAAAAACAACATTTTACGATTCGTTAATAAAGCTCTGACTTGTATTTTAAAATTAATTTTTTTTTAAATGATTTTTAGAATATTCAGGTATTAAAATTACACAAACGACATAGCGTATTTTTTTTGTTAATTAGAACTTTTTCTCAACCTTAAAAAGTATCGTGAAGTACAGTCTTCTTTATTTAACCTATTGTGAGCATTGCATTCTTGAGCAAAGGTAAAATTAAAGTTCATTTACATCCAAGTTCATAAAATTCTTACAAAAAAAAAAAAAAAAAAAAAAAAACATTTTTTAATTAAATAAAGTATATTAAATTGTAATATGTCTCTTGAAATCCAGTGGCCCTGCATTCGAACTCAACATACTTACAAATGGGCTTTAAATATAAAAAATAACAAAAAAAAAAAAAAAAAAAAAAAAAACCTGATTGCTGTAAGAGCATGCACATACGTATATATACCGATTAGAAAAACTATTTAGTTGAAAAATTAATTTTCTTAGTACACAATTATTATGACTAGGTATTAAAATAATATTGATTCAGGTATGCAACAAATTTTTAAGCCGTTTGTGCTTCAGAAGGTTCACAAGGTTGTGTATGTCATATTTGCCAATTGAGCTTAACTGTGCTTTGGAGCTAGCTTTTCTTTAAAAAAAAAAATAATAATAATAATAATAAATAAAGTGTATTTATAAGACATGTTTTATTAGTAACAGGTTGGTTATGTGAAGTAGAAAATGTCAAACCTAATAATAATTATCAAATATTTCTCACTATAACAATTATAAACAGTACATAACCCAACTTTTAACTTGTTACGTTTTAGCCTGACTGTTAAAAAAGCTGAAATAAAGAAACATGAATACAATAATCGTTAACATCGACCAATAAAGTTATTCAAGTTTTATAATTCACAGTAAACCACGGGTGATTAATAATTCGTCGGCCATTAATTTCAAATGAAATAAAAGTTAATGATGAAGGAGTGTCAATCAATATTTGCTGAGTACTTAAAGAAAATTGAGTTTATTCTATAAATTTATTTTCAGTGCAAAATTTATTGATTTAAACGTTTTATTCAACTGAAACTGTTGCATATTCATCCTGGTAGTGTTCATTAAAAGTACACATATATTTTATAAGTTTATTTTGACATTGTAAATCTCCGGTTAATGTAACTGTAATGAAAGTAAAGTAATAAAAGTATAAATATCGCTGATCCTTAAACTGCTTTTCTTGATAAAAATTGTATGTATAGGGCTCTCTTACTAATCTGAACTTCGATACTCAGAACATACCAGTAATCCAAACTGAAAAAAATCCAATTAGTGAGAATTTTAAGTGAAACAAATGAAATATTATTTAGTGGGGAGGGGACGAAGAGAAGAGAGAAAGTGTGAACAAAAGAGAGGAAGTGAGTGAGAGAGTAAGTTAATAAGATAGAGGAGAAAGAGTTAGTGAATGAAAGAGAGCGAAAGNGAGTGAGAGTGAGAGAGAAAGGAAGAGTGAGTGAGGGGGACATATAAAATAATTAGACTATCCGGATTTTCGAGAATTTCTTTTGTTCAATGAATCCCTCTTTCTTTCGCAACTAAAAATTAAATGTTGCATCAGTCTATATATTTTTCTTGTGTTAAGTATATGTCTACTGTTTAAAAATGAGTGAAAAAGAGGAAAAAGCAATGAAGAAAATGTTGAATAAATAAATGATTTTTTAAAGAAAAATGACAATGACAATGAATAGGTTTAACATGCAAAAATATTTTGTTTTAAATTATTAATTTAAAAATTATTTTTTTAATACATGTATGTTTTGAAAACACCCTTTATAATCCAAATACTCCCCTGCAGCAATTAGTTCGGATTACTGAGAGAGCACATTATATAATGATTGTGGCTAGAGTATATATGTCCTAAACAGAATAAGTTTAGAAAATATTGATTACAAAAGGAAAATGAATAGAATTGCCTTATGTACAGTACAGTTATTTATTTTGTACAAAAATCAGTTATAAAATTAACATTTTATAATATAGCATACTATATTGGCTAATGTGATGATCGAATTATATAGATTACACAAAATGTCTACTTGATGTTTAGTCTTCTATGATATATGCACAAATATTTCATAGGGTGGCAGAGGAAAAAACTCTAAAATCTCAACGAAACACAAATTTCTAAATGCTGTTTCAACAAATTGAAATTTTGTATTGTATCTAATCTATGTTACTGATATGAAAATACCACCCTATAAATAAAAACCTATAGTTTATTTTAATACTATTCAAAAAATATTATTATAAAGTACAACTTATTTGTGTAAAAAAAATCATTAAAAAAACAACAAAAACATAAATAAATATAAATGTATCAATAACGTATGAAATTCTTTAAATTATGCATTTCAAAATGGTAAATAGCATCTAGAGCTGGTGCAAGTCTTACAGGGGGAACAAGTCCAGGGCTTGCAGCCACGCAAATACTTTATGCATATTTATGCACTATCATTATGTTTCACCATCAGGTCAATATGCAATATATATTTATATATATATTTATATATATGAAAAATATTTAATACAATATACACAAAGTGTTCAGCATGTTGGACATTTATGCTGATACATAATATCTACTTTCAATTATTTCTATGTACATACAATTTTGCTGACAAACTAGTGGACATATATTAACAGTAGGGTGATAAAAGAATACTGTTTAATCAGAAAATGACGGTGTATAAAATAAGGTAATTCATAACAGTACCTATTACTGCAATTTTATTGGGTAATTTTAAAAATAATCTATAACCAGTCCTGTGAATTACATTAATAATGTCATCAAAGTAGGCCTATACAAAGTGTTTCACATATATTGTTAATAATAATTAAATATTCACAAACATAAATATAAATGTTTCTACAAAATTATGGATACAAATTCATTCAAAGTGTCTCCAATTTGTGATATAATATTTATGTACAATAAGGGAAATTGTTAAAAAAAAAAAAAGAAGAAAGGAATAATAAAACAGGGAGAAATAACGTTTTAATGTACTGTGTTTACGAAAATATTATGGCACCTTACTTTATAAAATGCAGTAAATAAAAACAATGATAAAATAAATACAATAAAAAAAGTAAGAAATTGGGAACATTAAGGATTGTAGTTAAATAAAACATAATTAAAGAAAATAGTTGTTCGATAAATTTTAAAAATTTTCTAGTAATTATGATCTAGGTTTTAAAAAATAACAATGCTCAGCCCTATAAATGAGGCTCTTGCCGATTATTACAAGGAACACATAGTGTGCAAGCTAATCGAATGAAAGATTTTTATTACTATTGTTCCACATATTAACCTTCGATATGAGCTGTTTATTAACTTTATATTTATCAATTTTTGCATATCACTAAAGTCATGACCTTTACAGGATAATATAAAAAAATAATAAAATTACTAATTCATTAGGGTTGTTGCAATTTTTTTCCTTTTTTTCTTTATTTTTTTGATAACATCTAAATATCACAGTAAAATCATTTAGTTAAATAAAATTATTTTCTAATAAAGAAGAACACCTAAAGGAAATAAATACAAAATGGATTTCTAAACTTTTCATCCAATTAAACCAATATTACTATTTCAGAACAAAGGGTAATTAATGGCGAATGCTAAATGAAAAAAAAATATCACAATTAAATAGTAGAAATTAGCAATATTTGATTAGGGTATAAATATAGTTAAAACAAGGAAAAAATTCAACAGATAAAATTAAAAATTTTCAAATCGTAAGACATTTTCATTGGTATATAATAGAGGATTTGGGCGATTTCATTTTTTATTCCATACAGGAGACAAAATATGCTCAATTAAGACAATACAATACCCTCTACTATCTACATTACTTTTTTTTTACAGAGTAATGATAATTACATTCAGATGGAAGTATTACATTAATTTGTGCAGTTTGAATGGATTTTTGTGAAAATCATGAAGATTGTAAAAAAACTCAAGATATATATGTATATATATCTATTATACTTTTTTAATAAGTATATATATATTTATTTAATTTACCCTAATCAAATATAAAAATGCAGCTCATTAAAAACCTGTTTGGCTACCAGCATTTAAAACAAATCATTATTGACATTTACTCAAAACAGAAGGTATCAATGGCAGTTGTTAAATTATATACTTTTCATGTAAGTACATAAAAACGTTTTTTAAACAATGATTCTTTTTAATCATAAAACTCTCCTGTGGGCATTTAATAAAAAATAAGATGTAATATATAAGAAATAAACGTGGAAATGATTAATTTCTGTAAACTTGATGTCATTTTTCAGATGAATCAATCACATTAAAAATCATAAAAAAATGCCCATAAGATAATATTAATAATAATAATGGCAATAATCAATCTTTATTTGATTTGTTTTCATTAATGATTTAAGTGAAAAAGTGTCTCACAATGTACAGCTTATAAAATACAGCAATATGAAGAATGTATTGGTACTTTAAATACACTTAGCACATCTTTCATGACAACATTCGAACCATTTCACACAAAACTATATTATACAAATTCAGAATGTACATTATGTACAGGTTATTCTTTTATTTTATTTTTTATTTTTAGCGCCCTACAGGCCGACTAGAAGACCGAGAATCATAGAGGAATATAGCAACAGAAGAATATCTACGGTCATTTGACGTCCTGAACTGTATGTTAGTTCTTCATTCTTCACAACCTCATTTGGATGTTTCTCATAAACCTCTGAAAGTGAAAATTAGTTCATGTACAAAAAAAAAATAACAGAGAAAACAGAAGGAAACAATTTTATCAAACATTTCATATTGTTATTCCTATCATTGTAATATCAATTTAATTATTGTTAAATCATTAATTAATTTAATTCATATCAGTGTACGATTCCCTGGACATTCATATTTTTAAGCGAGATCAAACTTTAATAAATACTCACCTTGTTTATAACAACAGTGTTACTAAAAGCAAGTACAGATTGTGATCCAATATATCTAGGCAATAAATATTTTTAATTGTATATAGATCTTTGTACATCCATTTGTACTTTAGCAGACAATAACATAATCCATAACAAAATTTACACCTACTAGGAGAAGATTCCAACATCATTCCACAACCACCACTCCAAATTAAGCGCAATTTACCATCAGACTGTAGAAGAGCTTAAGAAAATTCAATTTTAAATCATGAAAAGAATAAAAAATAAAAAATTGGAACTACAAATTTGCCATTAATGAGTTGGTGTACATGGAAGGAAGAAATAAATTAAACGAAATTAGAAGTAGACCCTTCCCTATTACACGACGGATTTCAAACACTATATATGAAATAGATTATGGAAAAAGTAGGAAGAAATTAATTCTGTCATTGCAGCAAATTAATTCCTACAGGTTAATTTCTCCTACAACGGGGGATGTAACAATGTCCTGTTGTCATGATCGCTACACTTGAGACTGCATGTAATATGAGTTGTTTATTGGAACAAATGTCTTTATTTGCATGAATGGAGAGGCTTATTTCCAATTATACCAAGGAACATCAAGTACTCTAGTGTAGGGTGAATGTAATTTATTAGTGTGAATGACAGCTTATCCTCAATCATCCCGAGGAATACTGATTATTCTGGGGTAGTGTGAATGTAATTTACTAGCATGTATAGCATGTCATATCACCAATTACAGCGAGGAATATCACATACTCTGGAGTAGTGCAAATGATGGGTGAATGTAATTTTTAAGGATGAATGTGGGGCTTATGCCCAATTATCCCGAGGAATATTCAATACTCTGGGGTACTGTGAATTCAGTTTGGTGTGTGATGTAACTTACTAGTGCAAATGAAGAGGCTTTTCCTCAATTACCCTGTCATTCAGGAAAAGAATTGAGGGCTGGTGATGACCGATGTAGTCATATAAAAATAAATAATTTGTGCAAAAACGCCATTTAAAAAAAAAAAAAAAAAAAAAAAAAAAAAAAAAAAAAAAAAAAAAAAAAACCCCGAGCTCTTTTCTCCAAGAATTCACCCCCAAATCAATACTACCTATGTTTAATGTCTAATCAATCATCAACCTTAACAGATTAAGAAAAGAACCTGCCCAAAAGTTAATGATATTTGTATAATCTTTGACCATACTATAACTTTTGTTCGGTCAATTTTAAAAGGGAGCTTTAATATATTAAAGATGGTACTTTATTTACTATTTTCGTAGTGATTTTACATCAATATCATAATAGAATAACACAATCCAAAAAGGGGGTATACAGCTGGAAGCAAATTTGCAAAGCTTCAAGAGTTTTTAGTTATTAACAGTTAATCTAACATTTTCAGAAAATTCCAGTTTTGGTTTTTCTGAATTTTTCGTGCAAAACTTTTTCATAAATTCTGCAATGTAAATATGTTTTCTTTCAGCAAATATAACGTTATTTCAGGTGGCACAAACCAGATTTTTCTACAGTCAACAATTCTGACGTTTAAATTACTTCTTTTTTTCTTGAGATTTGGACAGGGGTTTATAGGACGTTTTTTGTTGCATATGGTGAGTAGAAACACCTGACATTTTCGGCATTTATCGCCAGTCACCCTGTATAAGAATCAAATACATACTTGTTTTTTTAGTAGTTGTTCTTGTGAATGTCGGAGTCGGACGCGTGTATATGGCAGGTGACAAAGTAGTTTGTGCTGTGTATGAGGGATTCCTTGTAACCAATCCCGATGTACCAATACTTGTCGTTGATGTGCTACTTTCTCTAACAGAACTATTATCTATAACAAATAAAATTAATGAACAATATAAATGTATTAGCAAAGATAAAATCTTTTTGCAGCAAAAGAATTATTAAGACCAAACAAAATTTAAATATACATACGGCTACTTTGAGTATCCTCTGGCCGACAACAAACTTTGAAAATGACTCTCATATTGTTGGATAAACATCGTCCTCCAATACGTCGATGTAAATCTTCTTTAGAAGATGTTGCTGTAATTATTAATGTTTTTATGTAATACTTTTTTTTTGTTATCCTCAAACATATTAAGTGAACAATAACTATAACTCTAAACTTACATATAAAATAATAGTCCTGCCCAGGCTGAAATTCAAGTCCACCAGGCTGAGGAGTAAATGAACGAAAAGTAATAGTAAAATACATTAATTTATGTGGTTTATCACAAATTGCTATTATCCGAGGATTTGGATTGGTAATTCGGCAAGAAACGTACTCCTCTTTGGAGACCTAAAAAAGCATGTTTAAATGAAATTATTTATACAAACAGTCAATTATTGTACAATATACATGGTTTTATTCGGTTGCGCTACAATATTGATGTATGAATAATAGGAAAATGGCCTTTCTTGAAACCAAAGTTAAGCACGTGCCATTTAGTACGGAAAAAAGAATGACAATTTTTTTGTAGTGAGATGTTTAAAATTAAGGTATTTGCCTAATAAGGTTTATGGATAGTGGAATCCTAGTAGATAAGTCTAAATTAACCCACATTAAAATAATAACTGTATTTTTGTTGTCTGTTAAAAAAAAATTATAAGCTATACCTTGACAAATTTACCTTGTTCACAGATCAAAACAACAATTTGGAACACAATTTTGTTTCTATGATATACAAAATTTGTTCTTCAATAAATTAAATTTAAAAAAAAATTGTATGTACATCATTCAAAGTTAAGTAGAAATACATTTTAATTTTCTTTTCACTGACACAACATCATATTGGAATTTTGCCAGGTTACAATTTATGAAGATGAACTATTAAACAATATGCTCTTAGGTCATTATCAAGAGATTACTCAATCTAACATTTTTCAGATCATATTAGTATGTTATATTGTAATTAATACATGAATTCGATTTTATAAAATATACTGGACACTAAAACATTTCAATTAGGTTCCAATTGATGGAATTTTCCATAATTCCAAACATTTATGAAGATTCTATTTTAATTTAAAATTTGTTATTTTTGCTGTTTGTTTAAAATAGTTTTGGAAGTGAACACATTTCTGAAATATTCACTTGATCAACTACGTAGTACTGTTTTTCGAAGATGTATTTTAAGGGTGAAATCTTACAAATTCAACAACACTGCTTATTTATTTTTAGTATCTAATTTCCTCTTAAACAATTCACATTTTAAGGTTACAAACTAAGGCATATCAAAGTTAGTTAAAAATTGTATAAAATTAATGTATGTTTTTTTTATTAAACATCAAAACACTATCACTAGAACACATTGACTACGAAAAACAAGGCATATGCATCATGCCAACTGTCCATCTGATTAAGACAGAAGCCCATTTGTACTTTTTAAACGCTCCCTTCACTTCAACCGCTATACAATTCTGTTCGAAATTTCTAAGGATGCCTCAGAAAGTATGAAAGTGTGATTGGCTTCGATTGATTCAATTTTTTTTAAACTAGTAGTGATTTTTTTATTTATTCTGTGAAAGCTATTTATTTTGCTTTCCTGTATGCAGTTTACTTTAATTAATTATTTACTAATTTTTTTAAAGATTATGTACAATAAAAGAAAAATTTTAAAAGGAGAAACAATTTTTATTTAACTACACACTCCATTGACTAAACAATGTGTGGGTTTGCTTACTAAATTTAGCGTCGCAACTGTTGTGTCATATAATTTATATCACATACATAAATATAATAAAATCATTTATATTATTTGTAAGTACCAGAGAGCTATTTTTGGTTCTGCTGTGGGTGACCAAAATGGCCAAGCAAAGGACAAAGTCCTGTTTCTTGTCCAGTTTATGAAAAAAAGTTGTTTCCTAGTCAAAGTAAATTTTATGTTATTTTGGATATCTCTGTTCTCTCATAACTGTTGCATCATATAATTTTTATCACTTAGTTAAACGCAATAAAAATAAACGTTTATATTATTTTTAAGAACCAGAGAGCTAGTTTAGGCAATAAATTGGGTTCCGCCATGGGCAACCAAAATGTCTAAGTATAGGACGCAGTCAACGTGTAAAAACAACTAAAAGTTACAAAATGTATTCTTCATTAATTCCAAGTCAACTTTTTCTTAAATGCAAGGTAAAATTTCCAATTACATATGCAACCACTGACATGAAGATCTGATAAAGACTATTGTAAAAAAGTAACTATGTAAGCTGTAAGCAAAATTGTATGTTCAGTCAGCTGTAATTTGAATTCAATCAACAATTCTTTTAATGTCACAAATAATCTAAACTCCCTACATATTACACTACAACTGGATCCTCCACAAGTAACTACTACTGGACAGAAAGGATTAAATTATTAAATCAAAAATAAAATATTATTATTATTATTAAATCATTGCTCCAAGGAGAATTGGAAAAAAAAAAATAGCGCAGTAGGAAAAAAAAAAGAAGAATGTTGAATGTTTTGTTGGGCAGCCAATGAATGTAATTTCTTGATAGTTAAAGTAATTCCTGTCATACAGGAGGGCTTGCTTAATGTCCAACTATCAGTTTGGGTGTCGTGAACAAAGAGTCAAACTACTTCACAATACGTTTTACATATTATTCATCAATTAAAATAAAGTAAAATGTTACTAGAGGAAAAGTTTTTATCACACATTATATGCTGGGAAGTATACTTTCCACCTCTAACTTGATTAAACAAGAATCAATTTAGGTCAGCATAAAGCAAACAATTTATAAAATAACAGGGATAAATTAATCCAAATGCATTCTACAATAAAAGTAAATACTTGTTCATACAATTATCAATTATTTTTTTATTTAATCTATTTTTGTCAGCGTTTTAGTATGTATACTTATTAAACAATAGTGTAACCTATGACATGACTGAATAAATGTTGATTTAAAATGGCAAATAACATGAAATAACAATGATAAATTATTTCATTTGTATTCTGTAATAAATGTTTGAGTATTTTTATATTACTATTGAATTTAATTCATTATAATTATATATAACAAAGTCAGAGATAAGGTAAATTTGAAAGAAAGAAAACCACTCAGTTCCTTCATCAAGCTTTTGAGGAATATAACCCCTTCATCAGAAATTTGAAACTATTACTGGTGAAGTTTGACAAATACAAACATCCAATTACAATACTCAAAATTACAGTAAACATTAATAAATGTAAGTTTTGCTCTGAAGGGTGGACGAGATCTTTCACCCGTCCAGTATATATTACGACTTTTTTTTTTCATAAAATTTTGTTCAAATTGTTAACTGTCTCTGCTCTTACTATGTTTCATTGGTTCAAGTCATGACACCAAAATTTCTGTATCAGTTATCAATTCTATGATTACCGATTTATATAAGCTCAAATCTGCGCACATAGTACATACATAAATGCATTAAAGAACTGAGCATATCACTACTCGCAGTCCACCAGCAATTCCAGCTTTTGTAATAATTACCAAAAGCCCTCTAGAATCTGGGGTCAGTCCCGAGGTTGAGCTCAACAGCTCTGTCATTTCAGTCCCCAACACAATCAATATCCAAATCCAACCCATTAACATTATCACTCACTCTTAAATACATTCTTTCCTATTTACATACCATGCACACAGGAGGAGCACTTAATATTCCTCCAACACTCTTTTCACCTATAAAACTAACCTAATTGAAGGTCAACGATGTACTCAATATTCTGCCATCGACCCTTTTACACTACAAATTATGCTAATAATTACATTCACTCTCAGCACACACTAGGAGACACAAAAATATCTGTACTTTATACAATAAACTAACCCTGTTTCCTTCGAAAATCGGAATAGGGGAGATACTCACTCTTCTCAAGCAAAATTTTCATATCGGGAGACAATCCTATACTACATAGAGCCAAGAAATTGCACCCTTCAATTATGTGGGACACATCGAGCAAGCTTTCTTTCCAAGCCAGATATATATAATGACTTTGGCCCAAGAGTAAGTGCCTGCCTTCGTGTCAGCCTCACATGGCCTATTCTTAATTGAGTGAGGATGACCCTTCTTCTACGAGTCAAGCCTACCTATCGGTATCGATTTAAAGGGAATATGTACTTTAAGGCCTAAAAATACATCATTTGTCATAATGAAGAATGGATGAGGTAAAGATCTCGTTGACTCTTCAGAGCAAAACTCATATATTTATTATGGTTGAAGCAATAATTTTGAGTATTGTAAATTTATGTTTATGTATGTTAAATGTTTAAATAATTAGTAATAGTTTCAAATTCCTGAATGAAGTGGGTATATTTCTCAAAAGCTGATGAAGTAACTGAGTGTTTTTCTTTCAAATTTGCCTTATCCCAGAGTTTTTACAATTATAATTATAATATTAAGGCTGAGATCAACCACAAAAGTTAATTTACTATATTCTAATCAAGTTTTGAGCAATTTTTATCCCTTTTATCGTTTAAAGTATACATTTAATAGGTGAAAACCTTTTTATTAAAATTATACACAGGAAAGTTTTATCACATTTTCCACCTTTAACATCACTAAATAAAACCTTTTTATTAAACCTTATACACAGGAAAGTTTTATCACATTTTCCACCTCTAACATCACTAAATAGGAATCAACTTAGGTCAGCAAAAAAGCATAAAAATATATAAAAAATATTTATTTTTTGTGTCCCCTTAGAATAATCCATAGGTTAATGTGAAAATTGGCACAAAAATAAACCTTGTTTTGGTGATAAACGTAATAACAACTGACCTACACAAAACAAAACTCAAAGGAGTTCAAATTAAAACGAATTACTCTGAAAATTATCATTGAAAAATAATAGTTGGTGAGTAAGTTTAAACTGTGGTTAAATAAACTCTGTTTGGAGGGAGAGGAGGTGCATGTACAAGAGATGCTTAAAATGGATGTGGCTTTGCGGATAGTTAGAGGGAGGGAGTTCCAGAATTTTGGGGCTTAGATGAGGAAAGACAGTTCAAAAGTATATGTTTTATGCTGGGGAAGGATTAGGTCAACGGAGATGAGTGGGTATTGAGGAGTGGTAAGACGAGTATTTAAATTGGATGGACTGGATAATGTAATGAGGAAGATCGGTATAATGGCCTGGTAAAGGAAACAGCCAAAGAAATATAAACCTTTTGGGAAGAGGGATAGAGCCAGGATAGGTTGAATAGAGCTATGATACCCTAGACCCTCAGGTTTAAAAAAAATATGTATATCTTATTAAAAAAAAAGTTTGTTATAACTTTAAAAAGAAGCAACCTTTCGAAGAAAAACGATTAAAAACAAAGTTAATATTCTATCTAGGTTTTGATTAATTTAATCTTTCAAGGGTAAATTGACCAATTTTATCCGGCTATCTGATAACTTTACCAACTTATCAAACAGTATACATTGTTTAACTTACGATAAAATAATCCGTTTATTCCAGAATTAACAAACGCATCAAATATCGCCTTATGATCAATGCATTCCATCTGGCGTACAACTACATTTTAAATTTGTTAAAACAAAACCAATGAATTGAGTCATCTGACTATTTGACCGAAAGCTTCAATCGAACGGAAAACAATTTCGTAACTGATGATAAAATAAATTGATCTATCTGTGTAAAACTGACATGGGCATCAATGAGACAACCGTCTTGTAAAGTGTTTCCCCATTCAGATTTTAATGAATTGATCATTGAAATAGAAGATTTATTTAGATTTACTACTTCTTTTTTTATTAATCTCCAACGTCTTAATTTATACAGAAACATTTTGTTTCCCTTTATGTTTAAAAACAAGGGAAACTGATTAATTGTTTATTATTATGATGGATTTAAAATGGGAGGGGGTAGTTTTTAAATCCTTTTTTTAAATCTATGTTAAAAGTGTTAAAATGTGAATTTAGTAGAGGAAACGTCAAAAGTCTTGCTGGCAACGAATGTGATTGTCGTGACTGGTTTTAGAGTCGTTGCTACATTAAGAAAAAAACAATACAATTCGTAGGTGAAATAAAACAAAATTGTTTAATAATAAAACAATGTAAAAAAACAAAATATATAAAAAAAAAAACAGTAAGGTGTTTGGAAATGTGATAAAAAGTCAAATTGTTGTCGATAACCTCAAAATGCGTTTCGAAAGTCGTACAGGCTCCCGAGTTACGGCTTTTGTTCATACCCAATACAATATTGTAAACGCATCCGAACAGGATTAAAATTGTTAGAATTAATGAACTGTTTAAAATCTAAGAGATACAGTTTGAAGGAAAAAAAAACAGAGACGGAGAATGTAAATGGGGGAAAAAAATTAAGGACTTACATTGTAAATAATATATTTTTCAGCATCTTCTTCGTGAGTGCCAGGGGTGTAAGTAGGGCAAATAATATTCACCTGATCATATTCGAACGGTATATTCCCTTTGTTCACGTCGATAATATGATCTGTGTTATCTATCCTAAAACTGAAATAGAGAAAAATAAAAAAAAGTCAAATAACCACTTTCGGGGAAGAGAGGACAAAAAATCTAAGTGTCGCGGGTCTCGTAGACGGCCCAATTCCGACCTTTTTTTAACAAATCCGTTTCGCTTTAAAAAGTGGTTTAATTAATACAAACATAAATAAACAGGTCGATAAATTTTGAAAATGGGAGAAAAAATCAAGGGGCCGAAAGTAAGGTGAAAATTTACCGTGTCAAATCACGAAATTCCTCAAAAAAAAGGTCGAAGAGTTTTAAAAGGAAAAACAAAAAGGAGGATATTGTCTCAAAAATTTTAAAATCTATACGTCTAAGCTGAAGTATATAAATAAAAAACCCGACTGGGATGTATTTTACTATTTCTCCTCACCCGTAGATTTATTGGAAATTCGGAAATAATAATAATAATAATAAATTTCGAATGAAAAAGTACGAAAAGCTCGGTCGGAACGGCCGGGTCGGCGATAAACGGTGCCCGATCGTAATATGTACGTGCACTTTTATAAGCGGATAGGGAATTTACACCGAGGGCACTGTAAACAAGAGCGAAACTGTGTTAAAACAAAAAAAATAAGACTTACATCGGATTCGTTGTATTCCAATGGACGTAAAATGATTTCGTACAGTCACTAACAGTGGATAAAAGAACTGTTTCAAAACAAATAAGTAGCACTAGAGTTAAGCAGGAGGTGACTTTCGCACAAGGTATTTGGAGTATCGGCCGAGCTCCGTCGATAAAAATACGGCACAAAATGTCCGGTAGGACAATAACACACCCTAACACCATTTTAGCATTTGTTTTAACATTAATAACTAGATTGATCTCTCTCTCTTTTAATTCGATACTATGAAAAATAACCGAGGTGAGACTGAAGCCATTTTTAAGACACACCACAGACTCTCCGACTCTCCAATTCACCTTACTCGATCACGGCTGAGTGGAAGGGGGTGGTGGCAGGGCTGCCAACTGACGATCCCCCCCGACTCCCCCCGACAGTAAAACGACGGACATTTGTCCGATCTCGCGGCCCCCCCGCCGGCCCCCGGCCATTCGACATCAGCGAGCCCACTCCAATCACAAAGACGGCCCCCTGACGTGCCTTTGTCCTCGGAGGCCTCCGTCGTCAAGCCGCACGTTCGACCTCAGGAACACTGACGTCATTGATTTACCAAGAACGTATCTTGCCGATCATTTATTTAATTAACGGAAATATACTTATTACTAATATATACATTTTGCAAGAAATATTATTATAGCAATCGTGTTATTTGGCGACCGGTTGTTCAATAATTTGTTCAAGTATTGAGGAACGGTCAGGAATGAAATAAACTGCTCAAAAATGTACAGGGATATCGCCAATTTGGTAGTATTTACTTTCCTTAGCATTTTTATTTTGTTTTTATTATAAATTGCATTACAATTTATTACAAATTACTATGTTTTTACTTAAGGAAAATTTAATTAAGGGAGTTTGAAAAATAAAAGGTTTAATTCCATAATTTTGTTTACAGGACACAACAATTTTTTAAACAATTAATACCGTGTATAATGTCCTCTGTTAGCTAACACTGTGCACCTGTTAGGCAGACTGTTGAGGTTGTCACTAATTTCATAAGGGATTTAACTTCAAAGATGTTGGAACGCTGCACTCAGTTGTTGCAGGTCAATTGGCTGCGGATGGTGAAACCTTATCTGCAACGCATCCCCGTGTGCTCAACGGGTTTGAGGTCTGTAGACAATGGGGCAAGGAGCTGATGGGAAATTCCCAGGTCTCCTAAACATTGATGTCCAGCTCTCCCTCTATGAGGTGTGGCATTGTCATCCAGAAATCGAAAATCCTTGCTAATGAGATCCTTGGTTTGAGGGATGTATTCCTTCATAATTTCTTGGACATAACGGACTGCGGTGAGGTTGCCACCAAAAACTACGGAGTCCAGTTCGTCCTCCAGCGTAAATCCCAGCCCAGAACATTATACCGCCTTCTCCAAACTGAACTGAACGAGCACAAACTGAGACATTGTAGGCATCCCCTTTCTCGGTAGACTCTTCGGCGCCTGCTATCACTATACAGACAGAAACTCGACTCATCAGTAAACATAATAGTATTCCAATTGGTGTCCACTTCTAGTCGATTGCTGCACCATATTCTCCAGAGTTGGTGGGTGGAGGGTTGTTGTTGCAGGTCGTCTCAAGGTCGAATACGATGTGATGCCAACTTCCCACAACGATTACGAATCGTTTGTGTCAATAAAGGACTTGCCAAAACATCTTGTACTTCATTTAGGATCTGGTGGGCACTATGGAAAGGTTTCCATCTTGCAGCAATGACAATAATTCTGTCCTCCCTTAGCGTCGTAATGCGCTGAGATCCACTACCAGGTCTCTTATTGGCACTTCCAGTCTCTCGGAATCGGGCTAAAGCCCGGGAGACCACGCTCTGGGGAACTGCATCTGCATATTCACTTGCCGGTGACCTCGATAACTCATTCTCACAATAATATTGCGAATTTCTGGTTTAAGGTGATGTCTTTCCATGGTGAAAGAGAATACAACTGGATTAAAAAGGATTAAGAATAGAAAAGGTGTTGGTTTACAAAATGAATAATCTTCATGTTTACAATTCTTAAGTAAATCCGTAATTAAAAATGAGGATAAACATTTGTTTGTTTTTGGTTTGTATTTTCTGTTTTGTTGTATCCAACTAACAAAAATCTATCGGTTAATTTAATTAAAATTAATAGAATAAGAACAAATTACAAATAACCCTTTTCATTTTTGAGCAGTTTATTTTAGAAAAACACCTTTTTCATTTTTGATTTTTGTTAACGACGTTTCGACCTATTTTCAGGCAGTCTTCATGGCATAAAATGTGGTGCTATTTTTGTGGTGTCATGTTTGTTTCATGTGAAATTGTGTTTTTCTAAAATACATTCCTGACCGCTCCTCACTACTTCAACAAATTATTATACATAAACATTATATACACTGAGAGGCAAAAAAGTGGCCACCCTCGATCTTTTTATTAAATACTTGCAATTGTTATAATTTTTATTTATTTATTTATTGTTTACTGGATATTTAAAAAAATATAAAGATAAATAAAATAAATAAACTGAGTGAAACAATGTTACCAAATATGTTCCTACGGAAACAATGAAGAAAATATTCAATTCAGCACAGAGTATTTCCTCCTTTTGCGTTGATCTCCGGTTGAATTCGACGTAGCATCGATTTTATGAGGTTTTGACTGTCGTTGTGGAATATTTTCATACTTCTCCAATAGTGCCATAATTGATTACTGCAAATTCTCTATCATCACTGGGCGACGTTTTACCCTCTTTGACAACTCGTCCCAAGGTGTAGGATAGAGTTAAGTCAGGACTACATGCTGGCCATTGCAAATATTGAACTGAAGCGTTTTATGTAGTCATCAACGATAATGTGTGGGTCCTTGCATTGTCATGTACAAAAATCAAACCGTAGCCAATTTGTGGCATACAAGGAACAACTTCTTTTGGCAACACATCTTCAATGTATCGCGCAGCTGTTAAGGGACCCTCGATGAAGATCAAGTTTGTGCGACCTTCCATAAAAATGCCTGCCCAAACCATACCACCCCCTCGATAGCTTATCCGGAGTGAAAATTTTGCGGGAATATATGTTCTTCTCCAAAACCTGTTTCGGCCGTCCGAAAATCATATTTTAGTCCAATCTTGCACAGACCAGTTGACGTGATTTCTTGTGAAACTTACCTGCTCTGTGCCTTGTCTCAAGTTCGGGACGAGTGACAGGCCTTTTCGCATATAATCCTGCTTCAGAAAGTCTTCGGCTTACAGTGCGTAAACTGACATTAAAATTTCTAACTTGCTGAAGTCGTTGCTTGATCTGAACGAAGGTGTATGTCGACTACGGAGTACATTCGAAACGATAAAATGACCATCTGTCTGAAATGTGACACGATGGCGACCTGATCCATGCCTTCTCGCGTACCTCCAGGATCTTGGTAGTGATGGAAGACCCTTCGGACAGTTGTTTCGGGAATGTTTAGCACCCTGGCCACATTCGCCTGACTTCTTCCACTTTCCAACAATGCTATCATCATTTAAAACCATCACTCAAACAAATTTAAAACTCAAAAATGGTACAATTTACAAACAATCAAACCACCGGAACGCTGGAGAGAAGCTTTACAGAAGTGATGGACTATTCAATAATTTATTTACAAATCCAATTGTAAACACGAGTGGGTGATTTTATCTGTGTTTTATTTACCTTTAATCTTTTATAAACTGGACCAAATATTGTTGTAAGATAATCAATGGAGAATGGTCTAAGAGATAATTAAAAATATTAAGGGTGGCCACTGTTTTGCCTCTCAGTGTATAAAAAGCAAAAACCATAACTCTTAATATAGAGCAATTAAAAAATAAAAATAAAACAACACAAACAAATACGAGAAAATAATAAACATAAACAATATTTTGGCCTATCGTCAGAAATGTACGTAGTCTTGGGGCACCGCAGTGGGCACAGATTGCTGTACCGGTACCTCAAAGCTATAGGGATTTTTAAATGTATAGTGTTTGTGTTACGTTTTTATATGTTTGTGTTCTGCTTGTGTTGTATTTACGTTAATTTATTGGATGAATGTAATTTATTAGCGTGAAAGGAAGGGGTTGTTCAACCCCGCCACGAGGAATGTCGAGAATTCGGGGGGAGCGAATGTGATCATACATTGTATGACAACCGAAGGTAAAAATGAGAGGCTAGCGTTTTAGGAAACCGACTGAGTTTTTATAAAAGCAGAGAGACAGTAACAGATCGAGACGCTCAAATAGCTGCTGGTGAAAAAATAAACGTGAAAGACCAGAAAAAAAAGGAAATACGCCGAGGGCCGGCGATATCCTCCGCATTTTGTCGTCCCCTAAATCACTTACATTATATAATCAATATCAAAGTATAATGGTAAAATAGAGATACTATATACACTGTTAAAAAAAAAAAAAAAACGCATTTTGAATGTTTTTTTTGTTTTGTAATTTTTTTGTATTATTGTTATTATTATTTACACCTGCAACTTTAGTTGCAATAAGCAAGGCCGGATCGGCAGAGAAGGTCTCGTGTATCAAGATCACTGTCGATATGCACTTCGGAGGACCCAACTCGTAGAAGAGGGGTCATCCTCAACCGATTAAGAATAGGCCATGCGAGATTGACACAAGGACAGTTTTGTGCCAAAACCCGCGTATGTGTTCGTGAAGAGAAATGCTGGTGTCCCACCTAATTGAAGAGTGCAATTCCTTGGCTCCATATAGAGAGCGCATAGGAATGCTATATTAGAAATTGTGTTTGAGCACGGCAGCGAGTATCTGGGCCCCCTGTTCCCATTCTTGGAGGAAACAGGGTTGCTTTATTGTATATAGTAATGATAGTTTAGTGTCCCTTGTATTGAGAGTGAATGCATTTATTATCATAGCGGAATATCGAGTGCCCCATTCTCAATCAGGTTAGTTCTATACCATGTGTAAAGGGTGATGGAGGAATTACGAGTACTCAAATTGAGTGAAAGTTATGTAAATGAGAAAGAATATATTTAAGTGCGAATGGGTTTGGATTTAGACTGATTGAGTTGGGGGCTAAAATGACCTAGCTGTTAGTAGTCTGTGGAGCCAACCTCGGTCCATGGACAGATAAGACCGAGGTCTGACCACGGACTGCCAACGGGAGATTTTCAATATAATAAGGAGGGTGGAATCAAAAATCGTGATTGATAACGCAATAGTAGAGCAAGTGTAGAACGTGGACATTGGACGGTTCCAAAGAATTGGCACTATTCACCGAGCTCTTAAGAAAAAAAAAGTACTAAAATAATCCAAGATCAAATTTTGCTAAGTTACGGCCACCTCAGTGCTGAAATGGAAGCGAATCTTGGACGGTAATGCAGCGACCGTCCGAGAGGAGTGGGAAATATAGTTGATGCTAGAGCAAATGAAAGAAGGAAAAAAATGTTTCCCAAATCTAGCGAATGGATGAATTCCCGACTAGTTGAACGTCTCTCCAGTATCGACCTGGTCGCCTAGATAGAGGAATAGTTGATGTGAAGCTTAATCGCTTAAGTGAAGAAGAAGGAGAATAATTCATACATTTATTATGCCCATTCTGCAAGAACTCATATTTTATATCTAAACAGAAACACTGGGAGTTGGTTGGATTTGTCTTTCATCACAACGGTTTCAAATTGGAATTTATGTTAATCCACCCTAACCGATTTCATTAAAAATTAATATATAATAATGAAATGTACATAATTATGTAGCCAAATGGTGGATAAAACATTATAAAAAAATGCGGTAACAAGTTTTATTGAGTTGATAAAAATTGTTTACTTTGTATAAAGACAATTTCTTTAAAAAGTCCATTATTAAAAACTATTTATTTTATCATCTCGGAGCTTTAATAGTTGTTAATTAATTATGCAATTGGAGTCTTCATTGGTGTCGGTGAAACTGCTGAGTGTTCTTTAGGGCTGTTCTTTGAAAAATCTCTGTTAGTACGTCAGCATTTTGAGGATCTGGCTCCTTGACGATTATATCAACATAAATGGACCGTTTTTGACTTTGTAGTTTTATTATGCTGATCAACCTGCTGTGCTGCCTGTTTTCCCATGGTTGTGACTCACCCAGAATTTGTCATTGTGATTGTTTCTAATCTCGTTTCTCCGCACAAATCGTGATGAAATTGTTTTTATTTCAATTACCCTTATGCTTTATTGGGGTCTGTTGGACAACTTATTTTTAAAATCCGACTTGAAAAAAATCTACTAAAGGATTCTATGGAATCTTTCTTTTTCCCTTGGGGGTGAAAGTGCAAAAGTCCACACTACAAACAAGAACAGTTCTAGAATGTCTGACAAATGACCGCAATTACTATAACGGCAGTAAAAGCGTCATTAAAATCTTTATAAATGACACAAAAATTAAAATTACCAATCCATTCACTTACTGAAATAATTTGGTAGAAAACTGTTCAAATTAATCAGACACGACCTTAAAAGAGTGGAAACGTCTATACGAGGGATTTTGAATAATTGAAATAAAATAAATCACATTTTTATTGATAGTGTATTAACAAAATGTCCGCTTTTCACTAGAAAGTGAAAAGAAAATTATTTGTTCAATTTGAATTAAAAATTCCTTTAAATTGTTAGCAATTTTGAATCACTTCCTACATTTATGTATACAATAGATAAATATTATAAAGTCCTATTGTAGTATGAACGTCCTTTGTTGGTAAAATTTAAAAAATTCAACAGTGCATTAAATGTTAAAGGTAAATGTTTTTAGTGCAATGCAGCGAGAATTGTCGGACAAAAAGACAAAAAACTTTGTAGCATGTCGAAAAAGGCTGTTAGGCTTATATGCTGTTATATGACGTTGATGGAAATCTAGGATGTGGGGTTTTTTGTCACCCAAGCACTGCAGCCTTCTGACTTTTTGTACTTTTCCTAGATCCTTAATTCAGTTCATTTGACTCCATCCTTCTCATAACAAGTACATCTATGACTGTTCATACTATTCCTTTCCCTGGGTTTTCTTTGTCTCCATTGAGCGGTTGCTTCACGTTGGAACATGATATCGGTGTCTGTTTCTTCATCATTGCATATCCTACAAATGTAGTTATTATTGAATATACCCATGTTACGTAGACGTTTTATCACAGCGCCAGGGAGAAGTAGTCCTATCGCTGCTCTGAGTTTAGCCCTCTCTAACTGTAGGAATAGGTATAGGGATAAAAGAGGTGGCCACAAGGCCTTCTCCACCTCGACCTGAATAGATCTATTGGGCTCCAATAAGTTGTGTAACTCACTGGCCAGCTTCAGGTTGTTAATCAACCTCCGCCTTCGCGGCGTCTCCTTATTTTAGGATTTTACTTGCGGCTTTTTCTTTCCTAGGTGCAAGAATATTAAATAGACGCTCACAGAAACATACAGCATGTTCCACAGTCTCCACTTCTTCCTGGCAGTATCTGCAGTGTTTCTTCCGTCTGTATTCCTATCCTATGTGCCCTCTTGGTGATAGTGCCCTGTCAAGAAACCAGAATTTTCTTCGCTTGCCTCGTGCCTGGTGTGTTTCTCCACCAGGTTTTGTACTCATTAAGGTTTCATTTTTGGGTGTATACTTTTGTTTTGTGGCAAGATGTAGGCAATAGGGTTCTGAACCTAGAGAATTCATATTGGTCCCTTTTTTGGCCAAATATGCACTGTCCCATTGCTTCTACTTTTTCATGCCTGTACTTGATCATAGGTGTAATTGACTTCTGCCAAGGATTCCATAAATTCCTTCTGCACTTTACCTCGCATGAGGCTAAGGCTTAAGCGCTGTCTGTCAGAGAAAATGGCTATATTTATGGAAATTGTTCCTAGCCTTTTTATTTATCTGGCGCATTGTTCAATTGCTATGATTTCATCCTGGGAAACTGTAGTGCATTTACCTAAGTTTAAAGTCAGTTCAGTCTTCGTATTCACCCGAGAACTCCAGGCTCTCTCGTGCCTCTATATGTTTTTGAGCCGTCGGTATACCAGTAGTAATTTGCCTTCAGAGGTATTCCTTTGGCCCACTCTTCCTTTTCTGGTATGAGTACCTTGTACTTGTTGGTGAAGTTATAATTTGGAGTAGTGGCGTCGATTGGCATTTCTTACTCACTCNTCTCTCTCTCTCTCTCTCTCTCTCTCTCTCTCTGTCTCACTCACTCTCTCTTTATTTCTCCCTCGCTCACTCACACTCTCTCTCTCTCTCTCTCTCTCTCTCTCTCACTCACTCACTCTCTCTTTATTTCTCCCTCACTCTCTCTCACTCACTCATTCTCTCCCATATCTCTTTTTTTCCCATCCCCCCCAAATAATGTTTCATTTGTTTCTTTTTGAATTGTTTTTAGTTCGTATACTGAACTCTTCCTGTTCGAAGTACCGAAGTTCGAATTATGGAAAGAGCATTTCATTATATTTGAATGAAAAAAAAATACTAGTTTTATTTATACACTTTTTTACATTTTTATATAATTAATTTAACACCAGGTTCAATTTAAATAATTTATCCTGGTATTTAATTTTGAATTTATTTACAATTAAAAAATAGTTTTCAATATTATCGTGGTCCGCTTCGTATTGTAAGTCCCTTCAATAGATAAAATATTAAACAACTATGCAACGAGACTAGACGGACCAAAAAAGGTATATTTTGTTGAATAAACTGAACGAGTCTATTTGAGAAATTTCGGAGGGGCCGCCCGGTTCAAAGTACGGCGTACGTACAAATTTGTTTCGTATATAGAAGAAATCGAATTTAAACGAAAAGAAAATTTCTTGTTTGTCCGTTTACCTTTTTTTCGGATTTCGTTTTTGACTTTTATATACACGAGAAATAGGTCAATATCTGACGGAACGTTTTGGCACAAAACACTTTAAATGTGTATAAAGAGAAAAAACACGGAGAAATATTTGAATTATTTAATATTTTTGAAGAAAGTGTAATTAGAAAACGTAGAGGGAAATAGTAAGCGGTTTCGTCCGTAAAAACCAGTTACTGGTTAGACATCGGTGCTTTGAACATCCAGTAGAGTGGATTATTATTAGACGAGTCATTAAAAACTAAACGCTCCCTCCAGACCACAACGAATGGCGCTTTTCAAACAAGCCAAATCGGAAAATATTTTCATCACGATTTCTCGATACAAAGTGAACGTACTGAAGAAGGCAAATGTCTGTATATTTTTATGTAGAAAGGAATAAATTGAAAAAGAAGGCTGGTTGTAAAACAAACAGATGACCATTTTGTATAAATCGTACGTTTAATATTTCAATCGTCGAAGTGAGGGAATGTTTGTAATTTTGAGACACGATAAATTCCCGAATAGGAATATGTATGTCGAATATAAATCTGTTGAAGGATAATTGAAAAAAGTTAGTTGAAAGTTGTCGACGGCCGTGATCTACGAGGCGGCCGTTTGGCGGTAGGAGTCTCACCAGTAACCTCTGATCGTCGTCAGGCTGGGGGCATTGCGGTCGTGGAGCTCGCTCCTCAGTGTTAAACAACAAACATGGCTGCTCCCACATTTAAGTGGAAGAAAGTTAATGATTCATCTGGGCCACAACCTCGTCCGAGGCATGGTCACAGGGCCGTAGCGATAAAAGACCTTATGGTCGTTTTCGGAGGAGGCAACGAAGGGATCGTCGACGAACTGCACGTCTACAACACAGGTAAATCACGAACTATTTTCACACAGCCGCCGTCTCGATCGACGTCCGGCCGCGGCGTCTCTCGGCTCCGTGTCGAGTGTCCGGTCGGTGTTACAATGTTTTATCCTCGACGGAGGATTTTCGAGCCCTAACAACGGCCTCCGCTATTCCACATTCATAATCCGGCCTTCTCACCTTCAACCGAACGTTTATCCGCTTTATCGTTTTTGTTTATAACACGGCCGACCTCCTCCATATTGTCAAAATTTACCGACAACAAGTTTTTTTTAAATTTTATATAATAAAATTTTCATTTTATACTCTAAAAAACCTTATTTAGAACTACATCTCACCCTTGAAAAAAAAAATATATATATAAATTTTTAAAAAATCAAATGCCAATAATTATTTGGCTGACTGCTGATAAAAATCCCGTCGGCAATCAAAACTAAATCCGCTCACCGAACGGATCGTTCGAATGAATATTTTTAACCGGTTTTTTCCGTCGAAATTTTCTTCTTTTCCACTCTCCCGCCAAAATTTTTGTTGAATGGATTTTTAGACGTCGCTTCCATTGAGTACAATTTGACGTGTGGTAATTCCATTTTTGTCTCCTTTCTCCTTGACACCGCTCATGGCCCGCTTTGAGGAAGGTTATTGTCTCATTTTTCGAACAATTTTTGCCCGTTTGTAAATCATCTATCCGTGGCCGGCGGATTGACGCTGCCCGGGCGAAACCTTATCGTTTTTTTATTTTATCGGTTAAATTTCCACCCGTTTTGTTCCCAGAAATTTATTATTATAAAATTTGCCTTATCAACAACCGTTCACAAATTTCTCAATTGTTTGTACGGGAGGGGGTACATTTCAAAAATTTCAACTTGATTTTTTTTAATATAAGATTCAACAGTCGTCAACATAATGAAATTTACGAAGTTATACACAATTCCTACCAGCAGCGGTTTTTTTCTTTGCGTTATTGAAAAAAAAAATTAAGTTTAGTTATCTTTATACAGTTATACTTTAAACGTTTTTTGGCGGGTTAAAAAAAAGTAGAAATAGTTGTATGAACAGCACAGCCAATGACATAGTTATTGTTGAAATTGTATAAAATAAAAAATAAAAAGATCATTTTCAGCAATACCTATCTCAACAGGAGTGCCAAAAATGACTTGAAAAATATTTTAACGCTGAATTGACAGGCTGTCAGTTGAAGATCCGGTAGAATGGAAAGATGTATTTAATCAGGATTGATAACGATGATTCTGGTCCTGTCAGCCGACATTTTCTTTTTTATTTAAGAGACCGTTAGCTGAAGATGTTACCAAACAACAAGTGAACAATGATGATTGTTAATGATTATTTGGATATTGTGAGATGTGGTCTGGTGTGACATCGCTTTAGAAAAACATTTTCTTTATCGTGGCAACGTTTCGATCTTTATTGAGATCATCTTCAGGGCCGGGATTTACAAACCTTGTTTAAAATATACAAATATATGTACGATGTGAAAAAATGAATTTATACAATTATAGAAATTTTAGACTCAATCATGACAAAATGATGATTGTGTTTTTTATTCAAGGCTGGCAACTGAAAGACAGACATATTTGTCTGACAGAATTATACACTGAATGGAGAGATGTGGATAATCAGGGATGATGACAGAAATATACATCGAATGGACAGATAAAACTTACCAGGCGTGCTGAAAGTGATATATATCCATTGTGGTAGTGCTAAAAGGATGATTGAGTGAATTATGGCATACACTGAAATACATTTGACATCCTAAATTGATCAAGAGATGATGAGAACAATGCTAATCATAGTACTGCTGAAAATTATTTTGCTGTTTATTCAAAGCTTTCAGGTGGAGATACCCATATTCATCTGACAGAAATATAAACTGAATGGATAGATGAAGATAATCAGGGGTGATGATAGTGGTGACAATTTCTATACTGCTAAAAGGCTGACAACCAAAGACTACTAAAATACATATGACATCCCAAAATAATCAAGAGATGATGAGAACAATGCTAATCATGGTACTGCTGAAAATTAGTTGGTAGTTTTTTCCAGGTTGTCAGGCGAAAATACCTGTTTTTGTCTTAACAGAAATATACACCGAATGGACAGATGAAGATTATTGGGGGGGGGGATGGTATTGATGACAATTTTGGTATTGTTTAGATGTTGACAGCGAAAGATGATGCTAAAATACATTTGACAAACCAAAATTATTCCGGGGTGATGAGAACAATGATAATTATAGTATTGCTGAAAATTATTTTGTCTCTTATTCGAGCCTTTCAGCTGAAGATACTGATATTCATCTGACAGAAATATAAACTGAAGTTCATCAGGGATGATGATAGTGGTCACAATTTCTATACTGCTAAAAGGCTGACAGCCAAAGATTGTACTAAAATACATTTGACATCCCAAAATAATCAAGGGATGATGGGAACAATGCTAATCATGGTACTGCTGAAAATTATTTTGTTGTTTATTCAAGGCTTTCAGCTGAAGATACCTATATATTCATCTGACAGAAATATAAACTGAATGGACAGATGAAGATAATCAGGGGTGATGATAGTGGTAACAATTTTGGTATTGTTTAGATGTTGACAACGAAAGATGATGCTAAAACACATTTGACAGGCCAAAATGATTATGGGGTGATGAGAACAATGATAATTATAGTACTGTTGAAAATTATTTTGTTATTAATTTGAGGCTTTCAGCTGAAAATACCCTCAATTATCTGACAGAATTGTGTACTGAATGGACAGATGAGTATAATCAGGGGCGCTAGAAGTGAGATGACCATTGTAGTATTGCTGAAGATTGTTTTGTTGCTCTTATATTTCTTCATCTGACAGAAATATACACTGAATGGATAAACAAAGATGGTTCTGGGGGGGGGGTGATCATTACAATACTGCTGAAAATTATTTTGTTGTTTATTCGATGCTTTCAGATGGAGGTATCCACATTCATCTGTCATAATTATACGCTGAATGTATAGATAGATATTCAGGGATGACAATTTTGGTACTGCTGAAGATTATTTTGATGCTTTAAGTAAGTGGCTGCTAGACGAAGATGGTACTAAAGCATTTGATAATTATGATACTTCGTATAAAAGGTTAATTTATTGATTGTTTAAGAGGTTGATAGTTGAAGATGATAACAAAACTGTGTTGACAGACCAAGAAGACCAAGAATCAGGAATGATTAATTAAGTGTATATTATAGAAGTACATGAGTGAATATTCTGCAAAAAATTATTTCATTCCTTAATAAGCCATTTATTGAAAATGATCATATTCATCTGAAAGAAATATGCCATGAGGCAGACCAAGATGATTCAGTGTAAAAAGCAATGGCAATTATGACTCAATGAAAACAGAACACCAACATAATCAGTGATGATAAACGTTATTGAATAAATAATTTTATCACTTATAAAATGCTGATCAGTAATGTCCAAAATACCCTGACTGAAGCATACAGTGATAAGAGACAAACTTGAGATTATTTTGGATAACCAAATTGCAGGCAATTAGTTAGCATTTTATAAAACTGGTTCGTTTATAATGAAAGAAGAGAATGATTCATGTTCTTAATTAATTTCTAAAAATGTTTATTAAGCACATTAATTTTTTTGGAATGATAATGTGTGTAAATATTACTGTCTATGCTGTATGGCAAGATCGTTGTAAAGCTTTTTCTGAAGATACAGTGAGTGTAGACTAACCAAGTTGCTGAAATGCTTCAAACAAAAAGATACAGAAACATTTGGCCTCTTCATTGAAACTTTTGTCATAGAGTAGTACAAGTCAACGACAATTATTTTGTTGCTTAGACAAGCTGGTCACTGAATTTGCTAACCAAGATTATCAAGATGATAAGGGACGATTAAACCGATGATGATCATGTTAAAATGTCCATGCATGATTTATTTATTATTTTTAGAAACTATAACAAAATAATCTAATGTTATGAAGTATTGGTAGGTAGTTTGCTATTTATTGGACACTTGTCCATAATTTGATCCTTAAATTCTGTTCTGCCTGCTGTCCATGTATGCTTCTGCCATTAGACGAAAATTTAACAAAAAGGTGTTTTTTATTTTTTTATTTTTTATTTATTTATTTTTTACATTATGACTACCTTCAAATAGGTAACATGTAGCAATGAGAAAGGAAATATGTACAAAATTAAAAACAAGGGTGGAGAAAATACTCATAGGTATTACACTAATGATACTAAAATGTTGTCTGTTTAATTGTGATTAATTAGTTGTGCCATTACACTTTCATTATTGTCATCATCACTTCCTATGGGATCTTATTGGCCTTAGGCCCATCACCTCTTAAGTCGGCGAGGAGTGTTTGAGGGAATTCGTTGGGATGCGAGGTTTCTGATGTGCTGATTTATGACGATTGGGAGGATTTTGTGAAATTTGCAGTTATGGGAATGGATTTCATCTTGAACAAAAGGAATATTTAAGTCTATAAAGAACAGATAGGCTAAATATTTTAACTGGCATTTGGTAAAAATGATTTTCTTAACATGTGCATCATGCCGACTGTTCTTCTGGGTGTAGTGGAAGTACGGTACTTTTTACACTCTCCCTTCACTTCATCCGGTACACAATTACATTTGTAATAACCCAAAAAGGGCCAAAATGCCACTGAGTTTTGTTTATTTATTTTTTATTCAACTGGAAGTGATTTTTTTATTCATTCTGTGAAAACCATGGATTTCGCTTTTTGTGTTTGTTTAAAAATTATTTATCAATTAATAAAGGCAAAATTATTGTGGAAAGTAGAAACAACTTTTATTCAACTACACACCTAAATCGAAAAAAAGTTGTGCAGGTTGCCTACTTAATTTAGCACTGCAGGGGATGCAAATGTTCATAAATTTATATCACTTAGATAAATGTAATAAAATCATTTATATTATTTGTAAGTACCAGAGAGATATTTTATATGAAAAATTTG